CTGGAGAAGGGGTCTTTCATGGCCTATTGGAAGGTTACCTAGACATAATCAGAAACAACTGAATTTGATAACTCTAGCAGATTGATGGCTTAAAATGACCCACCTCCATTGCGAGAGGTTATTTCAAAGAATTAAGAAATTTAGTTTCCAAAGTCTGGCATCCTTGGCAGAAATATATGCCTAATGGGAATTAGATATGTGGACATGATCTATACACTAAAACTGCTTCATTAAGCTAAAGTTTATTTTGGTGCTTAGAGTGTCTCTTCAAGTACAGATCTTAACAGTTTGGCTGGACTTGCAAAGATACCATTCAAGTTGAATCTTTAGAAAGTTTTGTCTCGCGATTGGACCAACAAGCTTTTAATAAAATTATCACTCATTCAAAATTTTGGGATTGCTTTCAAACAGCAAACTCTGGTTGACTAACAAGGGAATAGCAAACATTGGGCCCAAACAGCTGGAAATGCAAAGTGAAGTTTAACATTTTAAAATCTGTTGAGATTTGTCAATTTATGAATGTATAATAATATATACAAATAATGTGTATATGCATTTGCATTAACTTGCAAATTGTATAAATAAACTGATCAGCCACAACATTGAAACTGCCTGCCTAATATTGTGTAGGTCTCCATCGTGCTGAGAAAACAGCTTTGAAGCGTTAAGGTACTGACTCCACAAAACCTCTGAATGTGTTCTGTGGGGTATGGCACCAAGACGTTAGCTGCAGATCATTTACGTCCTGCAAGTTGAAAAGTGGGGCCTCCAAGGATCGGAGATTTTGTTCCAGCATATCCCACAAATGCTCAACGAGATTGAGATCTGTGGAATTTGAAGCCCAAGGGAACACCTTGAACTCTTTTGTCATGTTCCTCAAACCATTACGGAGCATTTTTTGTAGTATGCCAGGGTGCATTATCCTGTTGAAAGAGGCCACTGCCATCAGGGAACACCATTGCCTTGAAGAGATGTATGTGGTCTGCAACAATCTCTAGGTAGGTGGTATGTGTCAAAGCAAGATCCACATGAATGCCAGGACCTAAGGTTTCCAAGCAAAACAGAACACTGCCTTCTTTCCATAGTGCTTCCTGCTGTTATCTCTACCCCAGGTAAATGACACACATGCACTCAGCCATCCACCTTATCTAAAAGAAAACATGATTTATTAGACCCGGCATCCTTTTTTCCATTGCTCCATGGTCCAGTTCTAATGCTCACATCCCTATTGAAGGTGCTTTCAGCGGTAGACAGGGATCATCATGGGCACTCTGTCTGGTTTCCATCTACACAGCCCTATATATGGCAAACTACGATGTCACTGTATCACACCTTTTATCATGGTCAGCATTTTGTTTTTCAGCAATTTTAACTACAGTATCTTTTCTGTGTGATCGGACTGGACACGCTAGTCTTTGCTCCACATATGTATCTATGTTCTTTCGGTGCCCATGACCCGATACCCGTTCACTGGTTGTCCTCCCTTGAACCACATTTGGTAGGTACTAGCCACTGCATACCAGGAACGCCCCAAAAGAATTGCTGTTTTGGAATGCTCTAACCCAGTAGTCTAGCTCTCACTAATTGGCTATTTCGCACTACTTGGTCAACTGTCACTCAAATCTTTTCATTGCCCAATTATCTGTTTATGATACATGAAATTCAAGAATGAACTGTTCACTTAATCCCTAATATATCCCACCCCTTGACAAGTACTATTGTAACAGTATCATTAATGTTATTAACTTCCCCTGTCAGTGTTTTTAATGTTGTGGCTGATCAATGTATGGTTACATAATGGTAAACCGGGTATCATAGTAAAATAATGTTGAAATGTGTTTATAAGTTTTGCATGGTAGTTGTAGGTTTGCATTAATAAATCCAGAGTTGAATGGGATTAGTGGGTGTTACGATCCCAGACAGAAGCTATTTCTCCTTATCATTTATGGCTTCATCTGCTTCCTGGTAGTATAACTCCCACTAATTAGGGTCCTCAAACTGCAATTTGTCCTCATTTATTACAGAATATAATAATACATATGACATTAGTCTGCATGCAGTGTTGGTTTTTAAAACACAATCTGCCCTGGAATGGCATTATTAATCTCTTTCTCTATAAAGTATCAAATTAAAGAATATTCTGTGATATACAACACAATATCGCAAATCTTACATTTGGAGTTCACATAATACAAGGTTCTTGCAAATAAACACATTGTCAGCATTTCATAGATTTTTATATAGGCATTAGACTTAATTAGAATGTATGTAGATTATTAATATTGATCAGGTTTCTTTATTTTACTTAAGTGTGTACTTTTATCTTACCTGCATTCACTGGTTCATTTGAAATCCATCTATTATATGACATACAAAACCCATGGTATGTACTACCATATGGTGGGGGTTAACGTTAAGGGACTGTGTAGTCATATCACTAAATTGCTTGAAAACACTTTTTTTGCTTCCTACCCAAACGTGTTAACAGAGTTATACTGGGATCAAATAAAAATGCTATAATGGGCAAGCATGTCATGGATATTGAGCTACTACGCAATACGCATCTGAAGCAAAATTTTGCAGGATCTGCTCACTGAAAGCCTCCACAGTTTGGGACTTCCAGAAAAAACTCTCTCTGAACTAAGCACACCTGTTTGAGAGTAATAGGATTTGCATCCCTTTTAGGCTAAGACAACAAACATCCTTAAAGAGGAACTTTCACTGTCTGACAGTAATTGTCCAGTGTCACGAAGTCTCAGGTGTAGGAAAAATACAAAAAGACAAAGTAATCTCTAATTTGACTAGTTTTTGTTTAAAAATAGAAAAGGAGAAAAGAGGAAACTGTTCGGAGAAAGCAAGTATGGTCTGACAGTGCTCCTTTAATGTAAACTATGTTACCTTACAAATTGTTATTCCAGGTTATAACAAACTGTACAGTCCACAGGAATCCCTTGTACAACACTGCTTCGTACAGGAGAATGATGCCACACACAGTTACCTACCTAATAGTGGAGGATGGAACAGAATACAGCCCATCTAACAGTGTTATATTAAAAAAAAAAAAAAAATACAGCCATCTGACAGTGGTATATTGATCATTAAAGGACCACTCTAGGCAGTGGCACCCAGACCACTTCAGCTTAATGAAGTGGTCTGGGTGCCAGGTACCTCTAGGATTAACCCTTTTTTTTTTTTATAAACATAGCAGTTTCAGAGAAACTGCTATGTTTATACTGAGGGTTAATCCAGCCTCCAGAGCCTCTAGTGGCTGTCTCATTGACAGCCGCTAAAGGCGCTTGCGTGCTTCTCACTGTGAAAATCACAGTGAGAGCACGCAAGCGTCCATAGGAAAGCATTGTAAATGCTTTCCTATGCGACCGGCTGAATGCGCGCGCGGCTCCTGCCACGCATGCGCATTCAGCCGCTGACGTCGCGAGCAAGGAGGAGAGGAGGAGTTCAGCTCCCTGCCCGGTGCTGGAGAAAGGTAAGTGTTTAACCCCTTCCTCTCTCCAGAGCCCGGCAGGAGGGGGTCCCTGAGGGTGGGGGCACCCTCAGGGCACTATAGTGGTCCTTTAACATAAGTCTATTGTGCACTAAATATCCACAGCATGTTTACAAACCCTTAAATACAATTAACAGGACAGATTACATAGATTTAATTGATTCTCTAAATTTGTTTGTTTTCTTTCCAGTGCATAATGTAAGGTAATGTATCCACCATACATTGTACGTAGCCTTAAGATAAAGACTTTGGTCTCAACTTAATATTGTTGAATAAGCTTTCCAAATTAATTAATATTTTTAGATAAACTTTTGCTATATTCTTGCATTGCCGCTGCTGGATAGGAGTTCAGTAATCAACAAACCTCTCCTAAATCAATTAAATATATAATGTATCACTACGATAAGTTACATATTCAGTGCATATTAGTTAATGCCAACCTGCCATGATAGGTTCATGTTAATAAAATTTTAAATGAAAATGGAAAAACAAAAAAACAACACTTTCATGCTTCATTAACTTTGATAAACAAGCTCATATTAACTTGTCCTAATAAATAATTTTGATTTCATGCTCCGTTTAAGATGTCCAAATAAGACATTTACTGCACCTGCCCAACATAAAATAAATACTCCACAGCAGTAAATCTGAAATACATTTTACTTGTTTAATTGATGCTTTATGTTTTCAATGCAATGTAGGAAATTGGATTTTACAGTACACAACAAATATCTTCTTCCAGCTTGGAAAACACATACAAAAAAAATAAAAAAAATAAAAAGTATGGAATGTCAATATGTGGACAAGTCAAGAGGAGCAGTGAATGTATAAAGGGAACAATGCTGATACAAGTGACAATAACACAATGTGAAATGGGACTTAACTTTACCAATCACAAGAAGATGATCACACTATTAACTAGGTAACCCATCATACAATAATCTAGGGCACTTGCATAAAAGATCAGTATAATTAAACTTAAGTGCTTCTACATGTTTACTCTTTTGCCCGTGAAATGTGTTGGGGCAAATGCAATTTTCATGCATGGCTTTCAAATGAGGGACTGTAATCACTTTGGTTCCTACATGTGCTATACTATAATCTATCTTGGTCTCAGAACAGCTACACAATGAAATGTAATGCAATATGTATCCACTGTGTTGTAAGTAAAGGAGGACTAAATCAGGAAGTATTAGACTTCAATACACAACCCAGTATCTGCAAGGGGTCAATACCCGTTGGCATTTACTGGCACCACATTGCCTTGGGGAGTTGGAAGCCTTTATTAGAGGGGTCAATACCCGTTGGCATTTACTGGCACCACTGGCATTCGAGAAGCCAAGAGACTGGTGGTCAACACTGCTCTAACTCAGAACTTCCAAACAGTTTAATGGATCATCCAGTAGGAAGAAAGGATACAGTGATACAATTGAGAAATTTTACATGGAAAACGGGTAATACACATCTAGATAATGAGTCAGACAATGAATGTTCTTGTTTAGTTCTTCAGGATGGAGTCATAGACCTGGTACACATAATTGCACACCTCTGGAGCACGGCATTTCAGAGACAACTGTGAGGGATACGAAAGAGCAGAAAATATTATTTGATTTTATTACACATTAAAATTTTGTGAACATTCTGATGAGCAAGTAAATGTGTAATTAATTTAAATTAAACAAATCAAAGTAGAGCCCTTAATTGACATCAGGCCCACACACCTAATGCCAAGTGTATAAACGCTCAACACCAGGTGAGCAAGTTTGGATTATTTTGACCTGCTAATTTACTGAACCTCTACATTCTTCACTATTTGGTTTCTTGTTCACTTTCAAGCCACAAAGAAGAGGAGCATGTACCACACTTAAAAATACAGAAGTGCTTCACATTAGTGGCAATATTTTTTTAGCTGGCTCTGATGAATGTGAGTGTACACATTTCAGCTTTAACCCCTTAAGGACGCATGTTGGAAAGAGTCAAATTTAGCACTGCAAACAGGCATTTAAATGAGGGTTTAACACCGCATTGTTAATGCATGTGCGCAGGGTTAAATCCCTGCTCACATCAGGGAGTCCCAGGTATCAATGGATACCTGGGGCTCCCCTCTATCAGCTGGGGCCATTTGTAGTGGCACCAGACTTTTTGATGATCTACATGCAGTGCTTGAAGTCAGCACGGCATGTTGCAGCTTAAATGGGCATTTACATGCCTATATATAGATCGTGGTGTGAGCAGGGTTAAACCCTTCCTTAAAAAAACTTGCTGATGAGCTGCATGCAGTGCTGAAAGTCAGCACTGCATGTAGCCCTTTGACTCCATAGAGAACACTGCAGCTGTGCGATCAAGCTCAGCCACAGTGATTCTCTCACTAGATCTGTAAAAACACACACGAGAATCATACATGAAAGAAAAGTGGAGGATTGGTCACTCCAACAATTAATTTCATGATATAAAGCAACCCAAAATTATATAGAAATATTAAAATAAATCTTTACGTTTATTATTATATATTGAATTAATATAATCTATCTCACTAGATCTGTTGATTAACAGTGATTTCACTGGATAGTGACGAAGACATACATTGGGGGTATCGTTTTACTCAGAAGATGGAGATGAACACAATATGGATATTTTCTGCAGGAATAGTACACTAGGTTTACGAAATACAAATAAAAAAACAAACAGTTATATGTGTGTATGTTAAAAATCTGAAAAAAACACAATTTTAATAGACTAGCAGAAAGTGGCTGTTAAATGGCTTCGTAATAAGTGTCAAAATACCCATAGGTCAATAGCCTGTGATGTCTGCTTTATATAAATATATACTTTTGTGTGGCAATTTTGTTTTCTGTGAGGGCTATTAACTTTACAAGGCAAATATACCAACTTCTAAAATCACTCACAATGTATTTTATGACCAGTAACTACTGAAAATAAACCAAAATCCTAGACATATTCTATATTTTGTAAATCAGAACTAAATTAAATTTATTTTGAATTACTTTCCTTAAGCTGCACTAATTATGCACACGTTATTATTGCCAAAACTGTGAAACCCCCCCAAAAAAACTTTTTTCCCTTTTTCTTGTATATTTTTATAATAACCGAGAATTTATCAATGTATATGTATATGTCATCAAATTAAAGCCCTTTTTGTCCTTTAAAAAAACCAAACGGTATATAATATGTGTTAATGCAATAAATGAGAAATATGCAAATTGTAGTTTAACACAGAGCAAAAAATGCAAATAATGTTTGTGCCCTTAAGCGTAAGTCCAGCTTCTGAAGATGTTTGCTTAAGGGGTTAATGCAGTGGTTCCCAAGCTTTTTAGGTTCAAGGCGTCCTTAATATTTCAATATTTTTCCAAGACACCCCAAGTCAAACAATTTTTTTAGGATGTACATATGTACAGCGCTGCCGCATATACTGGGCCCCTAATCTTGGGAGTGGCACTGGTAGATTATTTAAAGAAACAATCCAGGCACAATAACCACTACATTATGTTGTAGTGGTCATGGTACCAGTAGTGCCCTCCCAAGGTAAGTAGTTAAACTGTTTAAGAACAGTTTGACTACTTGCCTGGTGTCTGCCTGGATAGGGGCTGTAGTGTGTGTGTGTGTGTGTGTGTGTGTTTACAGGGGTGCAGTGTGTGTGTGTGTGTGTGTGGGGCAGTTTGTGCATGAGGGGTGCAGTGTATGTGTATGGAGGGTAGTGTGTGTATGGGGAGGGGGGCAGTGTGTGTGTATGGGGAGAGTTATTGTGTGGTGTGGGGTCTGTGGGGGTAGGAGGGCAAAATAAATAAATATATACTTTTTTTTTTTTAATTCAGAATAAAAATGATATCACCCCTCCCTGCTTATCTTTGCCTGGGAGGGGTGACATTCCCTGTAATTCCCTGGTGGTCCGGTGGGGAAGCCCTAGTGGTCCCAGTGGAGAGAGTGAACTCTAGCAGCCTCAGGAGCTGCTAGAGTTCATTCTCGCGAGATTCGGAGCGATGTTGTGGTGACCGCAGAAACGCTCCAAGCTGCAGGTTAGAGCTCCCCCTGGTCCTCTCTCCCTCCGTCCCCTGCCGGTTGTCAGCAAAGTGCTAACAGGCCGGGGAGGGAGATCTCTGATCTCCCCTCCGATACTGCAGAGTTGGCAGGGGAGAGCACAGTTCCCGGTGCTATATACATAGCACCGGGAAAATAACTTGCAGCTCCCCGGCACACAATTTGGGAACCGCTGGGTTAAAGTGTTAATTACACTTTTTAGAAATACTTCACTATTTTTGGGGTCATGAGTTTGATTTGACATTCATCAAACATTGCAAGTGCTCCACTTTGATTTGTAGAAATTAAACTGCAAAGGAAAAAACCACACAAGTGTTAACTGCTAACATTTAGATAGATAAATATACAGAAGCGCAGTCAATGAACATCACATCAATGTTTGGTTTTCTTTCTAATGAGCAGCCTTGATATCTGAAGATTAGAATATACAACCACTAGAACTGAAACATATATACTTTGCATTGATACAGGTTATATAGTACAACAGAAGCAATCTTTGTACTGTATCAATGATCAACCTGAAGACCATAAGTGGTCTAAAAATAAATAACTAATTATAATACCACGTTTTCCCAAAGTTAGCAACAGAGCTACTTTATAACAAAACCTACACCAACCTCAATCAATTATTGGTTGGTCAAGAAGGAAGTTCCTAAGCAACCATTCCTGTCTCACTTTGCATCTCTATACATCCACATCCATAAAATGTTAAACTTAACAATACTCTCTCTCTATTTATAGTTTATAGCTGCATTGGATATAGTCATGTGACAAACTTATAGTGTACTTGCATGCTGTAGATTAAAGGAGCTCTATAGGGTCAGGAACACAAACATGTATTCCTGACTCAATAGTGTTAAAACCACCATCAAGCCCCCCGTTTCTACTTGCCTTCTTTATAATAGTAAAATTTTACTTGTATTCACGTCTGCAGCTACTGCCTGTGTCTCTGATCTGCCTGCTTGGCTGACATCATCAGAAGTATTTCTCTGAGCCAATCACAAAGCTTTAGCATAGGATTGGCTTTGACTGTCAAGGAGGCAGATCAGGGGCAGAGCCAGCACAAGTCAAACACATCCCTGGCCAATCAGCATCTCCTCATAGAGATGAGCTGAATCAATACATCTCTATGAGGAAAGTTTAGTGTCTGCATGCAGAGGGTGGAGACACTGAATGGCAGTGCTGCTTACTCTGCAGCACTGCCCAAAGAAGCAGCTTTAGCAGCCACCTGAGGAGTGGCCAGTGGAGCTATAACTAGGCTGTAATGTAAACACTGCATTTTCTCTGAAAAAAGCCTGAAGGGAATGATTATACTTACCAGAACAAATACAATAAGCTGTAGTTGTTCTGGTGACTCTAGTGTCCCTTTAAACCATTAATAAGACAATATCCCCAGTGAAAGGTGGTGTTAATGGTATGCTCAATTCTATCATGTGCTGCTTTTTCCACATCTGAGAAATCAAAAATGCCTTCTAATTATGTAATGCAAGAAAGATGGAATAATTTGTATTGGTTTTGCTGATACTATCTGAACCATCTTAAAGGCGTGTAATAATCTTTTCTCACTTCAAGGGGAATATTTAATCACTTTAAATAGTTTCTTTCCAAACATCGTTACCTAGCATTCCAAAGTTAATTTATATAAAAAAAAGAAATATTGTATGAACAACCGATTAAAGTATGTTTGACCACTATATGATCCTGAAAACATTTTGACTTCGTGTATCATTGTTATTTGGAACACACACAATCTGACATATAAAAACATGTTTAAACCCTTAAGGACCAAACTTCTGGAATAAAAGGGAATCATGACATGTCACACATGTCATGTGTCCTTAAGGGGTTAAAGGACCACTATAGGCACTCATACCACTTCAGCTTAATGAAGTGGTCTGGGTGCCAGGTCCAGAGAAACTGCTATGTTTATGTTAGGGTTAATCCAGCCTCTAGTGGCTGTCTCATTGACAGCCGCTAGAGGCGCTTGCGTGCTTCTCACTGTGAAAATCACAGTGAGAAGACGCCAGCGTCCATAGGAAAGCATTGATAATGCTTTCCTATGAGACTGGCTGAATGCCCGCGCAGCTCTTGCCGCGCATGCGCATTCAGCCGAGGAGGAGGAGAGGAGGCGGAGAAAAGGAGGAGAGCTCCCCGCCCGGTGCTGGAGAAAGAGGTAAGTTTAACCCCCTTCCACCCTCTAGAGCCCAGCGGGAGGGGGACCCTGAGGGCACTATAGTGCCAGGAAAATGAGTATGTTTTCCTGGCACTATAGTGGTCCTTAAAATTTTTGTATTTGCAGCCACCCTTCAGTTAGCTTACCTTGGTGTCCAGGATGGTGGTTTGCGTGGGGTTACAGTCATGGCTGAGGTTGATGGGAGTGAGCATGCAGCAGCAGCTCACTCCATCATCTCCTCTGCCTCCATGCTGCTGTGTGCCGGTGCCTCTAGTCTTCTCGTCCCTCACGTCTCTCTCGCTCTCTAATGAGGCTGGTAGGAAGTGACAGGCTGTCAATTCCTTCCAGTCCGCCGATACTGCAGGGCCCCCTGTTGCGCTCTCAAAAGAGCCGTGCCACCCGCTGCCCTAAGTGCATGGGCCACCCGATGGGCAAATTGCGGTGGAACCCAAAGTTTGTTCTCGCGGAACCACCAATTGGGAAACGCTGAACTAAAGAATTAACAGATGGTATAGTTGCAAACTGGTTGGAACTATCACTCTGGAATGAAGCAGAACACACTCTAGTGTGACACATGGGAGTTATAGTTTACTAATTAATACAAGAGAGATACTAACACATGCCTTTGGAGGTTGTCTAGGACGACCTCCATTACGTTTTCTCATTTGTTTTGTAAGACTTGGACTGATATATTACAAAAAATAAATAAAAAGACAAACAACAAACAAACCACAACCCCCTAACAGTGGGCTTGTTTAACAAACACGTTTGATCATTCAAATTTGCATTCTTTTGTCATCTTACCGTGTAATTAGGGTTCCCAGGCTGGATTCTCAGCTCAGCCAAGATCCAGATGCCATTGGTAAGCTTCAGGGACTGGTAAAGCATGTCTTGGCCTTCAACATTTCGCTTGGCAATGGTGTAAACATTGTTATTTTGCAGCTTGCTAGAAACAGAGTCTAAAAGAATAAGACAATAAAAAGGTCAGAGATGTTACAAGCCAATTGTTTCAGAAAAAAAAAAGGCACATTCTCTCTACACTATAGGATCGCACAAAGCCTCTGTTGAAAATGTACTGGTTCTATAAATAGTTTGTAATACACACTTATTATGAAAATAAATGATAATACTTTCAGAGAGGTCTGATGACAGTGTTAAAGTGGGTGCTACTTGAAGCAATAGAACACAACTGACAGAAACCAGAGGGCCATGCATAAAAACTGTCACATTTGTGCACATGCACCATTTTCTCATGTAGAAAATGGTTAATCCACCTTTTTATACATGGGTGCGCTATGTCACTTTTTATTCCTTTTTCCATGCTTTTACTTTTGACTACATTCATAAAATAAGGCAAAAGATTACTAGGGACCTCCCCCGTCACTTTTGCACCACTTGTACATTGGAAGGAACATATTGGTGAACCAAGAGAAACGAAACGGAACCAGAAACTAACATAATGGAAGAGGTGCAGAAAATAATATTTTAATGCAAACACAAGGGCAGATAGGAAAAGCACCAGAAAATCAGCTTAAAAAAGTATCACACCACTCAACATGTGTTCCATTCAGGACCAACAAGTAAAGGGGTTAAAATATACAGAAACTAGAAATGCAGTGTAACATGTGTCCTACTTATATGTATCATGTACCTTTTGTGATTCCCCCCTCCCCTCTTCTCAACATGTAACCTTTAATTGTATCCACATCAGAACTCAAGAGGAAGACAGCGGTTCATTGCTTTATGAGATGATCTGTCCTTGGTTGACATATTAATGGATACCTGATGCAGGTCAGTACCTAAGCCGATCCAGACTCTTACAGCCATAGTGTCACATCCAAGGAGATCATTCCAGTCTGTGTCATGCCTCCCTGCCGAAGGCAGACAGATGTATTTGGCAGTTCAAGATTTGTATCACAGAAACTGACTGACTATCTTAAATCTGCCTATAGGCAGCACAATATACACTGACAAAGGGGAAATAAAACAAAACATTTAACATATTGCGCTGTGGTACACCAGTCCCACTGCTGTGAATGTGCTTCTTTGTTCTTTGCTTATAAATATGCCTGTCGCTCATAATCCTGAGCTGTATTCCCTCGGAATATATGGGTTAACGCTCCTCAGATGTGATTCCAGCAGATTGTCACATGACCTGCTGCCTATATTTAGCTCTCTGAGAGCTGAGCCGCTGAACTGGAATCAACTGCCATGCTTTCTGAAATGTTTTCCACTATTCACGTCTCTGTGAGGAGGACGGATAGGAGGAGGAGATAGCTTCTAAGGTGTGTGTACACATGTGGATGGCAGGATGAGAGTGAATATAAAAAAAAGCTAAGCAATTAATTCTGTGCTTTTGTATTTCAAAGACATAGAACAGAAGCATGCAATACAGGAAAAAGACATGGAAATTAAACGCACGGTTAAAAAACAAACATACATATGCAGAATAACAAAGGATACTAGGTTCTAAATTATAGATGTCACTGTCTAGAAAAGATTGTGCTATTAAATTCAGAAGACTAAAAATTAGTTAAAAGAGCAAATTGGTGAAACTAAACCTTTACCAATTTTATAAATAAAACAAAGAAACTAGAGTTATTATTTATATAGCGCCAGCAAATTCGGCAGCGCTGTACAATGGGTGGATTAACAAACACGTAATTGTAACCAGAAGAGTTGGACGCACAGGAACAGAGGGGTTGATGGCCCATCTCAATGAGCTTACATGCTAGAGGGAGTGGGATATAGTGACACAAAGGGCAAGGGTAGGGTCAGACAAGTAGGTTGGTAGAATAGTGTTCACTGAAGACAGTGTATTTATTGTAATTTTTTTAATGACAGGAGAGGAAACAGGGGGTGAGGGAGGGGACTATTAACAGTTTACTTGATACTGATTCCTGAAGAAGTGAGTTTTGAATTATTTTTTTTAAAGGACTGGAGACTGGGTGAAATTCTAATGGAGAAGGGAAGGAACAGTGCAGCCCTAGAGGAAGTATTGAAGGCGAGCATCAGAGATGGGAGTATGAACAGAGGATAGATGAAGGTCTTTGGCAAAGCTTAGAGGTCTAAACGGGACATACTTGTGTATTACAGACGATAGATAAGTAGAGTTGACAAATAACACTCAGAAAGTTGATGCATGTGAAGAGAATCTATCTAAAATGCAATTTTTCAGATCCAGTACCAATTATATGGAGACATGACAAACACAAGGAAATAAACACTGTCTGTGTCACTGAACTGGAGGTCAATATTAGATATTTGGTCAGCTGGTAGGAGCCTATACAAGTAGAAACCTCATTTACGGGCAAGACAAAGCTTTTTCTCATTTGTTTCTGGTAGGCTTTGTGCAGTCAGAGACTTTACATGTGGAGATCTTCACCATAGTTTACTTGCCACATAGGCTCATTGTTTTACATATTTTTCTACACTCCGCATATTAACACTGGGAGAATTTTCACTTCTTGGTAAAGAGTCGTCTTAAATATTTAATCAGCAAATAAACCATCAGCACTTGCATGGAACATAACCCACTCCTTTAACATTAAGTACATAAAGCAATCACTTGGGATGTATTATTTCATATAATGGAAAATTCAAAGTCATTCAGGGAGCAAAGGTTGCAATTTGTAACCTTTCAGGCAGTGAGTCTCAGAAGGAACATAGTAATCATATGAGTTCAAGTAATTATGATCACAAATAGAATCTTATTTGAACACTCAGGGAGAAAGCAGCAACCAGGATGTTGCCAACACACCAACTCACATGAAAGCAATTTCTATGTGTCAGAACAAATGTAATCTCATTTCAGTGCACAACATCACAACTGGATATTAGACATTTAAGAATCCTCGGAAATATGATCTGCCACTGTCAATGCTTGTTTGGTACTGACTGACGTGGCATCTGCTAATATTAAAATAAAAAGTCTTGAGTTACATAGCTTTAGAATTATTTATATAGCGCCAACATATTCTGCAGTGATGTACAATAGGTAAAGCAAGTCAAACCATTAATTCTAATAAAACACAGCTTGACCTATGGGAACAGTAAGTAAATAGGGCCACTGGAGATGAGTAATTGTACAAGTCAAAAAGGAGTTTAGAATAAAAGAGATATAACATACCAGTATGCTTAAACTGGCTGCAATATTGGTCAGATGTTTTGCTTGCAAGCTTTGTGAAAGAGATGTGTTTTAAGAGATGTAAATAGCTTTAGTTTGTAGAGCAAAAAAATGGGTGCAAGAGAATACGGAGAACTGACAACAGCTCAAATAGCCTGCCCTTCAGTGGGTCCCGCTCAGATCTTAAGCTGCTTTTAGCTAATCTTGTGCCATTACAAAAAGAATCAGGCCATTTGCATATCAGAATGTTTCCACCCAATAGGGCGGAACAGATCCCAAATGTAGGCTGGCTCTCTCTGCATGAGAGATACAGCAACCCCAGACAATCGTTTCAGCCTTGTAAGGCATTGTCAGTGAGGTACAGCCAATATCCCTCTAGGCACCGTGAGCAAAGGGTCCAAGTCTGGATTACCCTTTAAATTTAGGGAGAGCAAACAATCATGGTGCAAGACAAATTTAGCTTAGTTTGTGCGTTATATTTTCAATGTTTATAAGTCTTTTTTATGTTTTTTTGGAGAGAACATATCAAAATGTGACTATTGAACTTAAAATATTAATATTGGAAGACAGTGACTTCTACTAATCCTTGAATTTGGGGGAAACAAACCGCATTAGCACATTTTATGACAGAATAATGGAACTAGAAAATGTCTTGCAGTTACGTCATTTTGTAATATTCAAGTTAAATATGGATTATTGAAAAATTTTCAGTATATTAATTGACAAACATATGAAATGAAACCTTAAAGGGGAGAGAAGAGAAAATAAAAGAGGGCGTAAAAGAGATAGAACATTCATTTTAAATGTTCATTATCAAGCTATGTCGTTATTACAAACAATAATTGCACATTTAGTGCAACAATATTTCAAAACTTATACAAAGATATTGAAGGTGTATAATATTCAGTAATAGACCTAATTATATATGTAAACAATAAAACAGGTCGATTGTGGATTTAAGTTATTAAAAATATGTCTGTTTAATATTATCTTCCCAGACATTCCACTGATATATTAGTCATCTATATAAGATGGTTGTCTGAGGGCCATCTCGTAACGTTTATTATCTAACACTAGGTATAAAACTCCTTTAATAGATGGCATGTTATTTGTTTTTCCAGTACATGGGAATAGACAACGTGGCAGCAATCAAAATATAATTTTATTTGTTTTATCTGGAAATGTTTTGAATAATGTCATTATTATTAGTGGCAATGTCATTATCAATCCATCAAAGTTTTCAATTAAATTATGTATATCGGTCCGAAATTTTTAAAGTCTGGGACAAAACTGGGGAAAAGGACCCAGCCTGACAACATCCACGCCATATTGGCATTCTCATTCTATACTCAGTCTAAATAACCTTTTCTCCAACAATTCCCTTATGTCTTTTGACAAAATACAATTTGGATGAATTTATTGTCTCAGAGTATGGTGTGATCTCTTCTAAACTCCAGGAATGCTTTGAGATTTCAGAGCTGGATGGCACATATACCAAACAGGACAAATAAAATGGATCTCAGTGAACCAGGTCGTAAACACTAATTCCCTATACCGTTCATATATATCATGGAGGATTACCACTAAAATTGATTTGATAGTGGCGTGGGAGAGAGAGCTAAATAATCAGTATGACTTGGATGATTGGTTCAACACTACATAACCTGAAAGGAATATCGCAGTGTTCTAATCATCAAAAGAACGAGAACAACTATAAGATAGTTTACAGGTGGTACTTGACTCTGTCTAGACTGCATAAAATGAATATTACCATTTCTAATTTTATAATATTCTATTTCAAATTTTCCCAATTCCTACATATGTAATTAAACCCTACAGTATACACAAATGAAAACTGTCCACTAACCATCTCATTAAGATAAACAAATAAATACGCCCACACCCCGACACCCTAAAGCTTGATCTGAAGACTAATCCATAGCAGTGCTTTTTGTCAAGGTAATGGATAATAGTTTGGGCGTTTAGGTTTCTCATCTACGGTCAAATGTCAAAGTAGAATCTCTTCTCCCTAACTTCAACTGCAGAGGTACTAAAGCAAACCAGGCAAACTAATAGATTACTGGTTGAATTCCAGGATGTGGAAAAGAGTAAAATGCAGGATATTCTATGATACCTTCTAAATAGAGGATTAAATACGTGATGATAAACACAATTACAGAAAGGTCTACCACATATATAAGTGGACATCTTATGTGCAGAATACCTCATTAGTGCTTTACTGAAATCCTTAAAACAGTAGGCTCATAATTTATTTGTCTGTGAAACTATTCATTAAGCATAAGCAGAATGGCTCTGAAATATTAAAGTATTGATGTAGAATGCTATGAAACAGCTTCTAGTATGTTTTGTTTTCTGAAACCGTTAATAAACAACAACTGAAAACAGAGGTTTGCAGACGGTGCACTTCAGCGAAATATGCCCCCCATTGGATTGCATCAATAAGATCAGAGCAAATGATAACAGATGAATCAGAGGCACTTATGGATTTATCATAGGCATTCAGGAGAGAGCGCAGGTAACTTTTTCTTTTGTTTTTACTGTATGTATTGCGGCTGATGTGTACTGTGGTCGTTGCTGCCACCCAGGAGTGATGGGAGTGAACGCAGGACTTATCTTTTTGTATCAATAAGATCAGAGCAAATGATAACAGATGAATCAGAGGCACTTGGTGTAGCCTTTCAATCAGAAAAATCATATACCAGAGCTCAGTGACCTGAATGTCAAATTGGCACCTCAAATATATCATACAATCTGTAAAAGGCAAGATCTACTATAATATGCAACTAGTGCATATGAACATGCATCAGCCTTGAGGGGGGAGGAGGGGTTGACACGAAGGGAGGTTTTATTGTGTTTCGTTTTAATACAAACTTTTTTGCACTTGGCTAAATACAGAGTAAAGGTAGACTGCTGAAGAGACAGCGACTATGCTCGTGGAGGGTGAGGATATAGAAAATGGCAAAGAAAAGGTTGAAGCTGATTGAGCTGATTGATGCTAAAGACAGAAGGAAGAGGCTGGCAGAGAAATAATGGGAAAGAGACTGGGAGACAGAAAACATGGAAACAGAAACTGAGGAGAAGACAAGGGTTAATAAAAACTATGGACAAACACATACTGGAAAAAGAAACTGAAGGAAGATGTAGCATGTAAGGGGGAAGGGTGCAAACGTGATTGCATAGTGAGGCAAACATCCTTGTACTAGCCCTAATCAGCGTTCTACACAACGGCTACTGATCACGGATCATCATGCAACAGTTCAACTAAGAAGCATAAAATTCAGACACCCAATTTCACTGTGACCAACCTGCATTCAAGTGGCACTCTTTAATCTGGAACTGTAGCTCATTCTCATTGGGGATGTCCTTCCATGTGGCCAGGAAGACTTGTCGTTCTGCAAGAGAAAGGGTTTACATTAAAAGGATTCTTACATTAATATCAGGACAGAGTCTTTCATGCAGTGACCTGACAGCCTGGGCAAGAAGAGATAATAAAAAGTCAATTTTCTACATATCTGCTCACCTAATCACTTGGCAAACATAATATATACATGGGTTTGTTGAAGCTTGACACATTACATATAGCAGAGTCTCTTTACGTATGAAAGTATGATATTGGGACAATGTGTGCAATATTCTGCAGCAACTGCAGCGGTTCCATCGGACACCTATCAATCAGTAACAATGAAGGTATTGGGAAGACATCCCAAAGCTACTTTCAAGTCAGATTTTAAGTATGTAAATACAGGAGAACAGTTACAATCACTACTGTTCACATGGGTGCTTTATCAGGAATACACTTAATATACCCAGGGCCGGCCTTTGCTTGGGGCCCCTGGGCCTAGCATGCAATAACACACTCCACCACCACACAAAAAAACAAACATACATAGAGATACACAGGTACAGACATACAAAGACAGATACAAATACACACAAGTGCATTTACCAGTTCGTGTCTGCAGATGAAAAAGTAATCTTTAGACATTTCAAACGGCAGCAAGGCAGGGACGGACTGACAGACTTCTGGGCCCCTGGACAAAATTAACTATTGGGCCCCTTGAGATATATATAATTTCTTATTATTATTCAAAATGTTCGTTCTTGCACATACATGCAAAAAGGCAAGTTCCTACACACATCTCACTACAGACAGTTTACACTGACATACACAAGAACCTCTCTACAGACAGCTCACTGACATGTACACAATGTCACTACCCACAAGCTCACTCACAGACACACAGGCTTAATTCTGAAAAATCACTACACACAAGCTCACTTACAGACATTCAAGCTCACTATAGAAAGATCACTACACACAGCTCACTACATAAATCTCACTTCACACAAGTTCACCAACAGACATTCAAGATTACTATAGAAATAATCACTACACACCGCTCACTACACACACCAAGCTCAATACAGAAAGTTCACTGACATATCCAAGCTCACTACAAACCTCTATCTACACACAAACCTATGCAGCTCACTATGGACAGCTCACTGACACACACACAAGCTCACTACACACAGCTTGCTACAGAAACCTCAGACACACACACACAAGTTCACTAAACACAAGCTCACTGACACACTCACAAGCTAACTCACAGACACAAAAGTTCACAACAGAAAAATCACTTCACACAGCTCACTACAGAAATCTCACTACAGACAAGCTCACCCACAGACATTCAAGATCACTATATAAATAATCACTACACATCGCTCACAACAGAAAGCTAATTGATATATACAAGCGTCAAACCTCTAACTACACACACAGTCACACAGTTCACTGACACACATACACACACAAGCACACTACAGAAAACTGACACACATACACAAGCTCACTGACACACACACACACACATCTCAGTGAGACACACACAAGTTCACTACACACACCCAAGCTCAGTGTCACACACAAGCTCACTGACACACACCCAAGCTCACTAAACACAGGCTCATTACACATTGGCTCAATACACACACAAGATCACACTGCCACTCACCATTTGCTGCTGTGAATGGAGAGCTGGAAGCCTGGAACAAAGGCTGTTCCTTACAGCATGGCCGGGTTGGAAATGGGGCTGAGCTTAGGTGCTGTGGGCCTCTGCAGCTGGTGCTGCACATGGGAGAAGCTCACAGGGGCCCGTAGGGGTTTACCTTTGACTTCATAGAGGGGAGGGGCTGAGGGAGGAGGACATTCCCCTCCTCTTCTACAAATGTAGAGCTCTCCTGCCCGGGAAGTTTATGAGAGACCAGGTATCAAAGGTTCCTGCTGGCTTCACACTGCATTGCTGCCTTATTTAATGCTGGGCTGGTTGGGGAGATCCTTTGATCTCCCCAGCCCAGCCACAGCAGCTCCGGGCCCCTGGCTGCCACGGGCCCTCGGTCCATGACCGATGTGCCTGAGTGGTCAGTCCACCCCTGCAGCAAGGAGTTCACCAAATGATTTGTGCAGTCCTTGAACATATGTCATATGCTTTTCTATATTCTGCTTTGTCCCTTTAGTATACTTTATTAGCTATCTACATTCATACAGATTTTTCCTTTTACCCACTTGTCTTATCACAGCCTGTCTCTTGAAAGCTTTGAGCACTTTAAGTGGAATTTAAAATATCCACACGTTTTATTAAACTGCAATAATGTTTTTCTTTGCAAAAACACATGAATTATTTTATTAATCCAGTACCACTTATAATCAAGGCAGAGCGAATTTTCTTCATCAAGGTTGGCTAAAGGAAGATCCCAAGCTGTTGCAGAAACACAGTTCTACATTAAGCAGAGATAGTGACAATACATGACAGTCTTCTGTATGGTCAATCATCATGGTCCCAGACGTGTGCACAGGAGGCAATGTATATATTTCCATTTTAATAGACTGAACAGACACAGAAAGCACCTCATGCACATATATTAGATACCATCATCTTTCTAGTTATTACAAATTGAGAATGAAGACAAAAATGCTATACAACTTACTATACACATAAATGCACAACACCCCTGTCACTGAACAAATAAGAAGTGAAAATCCTAAGTTCTGCACTATGGACTTCCAATTTATGTTTGCCCAGTGTCAGGGATGTTGTGTTCATGACACACTATAGAGCTTTATGTATTATTTTGTGGCGTTTAACATTGAGCTGTAAATGGGTACATCAGCTAGGTCAAGCCGTTGCATTTTGCTGTCACAATCAATGCTTTTGCTTGCTGTGTAATGCAGAAGGTCATTCTGACAGCATCACTGCAGTTTGTATCAAAGTGCTGAGTGTTTAAATATTTCATAGACTTGCCATATTTTATGAACCTGCAAGACGTGGCAATGTCCCAGGATCTAGAAAGTGCTCGGAAAGAGATTTAAAAATGGCTGCTACAAAATAGTTATGGATATAAATATATATATATACATACACACACACACACACACACACCTATACAAACACATTTATGTGATCTTCTATGGGGCAGAATCTGGACATGAACGTCTCAGTCTGTCTGCAATTTGCGGGAGTTGAACACCAAACTTATAGCTGCTACCATTCTAACTCACTCTTGAGTTTATTTCTCAATGACATCGGGCAAGCGCCAACAGATGCATCTTCCAGTGCTTCAACAACACGACACACTTCCCATTAAAAGGTACACTCCAGAGCAGAGCTCAAATATCACATTACTAACCAGGCCTTAAAGGTTACCAGCCATTAAATGCCTGGAGGGTCAATAGTAGATTCACCACAGGTGACTTTCTACTCTCCAGTTCTGAAGTTTTATACACAATTGGCTTGTGGGTGAGTGGAAATTTTGAGCCCTGCTGTGAAATTAGGAATACAAACACGTATTCCTAATGATAGATTGCTATACTAACTATTTTGATTATCAGCTACGTCCATTACTTCCTTGTTGTTTATAGCAGTGGAGCTAAACTCAAGAGACAAGCAGTGCGCCTGCCTTGCAAAGACTTGTCATTGGGCTGCATTGGGAAGTCTGTGGAATTGGACAGCCACAGAAAGTCTGGGCTTGGGAAGAAAGGAAGCTTTTGCAACCTGTTTTTAGATATAAAAATGTTACATTTTTATTTCATTGCCCCCACTCTAGCTTGCTTTTCAGGAAGTGGGTTAATATCTTCGGTGCTTGAAACTTATCTCTGGTTAGGGAGTTATTAATATGTTCATTGGGAGGTGCTTGTGGTTTGCACATCCCTCCTGTTTGGTGCTTTGTGAATGCCATGGTAAGCTGGTAACAGCACTTTGATCCATTGTGAAGTGTTGGTTTGCAATAAAATAGATTATGAACTGTGCCCACCTGAGTTTCAGGCCACATACTCCCTCACTGAGATCTTTTGGTCATTCTACCCCCCCACATACCCCTTGCTTGTGATATGCATAACACCTGAGGTAAATGTTCCATGGGTTGTGAACCATGGCGTTTACAACCTAGTGACAAATATGTCCATGTCCCAAGCATACTAAAGTAAGAATTCAAAGTGAATGGCAAATTTAAGGCCAAAGTAGCTAAACTGACAGCATAGTAGTGTAAAAGAATTTGTGCGCAATGTGAATTAACGTTAAAATAGTATACCCTTAAGTGACTACTTGTAAATATTACTCAATTAGTACAATAAGGTGCTAAGGTACAAATGTACAACGTGTACAAACACAAGTACAATGATAAAAGTTCAAAATAGTGACAAAAAATATATTGCCAACCATACTAGTGTTATCAGAATTAAAATGAAAGATGGTCTCTTACCCATTTTTCCATCCTCAACAAACAGCACGTGGAGAGGTATGAGACAGCTGAAGTAGAAGACATCAATGTTGTTTTTCACAGCCACCTATCATACACAAAAGAGTGGTGAGCTGAAAATTAGAACAGGATGATAGACTTAAATCTCAAAGCATCATGCTGAAAAGAGAAACCCCCAGGCTGACCTCAAAGGCTTGCAACCATCCCTAAGACTCATTTTCCATCCAGGGCTACACAGCTACTCTGAAATCAAGCTCTCATCCAGATGAATTAAAGTGACATTTGTATGTCTGTGCTGTTCTATAAATAATTGTATGCCCTTTTGGTTATTACTGACCGAAGCGTATTACAAGTGCTTGGCCAGATATTAATACAATATATCAACTCACTTAATTTCCATCTTTCAGTTCCCTTGGCAAACACACAGACACATTATTATCATTTCACGGTTTCTTGCCTGAAGACTACATTTCACACACTATATAGAAAGAATGTACAAAATAACAGTAACACCTAGCAATATGTGAATAGCAAGAACCTAGTAAGAAGCAGAGCCACCATTTGCCATCAGAACAGCTTCAATACTTGTAATAATGTCCGACTAGTATATAAATACTGGGGCACTACACCATTATTCAAGAGTTAAAGCTTATATCCAACTTGAGAACATTACACAACTTACCATAAATAGTTCAATGACGTATAAATCTGGTAAATTAATGAGCCTACTGAAGGCTCTTAACAGTTTGCATGGTGGCATGGTCATCACAGAACATTGGCAAATAACAGAACTGAGTTTTGCAACACAACGTGCAGATGGCACAATTAAATAGTCTAATATTCATAATACAAATTTGCAAAACAGGACATTATAAAAGTTAGTGTTGGAAATATGCCTACAGCCTTCCTTATGCTATAATTAAACTAGGGCAGAGAATAAATGATATAAAGTCACTAAGGCCAGATTATTATTTTTCCCCAAAAAATGGTCCAGGTTTTAAGTCTTCATGTGTTAGCTTTAATACTTGTTTTGATAGTAGGTGTATACTGCTATAAAATCTAAGTCGTAAATCATTGGCCTGGGTGGATCATGTTATGTCAAGTTATCATTGCCCTATTATAACCCTGCTAAAGGTATATATGTTTTAAATAAGCATTTTCCGTTATACATTACTATGGCCCTATAGGTTAGAATCTTGTATCTGTGGGTCCACGTGCCGTAATAACATAACTTTTTTTTTTTTATCCATAGCATAGTTCAGATTATTCCTATGGATTAAAGCCTTAGATACAAGTGATGTTTGTATCACATTACGTTTATCTGTGATAGCGAGCTTTGACTTGCATCCACCATTCTTTTATATGAGCATATTCGTCTACTTATAGCATATGCCTTAATTATTTCTGAAATTGTAATAATTTAAAGTTTCTTATGACATATCTGATAAAGACTCTTTGGAATCTTGGGAGCTATATTTGTTAACTCATAATGCTTTAAAGTTTCACATATTAAAGTACTAATTGGCAGACCTTCTTTATAGCTGGGATATACCCCCTAATTAACAAGCAACCTATTTTGATGCACCTTGGTAGTTTTGTCATTGTGATTTAACTACATCCAAGTTCTTCCTTCATTCCTTTTTTGTGTTATGTGTCTGTCATTGTCCACTTCATTTAAATGGCTACACAAATACCATTTATAAAAAAAAAAAATAAATAAAAAAAACACACCACACCATAACGTTACCATTTATGTATGATGAGGAATGAATGAAACAAACAGCATTTTCAAACAAATATTTTAAACAAATATTCAAACCAAAACTGGTGAAGAGATCTTTCAACTGTACATGTTTTAATCTGTCAGGCAGGCCCAAAGCACTTTCCAGCATTCCTAGGGATAAAATGTCCTCACTGGAGTTGGTGTGGAAAGCATATGAAAGAAGAAGCATGTAAATATGGGGATAAAAACATGTATCTGCTTTTTCAGCCTGCAGAGGCTAAAGCTTTCTGAATGACACAGCTGTCTCAAAGTGAGTTATGTGCCTTAAAACCCCCCAACTAGAAACAGCTTCTGGCCACATACTTAAACAAGGTACCAGAAGGTCAGTCTGAAATTAACAGAGCTTCTATGAATGAACGTAATCTAGCATCAAAACTGATTATAACAGACACCAGAATATAATTACAGAGACAGACAGGCAAAGAGATAGCACAGATATTTCCAGGTCTGTATTATAAGCAAGTGACCCAGACCTTTTAGGGCCAGAAGTGGTTCGATGTTTACTTATAGAAGACACAGCTGCCTGCTGCTTTGCTTGTCTCTCACAAAAATACAAACTTGGTTTTTCTGTTGTTTTCTTAGTCCTTTGGGAGTCAGTAGGCATAAATAACAGATATTCTGAATGTATCTCCTAAGGGTGCAGACACTGCCAGAATACTCTTCATTTGCATATTGTATGTATTTTGTGGACTATAGCGGCGTGGGTTCATCCAAATCAATTGTCTGGCCTTCTATTATCCCATTACACTTTGTCTGGTGTGGTGGCAGCATCAATCCCGTGCAATGCAGCCAATTTAGCAATGAGACAATATGCTGCTCTTATCTACTGGACAGTCTGACTATATTTACAAGTACTTCAAAACCCATGAACAATAGTTCTGTCTTAAATAAATAAATAAAAAAGCTAAATAAAAATCTACACTTTAAAAGCACAACAGCTATTTCTCACAAGCAGTACGGCACATGTTTGTTCCCCATGTTACTGGGCTCAAAGGGCCATACATGAAAAATATTCCATAAAGCTCTGATCAGAGGATAATTTGGAGCTGGACAAGTCTCCCTTCCTCTGCTTCTGAAATAAATATTATCTCCTGCTATTCAGGCATCATCAAGTGCTGTGAGATATGCTTGTACCTTACACACACACACACACACAATTAACCCGGCTGAGTGTTTTGCATTGGATATCATATGGTTTTACTAAGGTCTTGAATCAGAGATGTTCCTGGTAGATCTCGGAGAGTTGGGAGTTCTATAACTTATACACAGGGTTATTCATTAAAAGTGTCAAGTGCCCAATTTTAAAGGGTTACTCCAACCTCCATGACCAATTCTGCTTTTAGATGTGGTCATGGTGGTAGAAATCTGTATGAGCGGCATTTCTGCTTGAAACATTGCACATACAGAGATATATGCACTTTTGTGTTCGGGGCTAGCTAGTTACAACCCTGGCACATGTGATTTAGGCACTCTATTCCAGGCTGCCTAATGTTAAATCTGTGCAAAAATGTCTATATAGTCTGTGCACTTCCTTGGTGCGCTCCCACCCTGCCTCTATCAATTGACAGTTCTTTTTTTTTCTTATTAATTCCTTTCCTCATCCACCCTCACAAGAGCACGCACATGTGCTCAGAGCCATTGAGAACGGCAAAATAAAAAGCTTCTCTATGAAAATCATTTGATTGGACCTCAGTGAGGGAAGGAGTGTCAGACAGGGCATGGAAGGCGGCAGGGAGAGCTTAGCCTGCCACTGGATTCCAGGTAAGCTTATTTATCAAGGGTTTTTTTTATTTTTTTTTATACAGTCTTCATACCTATAGTGGGGGGAGTGGACCCAGTGAATAATAAGGCATTCTACATTAAATGCAATGTTTTTGGCTAAAACGGTTGGAGTAACCCTTTAAACCATAGTAGTCAAAAAGAAAATATAGGTGACAAAGAATTATTCCAATGTATACTATTATAAAAATTCTTTTGGCAGAACATTCACTTTAAAGTCATATTGGATTCCTGACAATTCACACTTTAAATGTCGAATTATAATGTTCAAACTGCAGCCATAGTGCAGGTTCATCATGCAAGTAGAATTTTATATGTTAAAGCTTCCACATACTAAGAAAATAAAATTACCAAAAACTACTACTAAACTACTTATACTATCATTTCAAGTTCTTTACTGAATGAGCATTAGAATTGTAAATTGTAAGCATCACATCAAAACTTCAAATATTTATGTTAATTCAATTGTTGTGTATAGAGTTTTGTAATTCTGCAAACACATTGATTTTAATTCTAAACTACATGAGCTAAAATAAAAATGTGCGCCCCCTAAAGGTTTGGCCTATCTACCCATAATACTGGAGGCATTGGGGGGTTTATTAAGTTTACAATATATGCAATATAAAATTGTTATGAACTGACAAAATAGCCAATATGCAAACATTCTCTAGCTCAAGTACAGTAACAGGCTACATACTATAACATTTTCAAACGCAAGATCCAGGCCACAAGAGGATATCCGGTGAAACAGCTATCTTTCCTTAGACAGAGCAATGCTAGCAATTGGCAACTAGCAAACTAGCCCTGGTGAGTAGAAAAAACATCCCTGTTGAGTATGCTATGGCTTGCTGTGCAGGGCAACTTTTGAAGCCTGGATAGTAGCAGAACTGCCTGAAAAAACGTTTACACCTCTGCCACGGTGAACTACATTTTGCAAGTCAGTTGTCAATTCAATGTTTAGTAAATACACCCCATGGATAATTCATAATTTAATTTTAGATCATGGAAATTTCCCTTGTTTGGCTATATGTAATAAGTGTACCCACATCCTTATAGATGGAATATTTACGGAAATGGAAAAAGGAAGACAATGTGCACAAACACGAATATATTTGTTCGGCATGCAACCATTTTATTCAGCCAAACAAATGATTACTAGAAATCCCAGCATTTGTAAAGATATTCACCGTGCAGATGGGGTTCGGATACTGGGGCACATTACCACCTGTATTCCTACCATGGAAAGAGCCACAAAGAAAAAAAATTAAGTAGAACTGACATGTAGGAGATGGCAGAGTCACAAATGACATGTCTGGCATGGGTGGAAGACACTAATTGAATTTTGTAGATGCATCAGTAGCACTGAATTGAGGGAGCAGATGGCTCTATGGGAATACATCAACCAATACACCCAACCGAACCAATGCTCTACACAGTGAATAGGCTCTGGTGGATGAGTGCCCCTGCCTTGGACAAGCATCCAGCATTTTCTTATTGCTGTGTATGCATACAAATTCTACTGTTATTTGTCTCCTGTTGTGTGCAGTAAAATTAAATCCAGAAGCATCTCTGACATTACTTCTGCAAATATCCTGTCGAACAGTAATAAAAGTGCAAAGGTCACAAGAATCTGAGCTTTTATCTCATTAACCACTACAAACACACTACATTCACTTTACACCCTCTGCATTCACTATACACACTCTGCATTTATTATGCACATTCTGCACTCACTACACACTACATTCACTATACACACTCTGCATTCACTACAAACACACTGCATTCTGTGTACACACTCTGCACTCACTAAAAACACACTGCATTCATTATACACACTCTGCATTCACTACAAACACACTACATTCATTATACACACCCTGCACTGCACTATATGCATAGGAGTGTAATTTTTTTTTTTTTAAAGGGGGGGGCGGGGCGGGAATCTTGGGTGAGTTCCCACACTTTTTTCCCCAGGACTTGACCCCTGACTAGTGCTCAAATGTACCATTTGGCTTTAGAGAACATGCAATTAAATTATGTGTGTGAGATTCTTTACACTGGGTTATAACTGCACTTCATGCAACTAGCAGACAGAGTCTGTGTTTCCAAAGTCACTAGCTAAACTACATATTATATAATGAATACCTTGTAAAAATGATCGAGTTTAGTTTTGTTTGCTTTCAAGTCAAGGTTGCAATATGGATTCTAGCAATAGAAAGTCAGTAAATGCAACTTTCATAGTTTTATGATAATGGTCACTTAGGCATGGTGTAGCAATCAAGGTCTGTTTAAATGGAGATGGGCCAAGTCACTGTAGGCGCTCTAACCATTTAATATCATTGAATTTATTGTAGTCTCCTATCACTGTCACTCCAGTTTTAAACCCTTTTCAAACAGTTTAACACTAAATAAGTGTGCCTGGTGACGTATAGCCCAGACCCGTACTGGAGGTATGGCACCTTTCTAGCCAACCACATAGTGCTCATTTGTGTGAGTGGAATTTCATTGTAGACACCCTTGGTATCAAGGAAAAAGTCAGATAACCAGAACACAGAAGTGTAGTGGATGTAAGAACATTTATTTTATTAACTTACTTATGTTGCTTCATTCGCCCCAGTAAATGTTACAATAGTGATTAACACATTGAAGGAACAGTATTGGAACAGGCTGTATTGCAAATGGAGGGGCAGGAGAAGCATATCTATAGTGCTCAATAGCGCATATAACACACACACCAAAACGTTTTTTAGTGCATCGATGGTCAGTGCCACAGGACTTCAGACACTTTCTTGTTTATCAGACAAAGCTATTAACCCCTTAAGGACGATGAGGGACCCAGTCCGTCATGCTGGGGAAGCACTTAAAGATGGATGACTGACACGCTAAAATTAACCCCAGTTCGCCGCCGTGCCGGCGATCGCGTGGTTAATGATGTTGCTGGGTGTCTACGAGTCAGTGGCAGACCAGCAACATCAAATCGCGATGTCGCAGCCCGTCACTAGTGATGTCGCGAACCGTTCGCGAACTTCCCGCAAACGGCTCGCCACAAGCTCCGGTCAGCTGACACATCCCGGCCAATCTCCAGCAGACCCTACCTCCCAGACCCTCCCACCTCCTGGACAGCATCTATGTAGAAGGCAGCTGTCCAGGAGGTGGGAGGACTGCTGGAGATTGGCCGGGATGTGTCAGCTGAATGGAGCTCTCCACGAACAGTTCGCGGCGAGCCGTTCGCGAACGGTTCGCGACATCTCTACCCGTCACAGCGGTCAAAATGCTGCTGGGATATCAGATCCGCCTCCCTCCACCTCTGTTGGGTTTGTGAAGTGGAGAGAGATGGATCGTTGTTACTTTGTGTCCCTGAAGATAAATTGTTTGAAGAGATTCCAAATCCCCTTTAGCCTGTGCTTTAAAAAAAAAAAAAGAACCCTTCCCTGCTGATTGATCACTGCAAGCAGCAATCAAAATACAGATCACAGTACTTTACTGTGATCAAGTTTATTTTTTTACCCTCAGTGGTTAAATTAGATTTCTTTAAATAACCATAAGGGGTTACAATTAGTGATGTCCCAAACGGTCTGCCGCGGACGGCGAACATATGCGGTAAACTTTGACCCTGTACCGCACAGTCAGCAGACACATTCCAGCCAATCAGCAGCAGACCCTCCCTCCCAGACCCTCCCACCTCCTGGACAGCATCCATTTTACATTCATTGTGAAGCTGCATTCTTAGTGAGCTGTCCAGGAGGTGGGAGGGTCTGGGAGGGAGGGTCTGCTGCTGATTGGCTGGAATGAGTCTGCTGACTGTGAGGTACAGGGTCAAAGTTTACTGCATATGTTCGCCGTCTGCTAGTTATTTAGTTATAGTTTATTACCGTAGTACACAATGTTTAGAAAGTATGGCGCAGAGGAGGCTTATGCCCTGTTAGCGTCTGCCTCAGAGGCGACAGACACTGCCTCAGAGAGTGACGCAGAGGACAGGGACTATGTGCCAAATACTGCAGGATCATCATGAGAATTTGCTGATTTCCCTGATGCTGAACATGGCGCAGATGACTAGTTACCCCCTAAAAAATTTGTAACCAGACATCCCCAGAATTCACTGCCAAAACCTGGCATACAGTCTGACCGGTCTGTCTATAATGCGCTGGATTGTATGCAGCTGTTTTCGGGGGATGATATTTTTGGGGAGATAGTCATGCAGTCACCACCATTGTGCCAGAATTGAAACAATTCTAGGCACGGACAATGTTAATTGGAATAACTAAAAAGCCCACCTTTAAAATGTATTGGTCTAAAAACCACATTTGCAATACCCCCATTTTTTCCCAGACAATGAATAGGGACAGATATGAAGACATACTGCGATTTATGCACTTTAGTGACAATACGAAGTGCCACCCAAAAGGACATCCGCAATATGATGTTCTATATAAAATACGCCCTGTAATCGCCCACTTTAATGAAAAATTTGCCACTATTCATACCCCCAAAAACATATTTCTATTGACGAATCCCATGTGAAGTATAAGGGAAGACTGGGGTTTAAACAGTACATCCCATCCAAAAGATCCCAATATGGGATAAAATTTTATAAATTGTGTGAAAGTGGCAGTGGCTATGTGTACACCTTCCGTGTATGCGAAGGAACAGATAGCCACCATGATCCCCCAGGTTGCCCAAATATAGTATATTGCTAATTTTTACAATAGTATCCCACTTCTAAAAATGCTGTACTGCTTTGAGACCGTGGCCTGTGGCACTATCCGATCTGGAAGAGTCACACGGGTTTCCCAAAGGCTCTAGCAGAAAAAAAATAAAAAGGAGAAAGGGGAAAAAGGGGTGGGGAAGGGGGGAACAGCAGCTCTCTGCTGGATGAATTGCCGGCACTAAAGTACGGTTATAAAAACGAGGTATTCATCCTAACCACCATCCATGGTGTATGCACTCACAAGGTCGCAGCTACCGAATCTTGTCTTTGTCTCCCGTTTATCCTGTCTTCTCTGATCCTTGACCTCGGCTTGGAACTTGACTATTCTCTGCTTGTTTAGCCCGGTCATTCTAACCGGCATTACAAGTTTCACTCTCTGTGTTCTCTCTCTTTGTGGTCTGCCTATGTGTTTTGGTTCCCGAATCAGTGACAGCGTTGCCCGTGACATAGATGACTGGGTACTACGCCCTGATAAGTTTACGCCAAATATTCCCCCTTTCACAGCAAATAGTATGCACTTGTTCAGAATTTGAATTGATGAGCTGCTTATATTTAAAAATAGATGTGGCCTCTGAGATGTAATTTGCTATCACGAGCTGCTAAAATTAGACTTGGGCCCAGCATTCGCTTTTGAAAAATATGAAATTGGTGTGTCTCAAATGTACCCCATCAACATCCACATATCTCGGAAAAAGGTACACATGGGGATATTGTTGTACTAAGACGACATAGCTGAGCAACATATTAGGTGTTATACTGCCGTAGCACACATAAGTATAGCAAAATATACAGTAACAGCTCCAAGTGTGTTTCAAAAAGGCAAAAAAAAAATTTAATTGCTACTAGACTTTATACAAACTTGCAAAAAAAAAGATTCTACACTAAGGTTTAAAATACCCCCTTTTTGAAATACCGTGGTGGTGTCTACTTTTACAAATGGTTGGCCTTTGTGGGGGTTTATTGAACAGTCAAACTGCTATAATACCTCAAATTCTCATCAAATCAGTCTCTCAAAATTCTACTGTAAATACTGAAATGGACAGGTCTCCTGGCACTGTAGCTTCATGAAATAGTGCCAATGACATTCATTGGTGGTATCGTTTTACTCAGAAGACTTGGCTGAGCATAATTTTGGGGCTTTGATCATAGTGGAACATATCATATATAGAAAATGCCCTGCAAAAATGTAATACGTATGTAAAAAATGCCATAAATTATTTTTTACCACAAACTTTGACATTTATTGGTGAAACAATGGGGGCATGTTAAGGCACAATATGCACCACATGAGATACCCCATGGTGTCTACCTTTACAAATGGTAGGCCTTTGTGGGTTTTTTTTTGAACAGTCAAACTGCTATAATACCCCAAATTGAAACATAGGCCCATCAAATCAGTCTCTCAAAATTCTACTGTAAATACTGAAATGGACGTGTCTCCGATACGGCACTGTAGCTTCACGAAATAGTGCCAAAGACATACAATGGGGGTATCGCTGCACTCAGCAGATGTAACGAATAGCACACACCGAGTTTACGAAATACACATGAGGAGATCTTTGTTATAAGTTTGTGTGTCAAAAACCAAACCCCCCCACAGCTTTACTCCAATATTTAGCAGAGATTGGTGATAAAATTACTGTGTAAAAAGTGTCAAAATAACCTTAGGTTAAAAGCCTGTGATGTCTACTTTATATAAATATATACTTTTGTGTGGCAATTTTTATTTTATTTTTTTAATTACTTATGCTGCTTTATTCACCCCAGTAAATGTTACAATAGTGATTAACACATTGAAGGAACTGGGAACTGTCACTTTTCAAGAAGGGACAGCTCCTCTTTAAGAACATTGGTGTGCCCACTAAAAATGTTCCTGGTTAAGACCTGCCATTGTACGGACTTGGCAATCAAATGTATCTGGGATCCAAAAAATGTTTTGTCAATCTTTGTTTTACTGCGGTAAAAACATCAGTTTACAATAGTCAGATTGGATGCAGTGATAACAATAGTGTGATTTACATTTGCAACAATACATAGCATTTGGTAATGATAACCTCTTTTATTTATTTTTTATTACGTTTGTGGGTCAGGTGGTGCTGGTTAATAAGATTTATATTAATGACAAGTTGTGTCCGGTGCAGATACCCTTTTGTTGGCGAAACTGGCATATCATAACAGTGGAGAGAAACGCGCTACTCAGAACCTTTAGGTCGGTCAAGTCTGTAAGCCATCTAGTTAGCCAAGAAAGTTATGGTTTGCGTGTGCGCTAGCTAATGGGCACTATGAGGAGTGGCACCTCTGGTATGGTGACAGGTATCTGCAGACTATGTGGCTGGTTGGGTTAAAGACCCTTTTCGTGTGGGTTCCAGAGGGGCGAAAACAATATTTGTTTAAGAACCTAGAGTTCCATCCAAGCTAATGGAGCCATCCTAGGTCAAGGTGATACCACTAATTTTGACTGCGTGTCAGGTCTGGTTAGGCAAAAACTGACAGCAACCTATACAGTGTAGAGCGGGTGTGGAGTTAAATAGAGTGGGTGCATCAACAAGAAAACATATGAATAACACATGTGAACATAATGTGCTGCTCTTCAGGTAGCTCAGGTTGCCACTCCAGGCTTCTCCCTGCTTCGAGATCGGAAAGGCTCCACTCATGCTGTGGTTGGTGAGGGAGGCATTCAACTTGGCTGTGTTTGGAGTGATCCCCAATGTTTGGAGGAAGGTGGTGGCATCTGTGAGGGAGGCGAGTCTCAGCACTCTACCATCTGTAGTAGTAGCCATAAGGGATCTTGGTAAAGTCCAGCGGTATTCCACCCCGGCCTTTCGCAGCTGGCCTGTGACTTCTCCAAGATACCTCCTCCATTGCAGTGTATTCCTAGTTAGATCTTGGAAGAATGTGAGCTTGGATCCCTCAAATTCGCAAGGAGTTTTACCCTGTACTGCTGTCAGACTTCGATTTTTGCTGGAAAGTGAGTGACATCTCACTATAATGTCCCGGTGGCCTCCGTTGGGGCTTGTCTGGACTTGTTGATTCTGTAACAGCCATCGAAGATGAGCTTTTTTGCTTGAGAGTGTGGTAGGATTGTTTCTGTCAAGCGCCGCAGGTAGTGTGGCAGTACAGCTGGGCCGATTAAGTCTGGGACGCCTCAGATCTTAATGTTAGCGCGTCTGTTGCGGTCTTCGGCAATATCTACTCGCTGTGTCAGAGATGTGTGCGAGTGTTACAGGCTTTGTATTTGTTCTTTCAGCCCCTGTACCTCTTGCTTAAGGTCCATGACCTCTTCTTCAATGGCTTGTGTGCGCGCTGTCACTAGCTGTACCTCAGCTCGGGAAACGTTAAGATCTGCTGCTGACATTTGTCTGAATTTTTCTTGTTTAGTGGCAGGTGCCTCTCTATGCCATTTCTTCTAGCAGTGTCGAAGGAGAGGCTGTGTCACCTGCATCTGTGGTATCTGCACGGGAATCTGCCCCGTGCATCCCACTATTTGACCGGGCCGCCATCTTGGATGCAGCTGTGCGCTGTAACATTGCCACGATATCCTGGATGGCTTTGCTGGTGCCCGCTTGTGGCTTTTGGGATCTGCATCCCATGCTGTCAGTGGGTAGAGTGGAGTAGTCAGGCAGCCACGGGGAGCTGTACAATTTGTCTATCTTGGACTCCAGGTCCCGCAGGACGGCCCGTGAGGCTGAGCACTCGAGGTAGGCACCGGTTTTGCGTCAATCTTTTCTGCCCCTTTTGGGTACAGAAACGGCATGGGTCTGAAGCTCACCCTCTGCTGTCTATGTTGTGAGCTAGGAGATGTGTGGATTTAAGCGCATAGTTCACCAAGTGTACGGAGCTGTGGTGGATGACGTCCATTCAGCTCAGGCTCTAAGCTCCGCGCCCCTGGGGTCTAAATTTTTACCAGTAGAGTGCTGTAGATATGACAACATCAAAGAAGCAAAAAGCTTCATATAGGTATAAGCGCCTTACTGGCCAAATTATAATAGTGCCATGTAATGTGTCACATGGTTTTTTTTGTGTGAATAAGGAATGTAAAATGTAATGAAATACAGGACTTAACTAAATGCTTCGTCAAACAAATTAACAACTACAAAGTAGGATCTTTGCTTTGGATGTAAATAAGTCTACAGTTCTGGATCTTTTTCTGTCTAACAAGCGAGAGCAGACACTTTATGGTTTCAATCAGTTCTGGTACTGTAGTAAAATCTCACCTGTTCTTGTTAAATTGAATAGCAAAGTCAGTCATGTGCTGCAGGGCCTTGTTGGTGAAGTTCATGTCCATGTAGATGTGTCCCTGCCTATGAGAGAAGGTACCAGAGATTTCAAGTCCTTTGGCTTTCACAGCTGGGAGCCAGACCTGTAAGAAATTGTTCAAATTACCTCAAGTGACAAATATTATATGGATCTGTTCAATCGAAGAATAGGTTACCAAAGTTGTGGCTTGAATGATCATCTTAAACAGCTTTCCATTCACAATAATCGATGTATGAGACTGTGGACAGGCTGTCAATCATAGAATATATTTTTTAAAGGTTAAGTTGCACAGTCTTGCAACCAGCAACAGTTCAGGTGATGTGGACATTTTGCAGACTAGCTCTAAATCAACTATTCACTAATGGCAAATAGGTTCCAAAAAACTAACAGCATCTTTGCTTATAAGTATAGCAAATCTAATTTACTAAGCATGACTTATACATTGTCACATGTCCCAACTGTGCAATGTAAAAAATAAAAAAAACTTACTCTATTGAGCTGCCACCAGACAAAGAATAAAGTCAGCAGGCCCACTAAATGGAATGATTGTAAACTCACAATCTGAATGCTAAACAGCATTCATAGGTTACTGCATCAAACCTAGCTTTAACATTGCTCAAAAACATTTACAATAATGTAAATGGTGTAGAAACAGCATAAAAAAAGCTTAGGATAGTATTCCTTCAAAACAAATCTGTTCTGAATAAAATCATGCTTAAAACAATTTATAGTGATGTAGAAGGCAACTTTAAAACACAAAGTATTTATGGTCTGTGATTCATGTGTCTGTTTCTCTAGAATAACCATAAATCTTGCTGATAGGTCATGCTTCATTGCTACCTGATCATATGTCTCAATGCCTGTAATTCAACACCAACAGATCAATACAATAATACTATTTTAAGAAAATTAGATGCGATGTAAAAACTTCACGCTAACAAAAACATTTATCTAGCATGACCGAGTAAAATCTGCAAACTAAGAACTGAGTCAAATCTCTTCCCAGTACTATATTGCCTTTTGTACAAATTGCCAGCATATTAAGCAAATGTCACACTGTACCAACTGTTGATGGATTCCATCCACCCCCCCTATAGGGTTTTCTGTATTCCAAGATAATGTCATCACTTTTTAGTGAAAGACTTTTAATACAATATGGCAATATTACAAACTCCTGTTATATTTCAAAAACAATACTGCAAACTTATAAGGAGTTAATAATGAGAGTTGTGCAAAACTGACAATCAAAATCAACTGAATGTTTCATCGACTGCCTTGCATTTAAAACAAAATTGCTTTAAATGTAAATAACTCCAACTGTAGCCAAAACGTAGCAATTTAATAGCTTTTTCTATTTTCACAAATCAATTTCACCACTTGTAGCATTTTCACACACACAAAAAAAATTCTTATCCTATCCAAAATGGGATAAGACACTCTCCTACAGCAGGTGTGCATGTAACTGAGAACGCATAGTAAGCAGAGCTTCCCATAGCAACAAAAGGTTGTCAGGGACCGGAATGTGACTATGACAAAAAGTGTTGAATAGGTTTAACACTCTTAGAAGTGACTGAATAGTTAGCGAAGCATTGTCGGTGAACAGCTAAAGGTGACGTCAAAATAATTCTTTATTGAATATATATCAAGAGGACATACAATTTAACTACAACTCACTGCCTTTGACGCAACAAATCCACCTGGGGCCATTCCAATTCCTGTGGACAGCTCGAACAAGTCATTCAGGCCACTACTGACCACGGCTGGAGTAGGGGATGGAGCAAATGTTGCAGGAACAGAGGATGGAATAAAGGATTGGCCAACCTGTAAAATAAAACAAGATGACAATTAAAGCGATCCTCATATCAGTACAGTAGATAGGACTAAAAGCTTTACACTATATATATTAACTAGTTTAGATTACAGAAATGGAAAACCAGAAATATTTTGATCTGAAACGCAATATTTTATGGCATGGTACCATCTCAGGAGCAAAAGCCAATGTCTTGGCAGAAGCACAACTCTTTTTTTTTTTCATCAATCACTACAAAGAGATACATTTGGCATTGATAAGAAATTCAATGACACTACTGTGATTTATATACTACATGCATATTTTATTTTCTACCATGCCAATGTGCATAACATTCTACTTAAAGAAAAGAGAAATGAAATATTGCTTTTTATCAAATAAATAGTTAGCTTTCAATCAAGCTTGTAAACAATCGTCCCAACTAAAAATATGCCAGATAATTGGCAAGAAAAAGCAAAAGGTTGGAACATGATTTTACAAAATGAAAGAGTAATAATTTTGCATGGTTGGAAATAATGGAGTATAAAGAAAAATAAAATAAAGAGTTGCGGGGTACTTTTTCTTTAACATTTTGTGAATTTGTGTTTCACTAGCTTTCAAATTGGAAGAATGTAAAAATTAGCTTAGCCCCAGCTGTATATTAACGTCTAGAATTACAATCTAAAATCTACAGGACTGAGTCCTATATAAAAGTTACACACTCTGTTACACCTCTACAATACAGTATAAAGAAGTCAGGGGGCTTACCGCTGGACTTCCACCAATGCCTCCACCAAGGTCACTTCCCAGCTGAAAGAGAAAATATTGGGAGGATCATCAAATAATTAAATAACCAAGCCTCGATTTGCTTTTTCACAAATAACACCTCTGAGGATGCAGGTCTTTTTAAGTCTCCATGCAGGTCTATAATATGACTGATGGAGCATTAACCATTATAAAAGAAATGAGTAGAGTAATTATTAGGCAACTATAATAAATCTAAATCTAAGCACTGAAAAATCAACAAATTATAAAAGTTAATTAAACATTAAAGGTACAATGGTGGCAAAAAGAGGTGGGAACCCTTTAGAATTACTTTTACTATTTCTTCATACCTACAGGACCATTGCAAGGATTTCTGCAGCCCTACGCAAAGATTTATTTTGCCGCCGCCTCATGTCACTCACTCATTGACAGACACACACACACAGACACTCACTCACACAGGCAGATACTCACCAACAGACACACACACACTCATTGACACACAGACACTCACGGACATACATACACTCACCTCCCTGGGGTCCAGTGCGCTGTTTAGTATGCCGGCGCCGGAATTACACCATATTCCGGCTTCCGACATCAGAGGGCGCGCGAGGGAGGAGTGAGAGGCTGCAAGAACAGTCTCCTTCGCCGCCTGGCTTTTCCGTCCCCCTGTCCTCAGGTAAACAGCATTTGTTGGCAGAGCAGGCACCTGCCATCAAGGTAACCAGGTGCCTGCTCTGCCTTACCTAGCACAGCATCAGGTGCGCCCTGATGCTGTGCTAGGTAAGGCGTTCGCCCAGTGCTGCTGTCCCAGACAGGGGGTGCCCACCAGGAAATATCCCGGTGGGCACCCCTAGCAGGCCGGCTCCCTAGGCGAATGCCTAGTGTGACTAACGGTTGCGCCAGCCATGAAGACCTATAATGTGATTTTTCATGCAAGTTGTAATACTATGTAGAGTAGGGATGCCCAAAAGATAGATCCCCAGATGTTATGGAACCACAAGTCCCATGATGGCTTGCATGCCTTTAGAATGACGATGCATCATGGTAGCTGTAGTTGTAAAAAATCTGGGTATCGATCTTTTTGGCACCCCTGATATAGAGAATAGGCCATTTTAATTTACTGCTTCAAATTTCTTTAGTACAACATTTCTAAGAAGCAATGACTTCCACCAAACATGCCCTGCACTTAGTGACCAATTCAACATATGTGCTTGGGGAATTTTGTCTCATTCCAACCCACATCAATTGTTGGTCTGTCAGACTGTTTTCTGCAAATTGTGGCACAACATTTCAGTTGAGTTACAGCAAGATAATTTACTTCAGTATTGAAAATGACTGGATATAATATGTAAATACCAAGGCCTAATGAAAATAAATGTACACAGGTGAATGTTTATTACTGGAGTGAATATATCTGTAGGCCTTCCATGTTGACAAGACTATTTATCATAATTATAATTAGCCGCCAGTCTCAAAATGTTTCAGATATGTTCCAAAATAACAACTCCCCCCCAAAACATGGTCGTGTGCATCTATAATGGAGTCGGTCTGAAAAATATTTTCTTACGAGACCCTATCTTGTTACAATCTCTTCTTTATGGTCTATTACTTAAAAATGATTGAACTCATCAAAAATCTTTCTTTCTGACCCAATGCAATCAAAAGCGTCACTAGGCTCAATCCAGAACATATCTTAATGGGCTACTTGTGCAGTGGGTATGATTCATTGTTCTTTCTAAGAATATTGCGAATGTGCTGTGTATTTCACTGTTAAAATGTGGTTAACTAATCTGATGTGAGTACTGAATGCATGGAATTATTAATCAATAGAGGCAGTATGATTGATTATAGCATGGTAAAGGTTCATTTGGCTGCTTTTTAACCATGACCTATGAGTTTAACGGTGTCTGAGAAGCAATTGGTTAAATCTTGTTGGTGTCTGTCACAAAATTAAACACTGTTGAGTCGCAGGGACGGTAGAGTCACCTGTCATAATAGGCCCACCCGACCAACGAGATACACAGGTGGAGTACCCCACAGCTAGGACCCATATAAGACCCGGCCTTAGGGAATGTTCACGTGATTCAGGTCATACACGAATACAACTACAAGGACATAAATCCTATTAGCTGCTATATTACATATAATGTATGTCACATCTGAATAATTACGGTAGTTATTGCATTCTTCATGTCTCATTACACCGCTATTCACAGCTAGGAGGCCTGCGAGTCTCACACTAGTCATTACTGCAATGTTAATCTGTCGTACCTAAAAGTTCACACCTTAAAAAAAGCTTTGAAGCATTAAATAAAAAATCTTGTTGGTGTCTGAAAAACACAAGGAAATAGTAAAGCAATTAAGGCACGTTTTCGTTTCCGGTTTGTAAACCAAACAGTGTAGAGGACTTTAAAGACTGGCCTCTGAAGTCCAACATCATTATTACAGGACCTTGGATAACTACATAAACTGAACACAGGTGTCCATCAAGCTTAAAATCTTACATCTGTTTTTGCGTTTGATTCAAGAAGGCAAAAAACCTTTTAGACACGCTTTCCAAATCTGCTAAAACAAGGAAGAATTCCTTTCGCAACAAAAGAACAGGAGTGATATATCTTGGATCAAGAAGCTTTTACCCCATAAACTATATTCCTAAATATGTTTTTGCAAGTATTCACCTAGTTGCGGTTTAAAAATCTGTATAAACTTTGATAAAACCACCTCTTCAGGAGAAGAATTCTACATCTTTATTGTTCTTACTAAAAAGAAACCCTTTGCCTTAGACTAAATCTTTTTTTTTCGAATCTAAATGCATAGCCCTGTTTATGTATACATTTCCAGACAATGATTGTAATTATTATTATTTTATTATTCCGTAGCGCTGTACAATGGTGATATGGCCCTTTGAGGTCCATTTTTTCTAAACTAAACAGATTTAACATTTCTTAACCTCTATACATAACTAAAATCAATTATTCCTTTTATTAATTTTATAACCCGCCCCGCTGTACTTTATAGTTCCATAATATATTTATTAGATGAGCTGTCAGAAAGAGCTTGACAAATGGCACCAGACTTACAATGCATATTATAAGTGAAGTGAACAGCCATTCACTTAAAGTTTGGAAATGATTTTAGATGCAATCTTGTTTTTGGGGGGCATTATGTATGAAATACATGTGTTATTTCATCTCATTTCATATTTGTCTGGATTCACAGAAATGACCTGACCTGCTTGCAAAGTGATCAGAAGAATTTGTTCTTGAGTTTTTTTTATATAAGCCATTGTACGTTTTCATCCATGTTTTGGGATACTTTAATTATCCCTCATAGAACCAATTCCTGCACCCTTGCTGGATTTAGGAAGTCCAGGCTAAGCAGATAGTGAATTAATCATAAATGAAACCTAAAGAATATTGAAATCCATTTTGAGAACAAAATCAAAATTGTAGTGGATTTACATTTTCCTTCGCATAGAAAGACTTTGCTAGTACAATTAGTATTGGGGTTTTCTGTTAATTTTCTCCCTTTTTACTTAATCTGTTTGTTGGTGTATGTCAAATTTGTTTGTAATCTATTTTTTCTATGTAAGCACAATTTTTGGCGATAATAACTTTATTAAGTTCTGCCTTTGTCTGATATAAGAATCATGTTACCAAAGAAACATTTTTCATAATACTGTGGTTTCATAGCCATTTATACTGAACTGTTTTGTGGGTTGCTAAATTTGGTTTGGTGGGGTAACCCAAGCTGCTCCATTTATAAACTTCCTTGGAGGAGGCAGCTTTCATAGGTGTGGACTGGATTAATAGAATGTTTTAATCATTATTTTCCGTCTATTGCAGACAAATAGTGAATTTTTAACCAGTTCACCCCCTGAAGCAAGACATGTGCCTGCCTGGGAGTGGTGTTCGTGACACTACTAAAGTACGTAAGTATTTAAAACCAGTTCTTGTAACCCGTGATAATCCATACTTTACTAACATTCATATTTGAGCACAAATTGGTAATCCTAAAATCCTGGACTAATAGTTGTGATGAAGGACTGGTTGAAATATAAACCTTTAGACCAAGAAACAAATACATGTAAACACTACAAAGTTTTAAGGTATATAGTTTACTTTATTGAGTTTTTCACACAAGGAAAGTGAACAAAACAGAATTAGACTTGCAGGTCCAATTAGTCAACTAAATGGAACTAAATAAGAAAGGTAATCTAAAAATAATGAAAAGGGAGTGTTAGCAAACAGATCACATACTTGTCAAACAGGTCACATTATTCAATCAACTATGTAATCCATATCAACCCCACCGCCCTCCCTGTCCATTAAGTAACTCCACCTAGTACTAAATGTAGTGTCATGCGGTATCTCTTCCGGGTTCGGCACTTCCGCATTGCTGAGCCAGCCCCACCCTCTTCTGACGCGGCTCTGACAGTACTTAGGGAGACCGCGCCAGGGAGAAGACGCTTGGTGATTGTGGGACCTACTTCCGGGTATACACGCCGGCTCCACAAGCTCTGACAAGCCGTCCCAGCCTTTGAGCCAATGCAAGGATTGCTGCATGCCATAAAGGATTACTGGAGAACGGATACTTGCTAATTTACAAGTGGACTATAACTCTGAACTCTTGGAGGACAACTCACCTTAACCTTAAGTATATCTTTCAACTACTGTCTGCAATATCATTTATTAATGAACCAATTCCTGCTTTCTCAAATCTTCTCTGCTTCAAGTTACTAATTATATGGAGGACAACTCCCATCATGGTTATTTACTATGAACTGTTTCTTGATTTGCAAATACTCTCTGCTACCTGCTTAATGTTTCTATTGAAGATTATTCCCAGCAACCTAAAGAATCTTATTAAAAACTTCTCTGAGGAAATACTTATTAATGAACTTTGTACTGTTTGATAACCTGCACTTTCTTCTTATTGGATTATTGCCTATATGCAATTCATTTAAGTTTATCAATCATAAAACTTCGCTTGATTCTCAAATTGCCAGCAATCGCCTCTCTTTTCTTAAAGCTACAGTATTGATACTTTAATGATTCTTTGTTTCTTTACTATTGTAATTAAGGAGTTCTACAAACTGCAGTTGAGTTCCAATCCAAATAACCCAAGTAGCATCTAAGACACTATTTCATTACACTAGCTTCCAAAAATAATTATCTATGACCTCATGTGACATACATTAATGCGGAATAATTGGATTCATAAAGCCTGTGGATTACACAGCTGCCTGAGTGTTGAACTTAATCGAGGAGGAAATCATCTTGATGTAAGCCAAGAACAACAAAAAGTTAGGGTTAGACTTATTTCTCCGTAAGCTCGCCATAAATTTCCAAGTTTAGTAAAGAGATCAGTAATTTTCAGCTTTCTTAAATAGAAAAACCGGTTGTGATCCCAGGTGTCAAACTTTTTCAATTTATAGCCAATTATGAACAAAGTCTAGGAGGTGGTCAGAAGTGAATTTGCCTGCAAGCTACTCAATGTGTGTTCTTAGAATAATATTATAATAACCTTTATGTTAAACATTTGACAGTACCATTATGGCTGTGTGAGTGCGTCTCTCCTAAATTGGTGTCAGAGTAGAGCTGGGCACTTCCTGGCACACAGGACTGGGGTTGTTTGAGTAAAGTATTAGAAAATGTAAAACCAAAAAAGTTCCAGAGCAGGTCACAAAGTGAGATTGTAGTTTATACAAGGGAAAAGATCAATAGTAAGCCTACATAAGAGTAAGGAAAGAGTATAGTAGTATGAATCCAGGCACATGCTGCAGGCCCTGTTGCAAACCTAATCTCCAGGAGGCTCCCCTCCCATTATGTCTTTTTTTTTGCTGTAAAGTTTACCGACTGATACCAGATCTTGGCATGTTTGGGGTGATTAACTATTAATGCTGCCTGCATTGCCCCTGCTGCCTGGATCTCTTCAACTCTTGCTAGCCATTGTTCCACGGAACTAGTGTGTCTCCATAGGGCAGGTATAAAAGACTTTACCTCATTAAGCATATGTTTCAAGACTTCTTATATTTTGAGAGCGGCAGTGGTGTCAAATATAGAAGAACATTATCTATATCAAATCTCCTAGTATTTCAGCAACATTAGTCATGACTGCATCCCAAAAAGGAGTGATGTGCGAGCAATCCGACCAGAAATGCATCACTGTGCTCCAGGGGTCAAGTCCTGGGGAAAAAAGTGTGGGAACTCACCCAAGATTCCCGCCTCCCCTCTCCTTCCCCCCCTTAAAAAAAAAAAATTAAAAAATTACACTCCTATGCATATAGTGCAGTGCAGGGTGTGTATAATGAATGTAGTGTGTTTGTAGTGAATGCAGAGTATGAATAATAAATGTAGTGTATTTGTAGTGAGTGCAGAGTGTGTATAATGAATGCAGTGTGTTTTTAGTGAGTGCATAGTGTGTATAATGAATGTAGTGTATTTGTAGTGAGTGCAGTGTGTATAATGAATGCAGTGTGTTTTTAGTGAGTGCAGAGTGTGTATAATGAATGTAGTGTATTTGTAGTGAGTGCAGTGTGTATAATAAATGTAGTGTATTTGTAGTGAGTGCAGTGTGTATAATAAATGTAGTGTGTTTGTAGTGAGTGCAGTGTGTATAGTGAATGCAGTGTTTTTGTAGTGAGTGCAGAGTGTGTATAATGAATGTAGTGTGTTTGTAGTAAGTGCAAATTATGTATAATGAATTTAATGTGTTTGTAGTGAGCGCAGAGTGTGTAGTGTGTTTGTAGTGAATGCAGAGTGTGTATAGTGAATGTAGTGTGTTGTGAGTGCAGAATGTGTATAATGAATGCAGAGTGTGTATAGTGAATGTAGTGTGTTTGTAGTGAGTGAAGAGTGTGTATAATGAATGCAGTGTGTGCTCGCTGGATGACGTGTGTGTGCTCGCTGGATGACGATGTGTGTGTGAGTGCTGGATGATGATGTGTGTGTGTGTGTGAGTGCTGGATGATGTGTGTGTGTGTGAGTGCTGGCTGATGTGTGTGTGTGAGTGCTGGATGATGTGTGTGTGTGTGAGTGCTGGATGTGTGTGTGTGTGCTGGATGATGTGTGTGTGTGTGCTGGATGATGTGTGTGTGTGTGCTGGATGGTGTGTGTGTGTGCTGGATGATGTGTGTGTGTGTGAGTGCTGGATGATGTGTGTGTGTGTGTGTGCTGGATGATGTGTGTGTGTGTGAGTGCTGGATGATGTGTGTGTGTGTGTGTGTGCTGGATGATGTGTGTGTGAGTGCTGGATGATGTGTGTGTGAGTGCGTGCTGGATGATGGGTGTGTGAGTGAGTGCTGGATGATGTGTGGGGGGGAGGAGAAGCAATTTTTTTCTTACTTTATGTGTTTACATTTGTTTATTGTATCGCCTGGTGGTCCGGTGGAGGGAACCAGCCGCTGCACAGAGGAGCCATCACACGCAGTGTTCCCTCTCCAGCTCTAACTCTCGCGAGACTCGCATGTGCGGAGCGTTGCCATGGTAACAGCCGCGGGTCTCGCGAGAGTTAGAGCTGGAGGGGGAACACAGCGTGTGATGGCCCCTCTATGCAGATAGCAGGGCCGGTCCTGCAGGACAGGTAACGGGAACGGCGTTCCTGCTGTGGAAAAAGTGCAGGAACGCCGTTCCCATGCATTCCTGCAGGACTCGAGCCCTGCTGTGCTCACTTCTCTGCCACACCTCCAGCACGTATCCGGAACCTCTGGGAAATTCTGTATAAAAGCACTGGTGTTCTGTACCAGTGTGAAAGTAATTTACAGTTGACTTCTTGATATCTGGGGCAGACCAAGCTTTTGTGATGTAGTACCAGTGCTTTCTCCCACTGTATTTCTGAAAATGATTTGCCAGTTCCTCCCACTGTGTTCTAAAAGCATTTTTGCCTTACAAATATCCCACTAGAAGGTGTTGGTATAGCATAGCTACGGTGCCTTCCGTCTCTGTGTACTATCAGTCGATTAGACAAATTATGATAAATATGTTGCAATTTTGAATATCTTTCACTTCTCCAGACACAGAGTACAGTAGTTCGTAGGGTAAAGAAGAACATTGTCGGGACAAGTAAGATGATGGTCTGGGAGAGCTATAAGAGTCGCGGAAGGACAGATGCAATAGTTCCAGCGTTTACAGTCTGTTTGTATTTTATTCGGTAATGGAAGAAAATTTGGCCGAAAAAAGCTCTGCCGGATTAGATAGTATCCAAACTCCCAGGTATTTAATCTGGTTTTCACACCAAGTGAAGGGGAAGCAAGCTTTAAGGAAAGGGCAAATTTCTCTAGGCATCGTGTTATTCAGTACCTCACATTTAGTAAGGTTCGGTTTAAGACTAGACAAAGCTCGATATGCTTGGAATTCCCTCAAGAGGCTTGGTAAGGTAGTCGTGGGATCTTCCACGAAGAACATTACAATAGATCATCCGCATATGCCGCAGTTTTATGTTCTACACCCTTCCAACTGAAGCCTTTAACATCCGGATTACGTCTGATAGCTGCAAGGAACAGTTCCAGGGTTAGTGCAAAAAGAAGGGGTTGAAGTGGGTATCTCTGCCTGGTGCAGTTTTGAATTTGGAATCTGTATATGAGCACCGTGTGCACTACAAATTTTTAACTACTGCCTCTTTGAAATTCTACCATCCTGCAAATCTACGTATTAAAAGAGGGAAAGGAAATTCTAATGTCCAAAGCCTAACAATTTCTCCTACAGGCTTGTTATTGCTGCTCTCACACACCCTTTTTAATGCTCGTCTTGCCCCTCTATAGGCTCCTCCTGGCCATTTTGCTCTATTTGGAGTCTACTGATTACACTGTGTCACACTATCGTACAGTTGATTAGGGTACTGCTGGAAACAATGTTAAAGGACCACTATAGGCACCCAGACCACTTCAGCTCAATGAAGTGGTCTGGGTGCCAGATCCATCCAGGGTTAACCTTGCAGCTGTAAACATAGTAATTTCAGAGAAACTGCTATGTTTACAATAGAGTTAATCCAGCCTCTAGTGGCTGTTTCATTGACAGCCGCTAGAGGCGCTTCCGCGCTTCTCACTGAGATTTTCACAGTGAGAAGACGCCAACGTCCATAGGAAAGCATTGAGAAATGCTTTCCTATGGACAGATTGAATGGGTGGGCATTCGGCGGATGACGTCGGAAGAGGGAGGAGAGTCCCCAGCGCCGAGGGATTCCAGTGCTGGAGAAAGTTAAGAATTTAATCCCTTAACCCCTCTTGAGCCTGGCGGGAGGGGGGGGCGAACCTATTAACACTATAGTGCCAGGAGAACGAGTTTGTTTTCCTGGCACTATAGTGGTCCTTTAATTGCTCAAAGTTAGATCATAATTGCTCTTTCTGCATATTCCTTTCTTCTATTTCAAATCTGCCTTCTAATTTGCAAACCATGGAAATGTCCTGAGTTTTGTGATCTCAATCATAGAACATTGAGGGGCATAAAAATATCTAAAATGTATAATTCTATTATTGATAATTGGTGTAGTGAATAAAACTCACATACAGTAAACACAGAGTATAAGGAGTACAACTACCATTAGATTTTCAAAAACATGGGATCTATCAAACTCTGCGGTTTTGGCCTAACTTCATCATCACAACCCCAGGTGTTTAATGTATTAACTCAACTAATATTAATCAAACAACTACACCAAGAGCCACATAACCTTACTTTGGCAAACACTGAAAAGTTGAAACACTACATATAAAATTAAATTAATATTTCAAGTCAAGATTTATAGAAAAGACAATACGTGGTATGTTTTTCACTAAACCATAGATTTATAAAAAAATTTAACAAAATATAGTAGCTTTTTTTCTTCTTCAAAATGTATGTTTTTTGTCCTAAAAATTTGTTAGTGGTCATTTCTAGGCATAGTGAATAAACTAGATATGACTGATGACATATCTAGGTGGACATATCCAAAAACCATTAAGGACACACGACGGAAATATTCTGTCATGATTCCCTTTTATTCCAGAAGTTGTGTCCTTAAGGGGTTAAGGTTTTTAAACTATGTATCTATTTAATATAAACACTAGAAAAAAAGACCACTTACAAATGATATGTCTAGTCTATTCGATTGTTACTATGGCAAAATGAGACAGGAAGGAGGGGTAGAGGGTGACAAATCATAATGAGCATTCAATATAGGAGAATAATGGCATATTTTGACTTAGTGCTGAGAAGTGCTGTGCGTGGTACTCCATTTAAAAGAGAGAGAGAAAGGAGGAGGAGGGCTGTGCTTGTTCAAGATGCTAAGCTGGATGCTTGTGATAACTGAATGTTAATGACCATGCACAAGGCTGCCTGATGAGAAGGATTAAGGGTCTTTAATGAAGGCCAATGAAGGAAAAAAAAAAAAAAAAAGATAAAAGGGATAATGCAAGTCTATCAAAATGCTACTGAGTGATAACCAGTTACCCATTGCGTATCCTCTCCCATCTGCAGGGGTAGGCGGGACACAGGAGGAAAGAAGCAGAGAGGTTACTGTCAGCAGCGAGACAGCTAAACTATAGAAAACAACAATCAGTTCCTAAAACAGCAGTTCTTTCATCCCTGACAATTACCAGCTGAAAAGACGTGGCCGCAGTCCTTATTACATCAGCATGCGTACTGCTTCTAGTGTTTGGGTGAGCACAAGATGTTCCAGACGAACAAAATACAAGAGTCATCTACTGACACAGAACTGCAACATTAACTCATTGTGCATCAGGCAATCCTATAAATCACATGTGCCCCTATGGTATGGAGGACCCCCTTCGGTGTATATAAAGTGTTACAGGAGATAAAAAAGGGGACACAACACACAGTGAGAGAGAAGAAAGTCCTTCACTGGAGTTGATAAGGTTGCAGGATATTAGGGCATAACCCAAAAGATATAATACAAAAAAGAAAGAGACTGATATGGGATTACAGAATGGTCCTCCCAAATATCAGTCCCTATACCCTTAAAAAAGGCTGTTCCTCTAATCTAAGGCAACAAATTGCCAATATTAGAACATAGATAAAATTTATGGAAAATAATAAATTTTTATTAGCCCCTCTTGAGGGGAAATATAGACAAATAACAGTGATAAAAGTGTATATACAGTAAAAAAAAAAAAAAAATATATATATATATATATATATATAAACCGTCTACTGTTCCGCTAAATAGATAATATGTACAGCACATCAGTTAGCTCCTTCATTAATAACGGAGATGTAGGTATAAATTGTTGCTAGTAATTCATTTGCAACAATGTCTCAGTAGCCAATATAACTGTTGGTGTAAATCAAAGGAAGTCAAAGTTAACCACTGAAGTAAAGTGACCTCAATGAATTGCCTCACACATAGCAATATACAATTGTGTGTTAATCGATATAGGTATTGGTGTCCTTACAGGGTATAACACATTTGCTTCCAGAATAATTAGTGGGGGCTAAAATTGCCAGGATCTTGCAGGGGGTAAAACTTGAAGGAGTATTTGGGGAAGTTAGACGGCAGTGCTGTCTGAACTAATAGTGTAGCCAGAATCCTAGCCGATAGAACAGTTCTACAACCCCAATTATAATACTCAACAGAATACCCCCATGTTGCAGTTGGATAAAAATATATTAGGCACAATCTAAATCCATAACGATCCAGATCACTAGATCCTAGTACGTAAACCCTATCTAATTATAGCATATAGAATCAATTTATGCTATATAGGGATGGGATTCGTCCTAGTATTAAGATTAATATATCGCCAGCCCAAGGTATCTGCCCATAAATTGTAACATAATCTGGTAGTCTGATATCTACTGGTATCTACCAATAGTACCTTAGCTGCTTTACTTCAGTGGTTAAAGGGACACTATAATCACCTGAACAACTTTAGCTTAATGAAGCAGTTTTGGTGTATAGAACATGCCCCTGCAGCCTCACTGCTCAATCCTCTGCCATTTAGGAGTTCAATCCCTTTGTTTATGAACCCTAGTCACACCTCCCTGCATGTGACTTGCACAGCCTTCCATAAACACTTCCTGTAAAGAGAGCCCTATTTATGCTTTCTTTATTGCAAGTTCTGTTTAATTAAGATTTTCTTATCCCCTGCTATGTTAATAGCTTGCTAGAACCTGCAAGAGCCTCCTGTATGTGATTAAGGTTCAATTTAGAGATTGAGATACAATTATTTAAGGTAAATTACATCAGTTTGAAAGTGAAACCAGTTTTTTTTTCAATGCAGGCTCTGTCAATCATAACCAGGGGAGGTGTGGCTAGGGCTGCATAAACAGAAACAAAGTGATTTAACTTCTAAATAACAGTGAATTGATCAGTGAAATTGCAGGGGAATGATCTATACACTAAAACTGCTTTATTTAGCTAAAGTAATTTAGGTGACTATAGTGTTCCTTTAACTTTGACTTCCGTTGATTTACACCAACAGTTATATTGGCTACTGAGACATTGTTGCAAATGAATTACTAGCAACAATTTATACCTACATCTCCGTTATTAAAGGACCACTCTAGGCACCCAGACCACTTCAGCTTAATGAAGTGGTCTGGGTGCCAGGTCCTTCTAGGGTTAACCCATTTTTTTCATAATTATAGCAGTTTCAGAGAAACTGCTATAATTATGAATGGGTTAAGCCTTCCCCCTCATCCTCTAGTGGCTGTCTCATTGACAGCCACTAGAGGCGCTTGCGTGCTTCTCACTGTGATTTTCACAGTGAGAGCACGCCAGCGTCCAAAATAAATGCTTTCCTGACGGGCTGAATGCGCGCGCTTGCGCGCGCATTCAGCCGGCGGGGCGTAACGGAGGCTGAGAGGAGGAGGAGAGCTCTCCGCCCCGCTGGAAAAAGGTAAGTTTTACCCCTTTCCCCCTTCCAGAGCCGGGCGGGAGGGGGTCCCTGAGGGTGGGGGCACCCTCAGGGCACTATAGTGCCAGGAAAACGAGTATGTTTTCCTGGCACTATAGTGGTCCTTTAATGAAGGAGCTAACTGATGTGCTGTACATATTATATATTTAGCGGAACAGTAGACGGTTCTTATATATATATAGATTTTTTATTTTTCACTGTATATACACTTTTATCACTATTATTTGTCTATATTTCCCCTCAAGAGGGGTTAATAAAAATGTATTATTTTCCATAAATTTTATCTATGTTCTAATATTGGCAATTTGTTGCCTTAGTTTAGCGGAACAGCCTTTTTTAAGGGTATAGGGACTGATATTTGGGAGGACCATTCTGTAATCCCATTTCAGTCTCTTTCTTTTTTTGTGTTACAGGAGATAGGTGGTACAATAAACAGAGGGACCTGTCTGCGAGGAAAAATAATGTCATGCCGCTGGCAGTGAAGCAAGAAAGCAATAATTATACAAATTATAAAACTTCAGACTGCCTATTTACATAATGCTTCTACAGATGCACAAAGTTCACCATCATCTAAGCTAGGAGAGATACAAGATAGAAGCAATTTAATGCTGATGTCCATGGGCTGTTTTAATAAGCTTAGGTGGCACATTTTAAATATATATGCTTATTTCCAGTGAAAGACAATCCTTTTTGTTATATTAAAGTGCCTTTATTGTAGCCACCTTTGGAATTTTGTTACATCTGGATCCATTCACATAAAGAAAATGTAAATAATACAATTAGCAGGTGCAGAAATTATCCAGAATGAATTTCGATATATGCTTCAAATTGCTTACATAAAAACTTATATGGAATGCATGTAAAAATTAAACACATAATCAAGAGACTGTTTGAAATATTGTAAAATATCTTCAAGTTTCATATGCTCATTCAAATACTGCATCTCTAAAGGGATCCTCTACATTTTAAAATAGAGGCTTTGATGTAATGTGCCTGTTCTTGCATTCTCTTGATTTTATTGCCTTTTCTGTGAAAAGGAAGTGTTTCCACTGAGCTAGCCACACATCCACAGGCTTTTTGAAAAAGAGCTAACACTTTTATTTTTTTAGCTTCACTTATTGCATAGTGTGATACATTAAGAATTTCTTATCTTGTGATTTTGTTAATTACCAGCTACATAATTACAACAGCTTCCTGTGTGTGATTAAAGTTAAATTACCATTCCTCTGAGAGAATAAATTCAAAAGTAAACAAACTGTGTTGTACGATCTTAATGAGAATTAAACATTTTTTCCATGGAGGCTGTGTGAGTCACAGCCAGTGAAAGTGTGGCCACGGCTGCAAAATAAAGTGACTTAACTCATTGACAGCAGATAATTAAATAGGGAGATTGCAGAGGCACTAAAACTGCTTCAGAGGACACAATTAAAAGGACCAATTAAGACATCCATACCACACTTGCTCTCAATAAAGTTGTTTGGGTGCAGTGGCCCAGTAGTTTTAAACATGCAATGTAAAACATTGCAAATTTATAGAAACTGCAATATTTCCATTGCAGGTTTCACAGACAGCCACAAGAGGAGCTTTCACATTGAGAACGGAATCAAACTTGGTTCTCAAGAAAATGCTGCCAGTAGAGCACCATTCACTTGGCATAGCGCTGTGTTTTGCTGTGCATGTGCACTTACCTCTCAATGCTTCCCTATGGGGTAACATTGGATTGGCTACGATCATCAATCTTGATGATGTCAGCCAAGAAGGTTGAGCGGCAGAACAGCGAGCAGCAGAGTGAGGGCTGAAAGGTACAATTTTTGAATATGTATATTAAACCTATAACATTAGCAATATATGTATGCATTCCTATATATACACATTTCAGTCTAGTGATTTTGTTGATATAAGTCATCGCGCTGTCTTTTTGTTAGAATTTTGTTTGCTTTTGTTTTTAAACCTTACAGGTAGCGAGCGGTTTGACAAATAATAATGTAAATTTCATACAATCCATTATATAATCCATAATGTGTATTAAAAAAAAAAACTAAATTAATATAGATCGAAAAAATATTTAATATAGTAATTATATATCAATATCTTACACAATTTAGTGTAATACAGTTAAAATGAAATAAAATAGAAAAGGTTTAGAAGAACCATACATATCTCCATCCTTTCTTGACTAAATGCATTTTACTTGTTCAAGTCATGCTACGTTTAGGTTTTTCTATGAACCGTGGAGTAAACATAGGCAAATTCATTTGGATCTTTGATATCATGGATATATGCACATGCTAACTGCATTATTTAAATGTTGGTTTATATGCAGCAAGCTACGATTGACAAAGACTCAAAGGGTTTAAAATATTACTAGGTTACTTTTTGTTTACATATTTTGTTCTTTATACTTTATCTAAGTTGGCTATCACTTACAAGCACCTTCATGAACAATGTTATCTAGCTCACACATATAATCAGAAAAAATAACCTTGTTAGTTATATGGGCACATCATCCAAAAATGAGAAAATAATAGTGGAAAGTCGACACGCTCTAGCCCAGTGTGCCAGCAACTTCCATTAGCTATCTAAGTGACAGACAGGAAGGTGTGTGTCCCCCGCTGCAGACATGTAATGCAAACTGAGGTGCTTTTTGTATCTGGAATATTTTTTTCACTACAAGTACTTCATTAGCAGCATTTGACAATTTTGTTTGATTTTCAGAAATTTGTTGCTAGTCAGCACTAGGTCCTTCTTTCTGTAGACCACTGAAAGCATTACCTACCAGACTGTCTAGGCCACCTCCTAGAAGGTCTACAGCTCCCATCTGCATAGTGGACACTTGTGGCACATTCCCTGGAGGTCCCAGATCTAGATTAAGAAGATCACCAAGAAGGTCTCCTTGTGACGGAATGACTTGAGGCTGTTCAAGCGCAGCAGAGGGAGCAGGTCCAACCGGGCTGTCTCCAATATCAATGCTAGTAAAGAATAAACATTAATTAGACCAAGATATTTTATCTCTAACTTTAAATGTAGCCACCACACTGCATTAACCCAGGTGCTAATTTTAGCTGTAAATATTCCACAGATTAATTTGATAGAAACTATAAAGTAGTAGAACGCTAAAGGGACACAACTAGCAGAAACTGATGCACCCGTTTTTTTAATGCATTAAACAGGTAATGCATTATACCAATAAGAAGCCCCTTCTAGTCTAAACATATGATCTTATACCATGATCAACTGTCCAGCAGAAGTTGAGAGAGATGTCACTTAGCCAGCAAAATCCAGTTCTACTTATGGCATAGGAAGAGTGGAAATGCACAAAAAGCAGATATCAGCAGTTGCTATTAGTTTATACACAGACAGACTCACAGCTACTGACAGCAGAGGCATGAGGCAGTCATTAGCCACTCTCCAGGGAAGTAGAGAGATGTCGGTCCTACTTGAGCACATGCACGTAAAACCTGAACTGATCTTACACATCATAGGAAGAGATTTTTGTCTGCTTTGCTATGTGAGTGACAGCGTGGAAAACTTATAACTGCAAAACATTATTGCAGCCAAGCATCATATGTGTGAAATTACATTCTGTCAGTTGAGACTTCACAAGCACAAAGTACGTTAACACCAGGCAGTTTATTCAGTAAAAATTAAATTTTTGTGAATGGACATTTTAATTGCAAAATCAATAAAAAAAAAATTATGGATTTGGAATTTACAACAATTTGGTGCTTAGTGAATAAACCCCCAAGTTGCCAGTGTGCTACGAGTAGAAGGAAAATGCATAAAACAGTGTTCCCCAGCAACATCGCAGTGTGTGTGATCTCCCCTCCAGCTATACAAGTGAAATAAATAAAGAGTTCAAAGGCTCATTATAAATTTAAATGAGTGCTGCCTTGCAGAAAGCAGCAACAGCTCAACTCAGCAGGTCCTATCTATAATGTCTTACTGGTATTTTGTCAAGCGTTCCATGTGTGGATCTGAAATGCGTATTCTTTCTAAACTTTAAAACGGATTGCATTGCCTGAAATATAAATATATTTTTAAAAATTGACAAATGTAATTTCTATTGCTAAATGCTATTAAGTGATTTTCTTCTAGCTAAATATATAAAACGAGCAATCAACTCATAAGGCACAGCGCCTCTTAAAAGCCAAAATTTTTATTTTGTGTGCATTCAGCTCAGAATAGCATTGTATGGCTTTTCATTGGTTATAACTTTTCACGTTTAAAGTAACATTTAAATACAGATTTTATAAGAGACATATCTGTAGCTAAACTTGTAAGAAAATAATATAAGTAACCTGTGATACCATCTGACAATGCTTCTGTATAAAATGTAGACTTTAATATTCTGATAGCTTTGTTAAATGTTGATCTCAGGCTACAGGAGGTTGCTGATTAAATCTGAGAGATCAGAGTGTGGGTAAAGAGCTTAGCTAGAGAATCAAATAGAGATAGTTTTAGTCTCTGCCAGCCATAAGGCAGAATTCTGAGGACATCTTCCCTTCCTCCAACCCAGAGGATAAATACAATTTTGTATCCCAGCCATTTCAATGCAGTTATATAAAATGTAGAACATGTTTAAAGCCATTCTGCATGAACCAATTAACGTCCTATCAAATGTAGTGGCTCTTGGGCAGCATTGTTTTCTGTTAATATATTTCTCTTTTTAAATAATTTGTGGGATCCAACAAGTTTTTATTTGAATGTGAAACATTTATATACGTACAGGGCATATTAACAGTAAACAGCCGTTAAAACCAAGTGACAACATGTAAGGCAAAATGGCAGAGTTGGAAGAATTCTAAAAACTTTGCTAATGAGGCCTATAAGTTGACATTTGTGTCTCAAATTAATGCAATGCACTCTTTACATAATACACACGGATAAACATTTACTGCCTTCCTTTTAACTTTTCACTGCAAAGCGTGGCAAAATGAAATCGGAAGAGCACAATTCAGTAAATATAGCAAAGTTTGATAATTTTTCCAGATCATTTTTTGTCGCCTACATTTTGCCTTTTGAATATTAATCAACAATTCATAGTTTAGGGAATAACCCTGTAAGTACTCCACATGCTCTCAAGCACAAAGTCCAAGACACTAAAGCATTGTGGTATGGAACTACTTACCTTCCATGTTGGATAGGCAGGTGCTTGCGATGAACTCCATGGCTTCCTTCAACAAAGGCATTAGGGGGCTTGTGGTAGACAGACGCCAAAGAGCCAATGTGGCAAATCAATTCATCCAGCAGAGTGGGTTCAATAAGGTCGGTCTCCTCAGAGATCAGTGGCTTCTCTGATAGCACCACCTCTTTGGCAGTTACTGGGTCGGTGGAAAGCAGGCGCCAATAAATGTAACCACGGTCACGCAGGTCTGGGTTATCAGAATCCTGTATGACAAAGCAAGACAGGGTGCTTAAAGAGCAGAAAAAATATACTATAAAAGATGTAATGTATAACCATCTAACAGTGAACACTTTCATCATCAAAAGGAAGGGAGAAAAAAAATGTATATCTTTTTCGAAAATGGTTTAATTACAAATACCAACCTACAGGTTTTGGAAAGTGTTCTTCCAGGAGCTTAAAAACGGAGAGAAATGCCATTTCATTTTAGATTCAAGCAGTATCTTATTCTAGCCTCCACCCCCACCTCAAAAACAAAAACAAAAAACCAACCAAAAACACAATCCCAAAAACAGGTAGTTCTTTGTGTCAAATATTTGATCTTTTCATTCCCTTTATTTTTAGAATAGAACAGAACGGCATCAGGGATAATGAAAGAAAGAAAAATTGGAATAAATATCTTTACGGATTGAAAGGATGTATAAATATAGCACTTAATGCATCTTTGAAAAACAAGGCAGCTGTAAAGTCAGCTTTTTACAAGCTCCTCCAGGTAATAACTCAAAACTGTACATCGGAGTTGCTGTACAGCAAAACATTTTGTCAATGAACTGTTTATTTCATTTTATACACAAGCATAAAAAGGGCAATAAATATATTTAACAAACCACAGAAATAAATATCTACATTAGCAGTGATGTAAAGGAATACAATTGCTGGAATCCAAACATAATATTTTATCGCTTGCAGTTAGCTGCAATATATGTGAAAAGCTGTATGAAGAATAAAGCAGAGGTGGACTTCTTACCAGAGAGGTCAGTATATTGTTGAAGTGGATCTATTGCAAAGCATGCTGGCAAACACCAGATAAAACCTGTGGCTACTAAATTGACTAAGAAGTTGCTTGAGAGCAAAACATGGAACGTGTATTACAGTAAAATAGATTTCAGGAAATACTGCAAAAGTACTTGAACCAGGGCTTCAGTGTCTAAGCCTCCTCAGAAATTAAGCAGTTCTCAGGCTACTAGAATAATACATGTGGGAATTAGGAAGGGCTTTATAAGGTCAGGATACCAGGATTTATACTTTGCAACTATACTTCCAGGTTAAAGATGCAAGATATCCCTTTTCTCTTCTTTTACATAAATATTGTTCAATGCTCGTTTGGAAAATGTGAAAAAATAAATATATATACACATTTTATGACTAATTCAGGGTAGCTAAATTATGCAGTTTTGCTAGTGAAACGAAAGCTAACAAGAAGCAGGTTTTGCTAATGCAGAAATATTATTTGAGTAGAACCTTTCCATCCTGCATCATGCCTTGCTATTCTGCCTTAGAAGCACTTAACACGGCAAATGATGTCCTTCACAGGGCTGAATGAAGGCCAAGAGCAGTTTTACAGCCAAATAACCATAACCACTTATTTACGGCAGGGGGTACAAGCACAACACAGTTGGGAAAAATGTGTTCTGAAAAGTGGCAATGCTTCCAACAGAACAACACGTATTACACAAGAAACAGGAAACTGTGTGAGGACAGTTTAAGCAAGTGGTACAGGCACATTTTCCTCACAAGTGTAACACTCTTTAGATCTGTCTGGCAATAATTATTCAATTGTTTCAGATTGGGAGCCTGATTGTCTCAGATGCATATCCCTTAGAGTGACTGAGGCCAGCAGAACAGAGAATATGACAAGATTACTCTACCCAATCTAGCAACACATCTGATGGCACTATTGTTTCTTTTGCACAAATACATGACACTATTTTTTATCAGATCATTAAAAGATCTGATGAAGACATGTGAAACATGATTATATTCCTCATTGAAATATTTTCAAGCTTAGGGAATGCATTGTATTAACTACTGTATAATGCACAGGGTTACTCACTGTATATGGAGAATGGACAAACATATTGTTAGAACAAAACACTTGTAAAAAATAAAATAAAAAATATATATATATCTATTTTTTAAAATCTGCAATTGTTTTAATCGTCTCCCTAATTCCCAGCTGTGAATAACTCCAACAGATTTTAGATGCAACATGAAAAGTTAAATGTTTCTGGTTTTCTCGATATCTATACCCTTTATACCTGTGTGGCCAAGCTCAGAACCTGTTGCACCAGCTCTTGGGTCTCAGAGGGCTTCTTCAGGAACAGTTTAACAATAGCAGTAAGAAGAGTAAGCTGCACCTGGGGAGAGTAAGACATTTGAAGATCTGCATTAGCAAATAGTGAAGGCTAGTTTTGAAATTAAATATTTCAGCATATAAAAAGGGGACAATGGGTAGATAATTGTATTGGTAAAAGCATATCCGTATTTACAAAAATATCTATAATATTCTATCAACAAAGCCCATGGAAGCAGAGCTTCAACACCAGTGTTTGAGGGCCACTGTAAAGTGGTCAGAGAGATACAAGTCAACCCTTGGGTAGCATACACATCCTGTATTGGATTTCGACAGCAAACCTACACTTATCCTTGGTAAGTGAATGCTGAATTTTAATTCATTCCATTTCCCTACAGAAGTTAATGTTAGAACATGGGTTCTGTGTATCCTGCCTTCTATCCAGCTATAGAACTTGCTTGCTATAGATTTAGTACCATTTGTTTGTCTCTGACCAAAGCTTCTTTTATTGTGATCCAAATAAAGAACTTGTTTTGCTAAGACTTCTCGTGAGTTGTGTCTCCTGTTTCCTGCCCGTGTTGGTTACGAACATTGCGTGCAGTATGCCTCATAGGATCCTGCAAACGGCTCCTCACAGCCAGAGGTGCAGAGAGTTACCTTTTGGTTCCCAAGCACTCTCAGACTCATGAAACTGTGACACGTTAAATGGTTTTCAGCAAAACAATGTGCACTAAAACGTTAAACGGCTAAAGATTAGATTTTCTATGACATGAGTGCACACAGGATTATGTAGAATTTAAAAAGGAAAATGAAAAGCAGATTTATGGGGAGGATTTCAGTGATGCCCAGGTTTTGGAATGAGAAGGGATTTGCTTTCAATATCAATTTAATACAAATAGTAAAATTGCTCTGTTATGATTTTGAGTATGGTTTGATCAATATGGTGAAAAGTTCACAGGTTTATATGTTCACACTAAAAATGTTTACGTACAAGGATATTATGAAAACTTGATGGATGGCATTGCTAACCAAGATTCATATTAACAATAGATCATGTTTGTCAAAACATCATGAGAAATTTAGTTTACAAACATCAGAGGTGTTAACGTTAGCCAAAACTAGATTATATAAAACATTATATGGACATTTGTACTGTGGTACTACATTTATAGTGTATTAGATTGCAAGCTCACAAGATGAGACACCTCAACCCATTCTGCATCAATGTGTAGATATATGCTAATTCATACAATGAGGAATTGGTGTGAATTGTAGTGAATTCATAAAATGGGGCGGGGGGATATGTATTGTATGGATATGTATGGATATTTTTGCCTACATTTTGCAATTTACTATAATTTTATACAGAGTAGATTTAGAATTTGCTGGTATTCTAAATTATATCATATTATATTGAACTACCTACATAAACACACACAAATAGCTATATATAATCTGCATATGTGTTTATATCACATTATATATAAACACAAGTGCAGATTACTCCAGGACCTGCAGAAAAAAATAGTTGTAGCTGCCCCCTCCCATGCTTTTCACACTGTTTCTACTTAATATCATCTTCATTTAACATCCATGACTGCAGTAGCAATCATGTCATTGGTGATCCAGTGATGAAGCAGTGAGTGTTGGACTAATGAACCTCTATTTCGATCTGCTCCAGTAACTTGTGTTTCAATTACTACCAACTAGATGCTGTAACCAATGCCTTCTGTAAACCTTAATAACCGGCAACAGCATTATTGGCAAGCACTGAAAGTACAAGGATCATTTGAAGAAAAGAAAAGATAAAAAAAAAAAAAAACACAACACAAAAAACACCAACGAGAACAGTATTGTGCATTAAATGGTAAATAATACCTCTACATCTACCAGAGTGTTTAAAGAATTTAGGGGAAAGAACAACTAAATGTTAAGACAATACAGTTCATTTGTGTGTCTCTTTAAAAACAAGTTAAACTCGGATAGAAATTGCAGCTGAGTTATTCGCAGTCCAATCCCAAAATACAAGTCATGATTCCCTGATGACAATAGATTTGGCAATCCAAAAACAGACTCATTCAATTAGTAAGGACTTACTTTACCCTTTTTACTGCAGCTATTTTATGGATGACAAAAAAAAAAACCTTGTGGATTTATGTCTTACATACCAAGAACGTTAACTCTGGCAATGTTATGGTCACTGTTGCTGTGGTTACCTGTGTGCTCTCATCATGGAATCCCTCCAAGAAACTCTCTAACAGTTCATCTGCATTGTCAATGCGTTCTGCGTATTCTCCAACAATCCAGATCATGGCGGCGCGAGCATCTGGCTCATCTAAGGAGTCCAGATTCTCACACAGTGTGGCTATGATGCTCTCATACCTGAAAAAAAAAAAAACATTGGAACATGCCAACTTCAGCGTTAGGATAATTGCATTTACACACACAATATTTTATTATCTGTCTGTCTATATACACACACACACACGAATACGCATACACATATATGAGAAAATCGGTAATTCCCAGAAACACTTACTTGTTAGGGTATTTTCGGAAGATGTCTCTGATGACGACAATGGCTTCCTGCACAACATAGTTGACTTTAGTCTGTATGAGATCAAGCAGGGTGCTCACACAACGCTCTGCAGATTGCTATGGGAAAAGGTGCATGTTATACAAAAGCATGTTATTTAAGTCTCCATGGTTACCAAATGATTTTGCTCTTTAATCGTTCCAATAACCAATTAAAAGTAAGTATTTAATAGATCCTGTGAAATGTACATGTATAACAGAATCAAGGCTACGTGATCCACAGCTGACATACCAGTAGAGAAAGCACACGTTATGCAAAATGCTAGTGACAAAAGTATATCAAAAAAAGAATGTAGAGAATCTCTAGAATGGTGATAACTGTACAGTTTTAAATAATTTACCCTATTTGTGCATTATTTAATTACCAACTCATTAAATTAGACTGCTCTGCATGCTAGCATTAATGCATATTTCTAAAGTGTGTCTGGTAATCAGCAGTAGAGGGCGTGATGCAGCCAGAGATGGAGAAAGGATAGAGGCATGAGAGGCAGAACATTCGTAACAACGATATAAAATTATACTGACATGTTAAGCATTGATAGGACAGAAAGTATTCAAATAATTAATAAATATAAAAGTAAAATCTAATGAAATGATCAGATGAAAGGACAAAGTGAGAGGGGAAAGGAAAGTGAAAATAAGGACAATTTTGGAGGACAACCAAGGTCTTTGAGGTGGGAAAAGGAAGAGAAGGGGAACATATGAGCATCAGTAAAGAGAGTAAATTTAATCTAATCTAATAGAATTTTTTTTTTTTTTATTAAAACAAAACCTTAATTCTCAAAAAGAAAGTGTTCACTATGTCTCAATAGTTTAACAACATGTGTTAATATTCACAAGAACACTATATATCAAACATTACTTCAACTTTGATGGCGCAGCGGCCTATGGCTCGGACAGCCTTCCGGACAAAATCCACATCCACCTCGGTGGCGTATTCCTTCAGCTCTGCCAACACCTGCCAGAAACAACAATATATACATTATATTTACAAACAAATAATCCTAAAAAAATTAGGATAACTATTAGCCTTGAGATTTACTCATAAATCCAAGCATTAAATGTCAAGTTAAAATCATTATAGACTGCACTGCTTGGAGTTACACACCTTTCTCATCTATTTATAGACTACACAAAGATTTTGCTTAGACTAGTGGTCACCAAACCGGTTCTCACAGCCCACCAACAGTCCAGGAGTTATGTATTTCCTTCCATTTTTTATTTTTTATTATTCCAATGGAGATACTAACAAAACCTGTATTGTAGGTAAGTCTTAAGGGGTGGTTTGGGAAAAACTGACTTAGAGGGTACCTAAAAAACCCTCCCACTCCAAGTACTATAACTACCTCTGCACCCTGCATATTTTGCATGGTGTTCCTGTATGCCTGCATACCTAGTTTCTGCACTGATTTGCTGAACCACTGAAGTTGTACGTCTACCCTTTTCTACGAAGAGGAAGCTTATGTACATCTATGGAATACTAGCTGAAATACCAATCTGGTACACTATACAAATTCAAACATGTTCATGCAGGTTTATAGGAGAGAGAAACACGCAATATTGGATTACAGCTTTGACTCCATTTACAAAACTGACTGGAACTGTCAATAAGTGTGACACAGAATTATCTGCGGTTCATTCACATTTTCTAACTTGCTAAGAAATTTCATTGCACAGAGGGATATGCATTTAATGGCTTTTAGAAAACTCTGAACAGAGGCATGCTATAAGGTGCAGAAAATATGTTCCCCCTCAAAGCCATCTTAAAATTTTTTATTTTTTTTTCAACAGAATTACATTTTAAGTATATTTTTGAAGGTTACAAAATGTTCTTTCCCCATAGTTTCCCCCCTGTGCGCAATTATTACGATCACTTCATAAGTAATGTGCCAGTAAAGTCCAGAAACTTGTTAAATTTAGTGCAATACAGATTTCTGCATCAGACACAAAGGGGTACTGACCTGAGCAATATTTGCTTGAGATGCTAAGCGTATCATAATATCCAATTTCTCCAACTTTACATAAATGGGATCATTGTATTTGACAAAGAATACTTTGATTTCTTGTTTCAAAATTTCAGGCCTGAGGTGAGGAAATATGAAACGTTTCAGAAGATGAAGACATTAGTTTCCAATCGGATTCTACTAGAATAATGAAAATAATTTTTTTTTTTATATTATTCAGAAAGACCGTGAGTGCAGCTGAGTACAGATACAAGAGCATTATGCTTTGCATGTCACCTAAAACAAATGGAACGCTTCTATGACTGGCTATTGCAGCTCCACAACTGTATTAACGGCTATCGTTGACCTATAGAATATGTGATTTTCATATAAATCAAAACTTGCAGCTCTATTTATAATATCCACAATAAAATTAAAGTACAGTTAATAACAGAGGAAGATAAAAACATAGCCATTTATATTCTATTGAGAGTTGGACTGTAGCCTGTGGTTACAAACCAACAAAAAACAAAAGGTGAAATGGCAAAATGTACCCCAATAAAGGAACAATGACTGCATGTCCAGTATAGAGTGATGCAAGCTGTAAACAGTAATAAATCTTTGGCAGACAAACTGTGTGTAGATACCACTGCCAAGTCCTCAAATCCTAACCTACTGACCCTATTGTCTCAACTTTATTTTGCCAACACAACATCATTTTAATAGATGTAATGCTGCAGAAACTAGGTGAAATGTGAGTTGTCAAGGGAGATATAGAACTGGGTTTGCTTCAATGACAACCATACAGGTTGACAAAAAGGGAGATCAGACATCACAGAAATGTAAATAAAGAAGCGGGGTAAGGCTCAAGAGAATACAAATAATAAAGTGACAACTATTCCTTATTGCTTCTTGCTTATCCCTATTAGCACATAACTCTCAGAATTGCAAGGTCTGTCGTGCACAGAGTGGCTTATAACTGCAACGATTTGGGAAAGGGAAAAAAAAAAAATTCAAAAAAAATGAAAGGACCACTATAGGCACCCAGACCACTTCAGCTCAATAAAGTGGTCTGAGTGCCAGGTCCCCCTAGTTTTAACCCTGCAGTTGAAAACCTAGCAGTTTCAGAGAAACTGCTATGTTTACACTGCAGGGTTAATCCAGCCTCTAGTGGCTGTCAGGGAGGCCGCATCCGCGATTTACACTGAGTAAATCTCACTTATTTGATGCTGGATGTCCTCATGGAGACCAGCATCAAATAAAATCCCCATAGGAAAGCACTGAGTAATGCTTTCCTATGGGCTTGTTTGAATGCACGCGCGTGCCTCTGGCCGCACATGTGCATTCGGCTCCACTCAGGAGCTGACGTCGGCGTGGGAGGAGAGGGAGCCTGGCACTGGATTGAATTCCCAACAATTATACATTTTGTGAATAACCCTGTTTGAGTAGATCACAAATTTCATTTAACTTTTCGCATAGCTAAAAAAATGTAAAACCAAGTATGGACTATTTAGTCTTATGGTATATCTCGAAGGTGACAAAACATGACAAATGGCAGAGCTTCCACAGTGATGTTTTTGGCTATAGCCACAAACATTGCTAGCAATAGCTTTCGGATTGAGGCATTTTATTGCAGATTGCGAGGCTTAGCCTATGGAATATCCTGCAGTGTTGCGGAAACTTCCACAGAGTGTTGTACACTGGCTCCTGGTGGATGAATCTCCAAGAGCTGAAGAAAGATGGGGCGCCTCCGGGGTACAACTTCAGCTTAGTATATCTGCTTTCCATTGCACCGCTGGGCCACAACACCCAAAGTGGGAATGTCACCTATGGGGTTCTTTGCAAAATCTCCTGAATGTCCCAGAGCTGCCTTAAAGGACCACTCTAGGCACCCAGACCACTCCAGCTTAATGAAGTGGTCTGGGTGCCAGGTCCCTCTAGGATTAACCTATTTTTTTTATAAACATAGCAGTTTCAGAGAAACTGCTATGTTTATAAATGGGTTAATCCATCCTCCAAATCCTTTAGTGGCTGTCTCATTGACAGCCGCTAGAGGCGCTTGCGTGATTCTCACTGTGAAAATCACAGTGAGAAGACGCCAGCGTCCATAGGAAAGCATTATGAATGCTTTCCTATGAGACCGGCTGAATGCGCGCGCAGCTCTTGCCGTGCGTGTGCATTCAGCCGCATGGGAGGAGAGGAGGAGGATCGGAGGCGGAGAGCTCCCCGCCCAGCGCTGGAAAAGAGGTAAGTTTTACCCCTTTTCTCTCCTCAGAGCCGGGCGGGAGGGGGCACGAGTATGTTTTCCTGGCACTATAGTGGTCCTTTAAGTAAACTATTCCCATGCACAAAAGATTTTCCACTGCACTGGGAAAAGGAAAACAAGTATGTTTTCCTGGCACTATAGTGGTCCTTTAAGTAAACTATTCCCATGCACAAAAGATTTTCCACTGCACTGGGAAAAGCAATACTGCGACCTACCTTATGAAGATGACATGCAAGATCCTTCTAATAGATAACCACTACAATGACATGGGGACCACCAGACTACCAGTCAAGCAGTCACCGTCCGCAAATTATGCAATGACCCTAGATGGTAACAGATCCACTTTAAAGAAATATAAAAATTCTCTTGACGGCTTCTAACTACCTTACATACAAATGCAAAATGGCATAAATTGGACAAAGAGCTGGTCAAGTTTGAGGGAAAGCAGAATCACAGTTGCATAATTTTTAAATGAATAACTTCTATTCAATTTATCCAAGGAATACTGCAGACTTGCTGCAGAAGGGAAGGTCTGTACAACAAGTGGACAGGAGGAAATAGATGTGCCACAGACAATTTAAAGAAGTGCAAATCAAGCAAGAGCCAGCGAAGGAAATCTTTAGCATCTAATTTGTATACTCTTATCGGTGTAGTGAAAAACAAAGCAATCAAATCTAAGAACCATTTACCAGGAAGTCACTGAAAAAGCAAACATAAGATTCCCAAGTACCTCAGGCTAGCCATAGCAGCCAGAAGGAGGCATAATGGATGATAAAAAGGGATGTTAATGGATCATCGAAAGCAATCTACGTGGATTTCTCTGTAGGCTGACAGCTGTCCGTGCTACATTATTTTCTCTGCTTGAAAAATTTCTCGTGCACAGAGAAGTATGCCGGGTATGTCAAAAAGCTTTTAAAAATATAGACAATATAGGTTTCTAGTGTGTACAGTTGATGGCAGCTTAAACGAGAGTCTCTCTGTTCCTGTCAAGTGTGTAGTAGGAAGAGGTGGTACTGCCTTGGTGTGTTCTCAAAGGGTGAAGTGGTCTTGGTGGTTGTTGAGTATATAAAAGACTTAAAATCTTCCCTATGACAGCCAAGACAAGGGGGTTCAAGATTGTGATCGAATTATGCAAAGTAAACATAGAATGTGACGGCAGATAAGAACCGTTCGGCCCATCTAGTCTGCCTAATTTTCTAAATACTTTTATTAGTCCCTGGCCTTATCTTAGAGTTAGGATAGCCGTATGCCTATCCCACACATGCTTAAACTCCTATACTGTGTTAACCTCTACCACTTCAGCTGGAAGGCTATTACATGCATCCACTACCCTCACAGTAAAGTAATACTTCCTGATATTATTTTTAAACCTTTGCCCCTCTAATTTAAGACTATGTCCTCTTGTTGTGGTAGTTTCTATTCTTTTAAATATAGTCTCATCCTTTACTGTGTTGGTTCCCTTTATGCATTTAAATGTTTCTATCACATCCCCCCTGTCTCGTCTTTCCTCCAAGCTATACATGTTAAGATCATTTAACCTTTCCTGGTAAGTTTTATCCTGCAATCCATGAACCAGTTTAGTAGCCCTTCTCTGAACTCTCTCTAAAGTATCAATAGCCTTCTGAAGATACGGTCTCCAGTACTGTGTACAATACTCCAAGTGAGGTCTCACCAGTGTTCTGTACAATGGCATCAGCACTTCCCTCTTTCTACTGCTAATACCTCTCCCTATACAACCAAGCATTCTGCTAGCATTTCCTGCTGCTCTATTACATTGTCTGCCTACCTTTAGGTCATCAGAAATAATCACCTCTAAATCCCTTTCCTCAAAAAGGTTGAGGTTAGGACTCTATCAAATATTCTGTACTCTGCCCTTGGGTTATTACATCCAAGATGCATTATCTTGCACTTATCCACATTAAATGTCAGTTGCCACAACTCTGACCATTTTTCTAGTTTACCTAAATCATTTGCCTTATCCCTCCTGGAACATCAACCCTGTTACATATCTTAGTATCATCAGCAAAAAGACATACCTTACCATCAAGTCCTTCTGCAATATCACTAATAAAAATATTAAAGAGAATGGGTCCAAGTACAGATCCCTGAGGTACCCCACTGGTGACAAGCCCAAGCTTTGAATATACTCCACTGACTACAACCCTCTGTTGCCTGTCACTCAGCCACTGCCTTACCTATTCAACCATATTGAAATCCAAACTTAAAGATTGCAGTTTATTGATAAGCCTTCTATGTGCAACAGTGTCAGAAGCCTTACTGAAATCTAGGTAAGCAATGTCTACTGCACCACCCTGATCTATTATTTTAGTTACCCAATCAAAAAAATCAATAAGATTAGTTTGGCATGATCTCCCTGAAGTAAACCCATGTTGTCGCTGATCTTGAAATCCATGTGTTTTTAGATGTTCAATCCTATCCTTTAACATGGTTTCCATTACTTTCCCCACTACTGAAGTAAGGCTTACTGGCCTATAGTTGGCCGACTCCTCCCTACTACCTTTCTTGTGAATGGACACAACATTCACTAAGTTCCAATCTTCTGGGGCTACTCCTGTTAAAGGAACACTATAGTCACCTAAATTACTTTAGCTAAAAAAAGCAGTTTTAGTGTATAGATCATTCCCCTGCAATTTCACTTCTCAATTCACTGTTATTTAGGAGTTAAATCACTTCGTTTCTGTTTATGCAGCCCTAGCCACACCTCCCCTGGCTATGATTGACAGAGCCTGCATTAAAAAAAAAAAAACTGGTTTCACTTTCAAACAGATGTAATTTACCTTAAATAATTGTATCTCAATCTCTAAATTGAACTTTAATCACATACAGGAGGCTCTTGCAGGGTCTAGCAAGCTATTAACATAGCAGGGGATAAGAAAATCTTAATTAAACAGAACTTGCAATAAAGAAAGCCTAAATAGGGCTCTCTTTACATGAAGTGTTTATGGAAGGCTGTGCAAGTCACATGCAGGGAGGTGTGACTAGGGTTCATAAACAAAGGGATTTAACTCCTAAATGGCAGAGGATTGAGCAGTGAGGCTGCAGGGGCATGTTCTATACACCAAAACTGCTTCATTAAGCTAAAGTTGTACAGGTGACTATAGTATCCCTTTAACAATGATTGGTTAAATAAATCTGTTAATGGTTTTGCTAGTACACCACTAAGCTCTTTTAAAAACTTTGGGTGTATTCCATCCGGTCCCATTGACTTATTTGTCTTTACTTTTGACAGTTGAAATAAAACCTCTTCCTCTGTAAACTCACATGTAATAAATGGCTCATTTGTCCTTTTTCCTAACGGAGGTCCCTTTCCTTCATTTTCATCTGTAAATACTGAACAAAAATATTAATTGAGGCAGTCAGCTAGACCTTTATCCTCTTCTACATACCTTCCTTCTTTTGTTTTTAAACTAACTAATCCTTGTTTTACTTTCCTTTTCTCATTTATGTATCTAAAAAATGTTTTGTCCCCTTTTTTTACTGACTGTGCTATTTTCTCTTCTGTGTGTGATTTGGAAGCTCTTATAACTTACTTAGCCTCTTTCTGCCTAACCTTATAGAGTAGGACTTGACAAATTTGTATGGAATCTAGGAGCCAGCTAAACAAGGTAGGAGCCAGTCATTTTCAACGAGAAAATGCAATTCTTAAAGGGACACTATAGTCACCAGAACCACTACAGCTTGATGTAGTTGTTCTGATGTCTATAGCCTGTCCCTGCAAGCGTTTTAGTGTAAACACTACCTTTTCTGTGAAAAGGCAGAATTTACATTGCTGCTTAGCAACACCTATAGTGACAGTCACTCAGACAGTCACTAGAGAGTCCTGGGTCACTGCTGCACCATATGCTGCACCCAGGTTCGGTATCTCCAAGCTCTCCTATGAGGAGATGCGGATTGGTACATTTGCTGCGCATGCACGAAAGCATTGGCTTAGCTGAGATCATAAAGATCATGGGGAAACTGGCACGGCGTGAAAAAAGGGGGAAAAAGTGAGTAAACACTTTCGGAGGGGGCAGGTACCTAAATGTGCACACACACTGACAGGCTCACATACACACTCACGCTGACAACAAGCTTGCACGCACAAACTCTTGACAGACTTACACACACACACACACACACACATTCTGAGAAGCTTGCACACACATACATATAGACACTGACAGGCTCACACACACACACTGACAGGCTCATACACACACACTGACAGGCTCATACACACACACACTGACAGGCTCATACACACACACTGACAGGCTCATACACACACACTGACAGGCTCATACACACACACACTGACAGGCTCATACACACACACACACACACACACACACACACACTGACAGGCTCATACACACACACACACACACACTGACAGGCTCATACACACACACACACTGACAGGCTCATATACACACACACACACACACACTGACAGGCTCATACACACATACACACACACACTTTTGTTTGAATTGAAACCCACTCAGCCTCCCTACCTTTGGGAGAGCTGAGTGGGTCTTTCCTGGGCTCCGGTGGGGCTGCGCTCATCCTGTGTGCAAGGGAGCAGTACTCTGCTTGTAGCTCCTCTCTGCTCCCTCGCGCAGTGTAATGATGCCGGGGCCGGAATGACATCATCTTCCGGCTCCATTACACAGCGCGAGGGAGCAGAGAGGAGCTACAGAGTACTGCTCCCTCACGCGCTGTCCACAATGCTCCTGAGGGCGGCTGCCTGCAATATTACCTGTGACGGGCACTGCCACACTAATTAAAGAGCTGGCACATCCCAGACGCCAGGGCGAAATTTATAGTCACCGTCGCGACCTGGCGTCTGGGATTTGTCGAGCCCTGTTATAGAGCATTCTGTCTTCATCACTCTGAGTTTTTTTATAATTACTAAATGCTAACTTTTTGTTTTTTACTATTTTGGCCACATCTGCGGAGTACCATAGTGGTTTCTTGATTTTTTTGGTTTCACTGACAAGCCTAATGCAATTTTCTGTTGCCTTCAGCAGTGCAACTTTTAAATAATTCCATTTCTCTTGGACTCCATTTAAAATGCTCCAATTTGATAATGACTCATTTACACATATTCTAATTTTAGAAAAGTCTGTTTTTTTAAAGTCTAAAACTTTTGCTTTTGTGTGGTGTGACTTAGTCACTGTTCTTATATTAAACCACACTGACTGATGATCACTGGATCCTAAACTTTCACCTACAGTAATATGTGATACCAAATCTCCATTTGCTAACACTAAATCTAGCGACTAAATCTACATTATCAGTTGCCATTATTGCCACAAGACATGACTCTTGTCCTTGTTTTGGGGGGCAATTGGATTCGTGTTTTATCACCCTTTTGCCCCCCCCTCCTAGTTTAAATACATCCTAGCAAAACCTCTAAACTGCTCACTGAGAACATTTGTTCCCTTTTAAAAAAGATGCAAACCATCTTTTTTGTACATTTTATTTCCATTCCAAACAGAGCTACCATGAGAAATAAAGCCAAATCCTTGCTTCCGACACCGTTCACCAAGCCACAAGTTAAAGTTCCTAATACGCATCCGCCTGTTGCTCTGAGTGTTATGCACAGGCAGAACTTCAGAGAATGACAGTGTGGAAGCAACCTGCCGTATTTCATTGGCAAAAACAATAAAAACTTCCTTAACCTCTGAAACCTCATTGCAAGCCAAGTCATTTGTCCCTAGATGGACAAGTACATCCAATTCCCATTCCTGCTTTGCTCGCTTAACAATATTACAAATACATCTCCTGTCTCTGTGAGCAGTAGCTCCGGGAAGAAAGCTCACAAGACCACCATTGTTCATCTCGACACCTCTTATGATGGAATCCCCAACAACAACTGCTTTCTATTCGGCCTCACCACAGTCTCCAAGCCTGTCTCCACAACACCACTACCCTCAGTGCCTGTCTCCATAACACCACTATCCTCAGTACCTGAGCCTTATGTAGAGCAACAGACTGTGCAATATGCCTTTTATCCACAACTCTTAGTCTACCAGATCCTACAGTAATCCATCTGCCATTCCTAGGACGTCTCTGCGGCAGTGGCTTTGCAGCAGTTCCAGCCTGAGTTTGTTTACCAGATAATTTACAAATTTTAGATTTCAAAAATACAATCTCCTGCCGCAATATAGAGAACTGTCTGCAGATTAGACAACATCCAAATCTCCAAAAAGTGGAACGTGAAACAAATGCATAACAACTATTACACTGAAGTAAGTCTGCCATTTCAATGAGGTGAATAATTTAAATCAAACAAATCTTACATTTTTAGTCCTCCTGAATACCTCAGATTACCTTCAGTTTAAATCCAGAACATCTCCAACCACACACTTAGAAGCAGCACTTAGATGAAGCAACCAAGCTATATTAGCCAAGCTAATGACAACAACCCTCTTAATCTGGTATGTGGCTTAATATTTGTGTCTTGCACACAAAGTAGGCAGGCAAATGGTCCTAAGCAATTGCCTACTAGTACTGTGAAACTGAACATCATCTACAAACAACTTTCAACTGTCTATATTTATATGCTACAAACATCTGTCTAACAGACAGACTTCAAACCTCCTCATGATTCCTACTTCCCTAACCAAAACAAGCTTTCACAAAAAACAAAACCCCAAACATTGGTTAATTTCCTGCCAGTATTAAGCACGTTCCATTCTCATGCATCCTTGAGGAACATATTTTTAAAGAAAAAGTGCTCTTTTAACATTTCATCACCATTGTTCCATATCACTCACCTGCCTGGAATTTAAAGGGACTCTACGTTTTCCTGGCACTGCAGGTCCCTTCTCCCTCCCACCACCCATCCCCGGTTGCTGAAGGGGTGAAAACCCCTTCAGTGACTTACCCAAGACCCCCGCCGATGTCCCTCGGTGGTGGTTTCGGGTCGCCGCCACCCCTCCCCTTCATCACTTCAGCAGGCGGGGGAGACTGATCCTGCCCGCCGGCTGAGGAGACCTAATGCGCATGCGTGGCAATGCTGCACATTCGCATTAGAGCTCTCCATAGGAAAGCATTGAAAAAGCTTTTCAATGCTTTCCTATGGGGAATTGAGCAACGCTGGAGGTCCTCACACAGCGTGAGGACGTCCAGCGATGCTCTAGCACAGAAAACCTGTGCTATGAAGCAGGAAGTGCCCTCTAGTGGCTGTCTACTAGACAGCCACTAGAGGAGGAGTTAACCCTGCAATGTAATTATTGCAGTTTATGAAAACTGCAATAATTACAGTTGCAGAGTAAGGGTAGTGGGAGTTGGCACCCAGACCACTCCAATGGGCAGAAGTGGTCTGGGTGCCTGGAGTGTCCCTTTAAGTGCATTACTATTTGGGGTACACATCATTGTGTAAGTAAATACCAATATTCAGAAATGAGGAACAAACAAAAATATCAAGCCTCTCCCCCTCCTAAAAAAAACACAACTATGAATTATTGAATAATAAACAGTTCACAATAATAAAAACACACTGCGGCCTCTTAAGTAAAAAAATAAAAATTTAAACTCCCACATAAAAAGTATATTATAGGATAGGGCGGCAGTAAGACATGAATATAAGGTTTGCTATAATAAAAACAGGAGCACCCCCATAACACTCAGCATGCAAGAATGCCAAAGGATTGCCATCACAAGTCTAGTACCAAAATAACTTACCGTTTTTGGACAATGAGGTTTATGTTCCTCAGAGCTACGTACTGCACCTCTGGTTCTCCAGAAAGAAGGGTGACAAGTGGAGGTGCAAGTTTCTTTAGCAGCATGGTGTAATAATCAGAATCTTTAGGCAGCAGCTCCAGGAATTTCATTAAAACCTTTACAGCAGACAGGACCACAGCAGAGTTGGCATGGGACAGCCGAGGAGTGACCCGTTCACAAATGCTGTACAAAGATTCAATTGCTCATTAATTAGTGTTTGGGAATTTCTCTAGGAAGAAGTATGCAAATTGGAAAAAATGATGTAAAGAAATACTCAGTGTTCCATAAACTTGTACAAGTTGAATTCTATCATTCTATGTGCATATATTGTAAGAGGGCACAATATTCTCTATCTGCCTCTGTAACCTCACGTAAATTAAAAAAACATTTCTGTGGTGAGTGAAAACCAGTACTGTAGCAAAGGAGAAGATAAATGGGGCTTTATAAAATAAATCTAGTTTTCCACTGTTCTGCAAAACAAAAAAACTTGGCACAGGTAGTTATTGGGAGGGAATGCACAATTATCAGCTCAGCAGGCATATGGAACATGACACATGTATGCACTCACCTCTGTGCCTCCCTTTCATCCTTGGGATTGTAATTAGACAGGCAGTCCAAGATGAATATCTGTCCCCACTCGGTACATTCGTTGAGAGCAGTCAGCAGTTTGTTAATATTCTGGGGATTTAGGTCCAGTAGGTTACTGTTTGGGTGAGACTCGCTGATCTCAGACAGAGCTGCCACAGCATTGGCAACGACCTGGTGGGTAAGCAAGGAAGAGTTAGTGAAGCAGGGTGGGCAGTAATCGCACATCAAAGAAAAGTGTCATGAAGCAGCATGTAAGTGATTAATCACAATGTTCAATGCGTGTTAAATTCAACTAAAACAAAACAAAAGCAACAAATTAATTAACTACACCAGTGGAGTGAGACATATGCTCAGCAACTACATGCCATGCTTGCATTACAAATTCAGCTAGTATCAAGAGCAGGGGTAGGCAACCTACGGCACTAGTGCCATGCACGGCACTCGAGGTGTCTTTGCACGGCACTCAAGGCTGCTAGAGCCAAACAGGCTCTGGCCTATCAGGAGTCCTAGTAAAACTTCAGATATCTGCTAATCCGAAAAGGTGGTGAAGGACAATCCTCAATTTGTGAATTGCAGCACATAGAGGAACTGATCTCAGATCACTTCCTCCCAGCACTTGTGAATAGGAATCCACACTGTAGTAGAGCAGCTCGCAGTTGCTGTTGCAGCTCCTGTCCTTGACATATACCTGGCCAGCCTGGTCCCCACTGGAACCCACCCACACTGCTAAATATACACAGAAATGCAGAATAACCCTCCCCTCATACAAATAATATGAACAGCCCACACACAAACATGCACACAATCCGCACAAACGAAACACCACTAACAATCCACATACATGCACACAACCCCACATGCAACAGCCCCCACACACTACCAAACACACACTGTGACATATCCATCTACATACACACACACACACAATTCCACAAGCAGCCCCCATACACAGCCCACATTCATACGTATCATACACAATACCATAAACTACTCATGAACATATACAATAGCTCATATACGCAGGGCCGTCTTTAACGCGGGGCAAATTGGCCAGCTGCACCGTGAGCCCTGCTGGCCTCAACTATTTCTAACCCTCTGGCCGATAATCCACACACTAAGGAGGCCCACCGGGTGACCCATGCACAAAAGACCACCCGGTGGGCTTCTGTCAGCAAGGGCCCGGTCTCACGCTGAGGCGCTTTAAAAGCGCGAGCGGGCCTCTTGCTTTTCAGCAGCAGGCTGGGAGGAAGTGACAGACCTGCAAACATGGGTTAATGGTAGAGCCCCAGCTGTCATGCATTTCTCGAGTTGCACGGCAGATGGGGATCTCTACCTTTTAATCACCCATGCCCCGAAAAATTCTTGCACCTCTCTGATTTAGGTCCACCACTGCGTTGAGGTGGAGGACGTGATTGCATGCCTGGGGAGGGGGGACAGGGTCCAGGGGGCCCCAAGCAAATGCTTTGCCCAGGGTCCAGTCACTATTAAAGACGGCCCTGCATATACGCACAAATACAACGATACAAAGCAATTACAGTAAAAATAACAAGCAGAATACGGCAGCATACACCCCTCGATTTAAAAAAATAAAAAATAGGACCAGCATGCTACGTGACATCACAATCCTATATCGGCACAGTGCTGCTAAAAGGTTGCCTACCCCTGATCTAGAGTTTCAAGACTGTATTGGGCATGCTAGTCAATCAACAATAAAAGTATATGTTTATACTTCAGCTGTCAATTAAAAATACAATGTAAGCACAATTTACTGAATTTTATTTTGAGCAAAATTCAGGCATAACATTTTGGATATCATGTTTAAATTAAATCATAAAACCATTTTATCTTTAACTTGAGACACTAAGGGATGAATTCAATGATTATTATTAGAAACAGCAAGATGGGTTGCAGGGTAATATGGCAGCTTGATGATACAGTATATTTCAAAGTGTGGCATCAGACCCTGTTGCAAATGTAAAGAAATGCAAAATATAATGTAGGAAATGTAAAGGAACATTAAACATCAAAACAACTTTAGCTTAAAGGCACACTATAGTGCCCGGAGTATAGATCATGCCTCTGCAGTCATACAGCTCAATTCTCAGTCATTTGGGAGTTAAATCCCTTTGTGTATGCAGCCCAAGCCACACCACAGTAAATTAATAGAGCAGAATAAATTATAACTTAAAACACTCTGTGCAAAAAGAGAAGTTTAAAATGTAAGCGATCTTTCCTCAAAATCACATAATTAAGTTAATGTTGTTTTGCTAATTAGAGTGTCCATTTAAGTGGACAGTCCAGGTTGTAGTTGACCCTAAAGAGAATTACTGTATTAGATAATACAATTAAACAATATTGCAAAAACACAAATGATACGTCAGTTCATGTGGTTTTATCAAAGCCCCTCGTTCTGCAGCTTTTTGAAATAAGCTCTGACCAGGTTGGAAAGTAGATGATATCTTTTAGCAGATGCTAGTCTTCCCATTGTTCCCAGAACTACTTTATGGGATATGTATGTAGATCAGCACTTTACAGCAGTTCTACTGGGTGTAGGGGGTACATTTAACATAACAGATCAGAGGTTTCATAAAAGCAGAAATAGTTAAAGACAAGACCTCAATCATGTGAACATTTTAGTAATAGTTGAACATGGACTGAATTTTGCTGGGTTATCATGACATTGTATAGAATGCTAAAATGCAGTCATACTAAGCCCCACTGAATTGCTATAAAACAGAAGTTTTAGGTCCACTGTATGCTAATTTGAAGGAAAATATGTTTGGCAAGCTAACACCCATACATTCCCTATTCATAGTAATTTAGTATACTATTTTATTGGCAACCCCTTTCCCATGAGATATGTTCTAATACACATTACCAGGTGACTAACCAAAAATGTTGGCCTTGATGTTGGTTGATGACCTTGCATGCTATGGTCACTAACTGGTACCGAAAACCTCAGGATATTAATCATACACTGAAGTTCTGATAGTATGCAAGTAAGCCGGGGCTGAATATTACAATCAAAACTAGAGTTCCCTTCCATATTAAGGCCACGATAAAGTAATGTGGCATTAACCCAACAAAATATGCAATAAATAAAAACCAAAGTGAGAGAGAAAAACACCCTAAAAAAACCATTTCAGAGCCTTCACCAAAACCAAAGGGAAAAAAAAACCCATAGCAGTATGAAAATGATATATACCAGCTACAGTGACTAAAAAATCATAAACAATATTTATATGGAATAAGTTGACAAATAGATTGACAATTATTTAGTTGAAATTAATTGTGTCAGTTAATTCTATTTAAATATTATTCATGATTTTTTATTTATATTACAGTTATCACACTCCTCACTGTGGTTTAATATATTTGATAACATGGCAGGTCTCTTACTTTTAGACATGTTATAACTTTATTAGATTACTCTCACTGACATGAAACAATCAGAGGCATTCCAGAGTCAACACTGTCTGTACCGTGTACGGAAAAAGAGAAAAATGAGAGCACTGAATAAAAAGGCAGGATGAATAAAAACTGGGACCTTAGCCTGCTTTGTTACTGTCAGAGGGTAATTGGGAAATTAACTGAGTGTATAATGTAGCTAATGAGGTGTAATGCGCATTTGATTAATAGGAATCTTCCACTTACCAACCTTTTAAAACATTAAAAAAGGAAGAGTGGGTTGGGGCATACTGATAATATTGGAAGAGCTGGGAATGAAAAAAAGAGGGAGGAACAGCTTAAATAAAAATAAAGAAATTTAACACTAAGAATATAACTCTATAACCAAATATGGAAGTATGGCTGTTTAAATAAACACGGGTGAATAAAACACAAACATATCTAGAAAAAGCAAAATAACTGGGGAAATTTATCAAAGTGTTGAATTCTGAAAAATTACACAAAGCAGGGCAATTACTATGGAAGCCAGTGGAACCAGGAGCACTTTTCAGAATTCAACATTTTAATATAGCTTCCCCATTCATACGCATTGCTTGCGCAGAATGTCCCAATTTTTTTTTCTTTTGTAGGTCCTGTGAAAATGTTTACCACTTTACTACTTTTCACTTTGCACAACCTCATCAATGCCTATTGGTGATGATGCAGGGGAAAACTTCCTATGGTCCAAAGAAACTCATTACTTCCACTTATCGAGCTGAAGAGATCTATTTTTTCATTGTTATTCGTGGCAGCTTTATTTAGTTGCACAAAGAATCTTTAGCATTTTATTTAATGATTTCCTTGGTCTACGGGCACAAGATGAGGACTCTTAGGCACATTAGCTGACAGTGGAAAAAAAATGTAATATTTGACAATATTTTTTAAGGTAATTTCTTTTTTTAATGCAACTTTCATCTGCACAGATTAACACACCTTATTTAGAGTCGCAGGGACCACCAAAAACTTAAAAAATCCCTGGGTAGGGAGAAGCAAGGTACTGGCACCTAATTTTCTGTCAATTGAGGTATTGGGGACATCTGACCCCCATTTTACTGCCCTGGAAATAAAGATAGGGTGAGGGGTCAGCTATACATTAAGTCTTTTATTACTACTAGCTCTTTGGGGTTTGGAGACACCCATATTAATTATTAGAGGCAATATCTAATTTTTATGCAAATCATTTCAAGGTAGAAAGTGCAATTGGCTGACTTGCGGTCTTTGTAAGAATGTCTTACCCATATTCAAGTAATACTTCACAATAGACGAATATATGAAAAACACTTTTCCAAGCAGATACCGTAAGTCATGTTTTTGGCATAAAACCCCCCTTTTTAATTAATTTGGTTATATACGGCTTGTTTTTGCATAATGTGCTCGAATACTATTACTACGGTAATTGTACTAACTAAGATTCCATGAGTGCCCCTGTGCCATTCCAGAGCACATTTTCAAATGATTTGAAAAGTTCCCAGGATCCCACATGCCAATAGCTGCAGTCCTTGCTTATTCATGATATCCTAGTTAGCTCTGCTAAGCAGGGTCATACAGGATCGTAATCACTAGCAAATGAGTGCGGTCCTGGATTAGCCAGGCTTAGCTGCAGATTGTCATCCTTCTCCTGCAGGCGGCCCAGTGGACTGGGTAAGTTGTCATACAATTTTTAAAAAAGCAACAAAACAACTACAGTCTGTTACTAATGATTTGACAATATACTTGGGTTCAGCTGGTAACCTGTTCATACCTCCTCTTCAAACAGAAGTGCAGGGAGCTTCCATTAGTCTCCTCTGAGCTAAGTACGGTTATGCAGGGTCGCCTCATTGACTGAACGTGCCTGCAGAGTGCGATCAGGCAATGAGCACAGGTGGGTGCCTGGCTGACTTCTGGTAAGTTGTCAAATCATTCTTAAGTGGTTTGACTACTAACACTAGTAGGACATCAGGGCACTACTGGCACCATAACCACTACTGTGGGCTGTTTTCCTTTAAGAGTCTAAGATCAGAAATAAAAATCACAATGTGGAAACCAAGTTTCCTCCCCCAACCTCAATTAATGAGGATAAAATAAATTATCACAATGTGCCATGAAGAAGGCTCTGTGGGTAGAAAGCAGTTTGCAGTGTGCAGTGCATTTACAGAAATAAATAACCAAATAAAAAAAAAAGTCATCTCATTGCAGCAACACAGCAGCTCACAAACAAAGGGGAACAAAAGGATACTGTGCTCTAATAAAGCTGCTGAAATAGAAGGCAACCTACAGCTACAGGGTACATTAAATAGACACTGTACACAGCAGGAAAACATAAATTAAAATTGAAGAAACAATAGAATAATTAGTGATTTTAACATGAGTATGTAGCTGACAAAGCCCAAGCAAGTGATCGCCAGGCTTTTTTTTTTTTTTTTAAATACAATAAATACTCAAATATGAAATTATGACTATTGCCAGCACAGAAATTTGAGGATACAGGAGAAGACAATAATGGAACTATACTTGGAAACCTGGGATCATTTGTCAACAGACACGGTGCTTCCATTAACATTTTCAGCAGACACACACAGTGCTGGGACTGGTGCGCACACACTGTCAGCAGAAACACAGTGCTGGGGTTGGGGACACATTTTCATAAGAGACACAGTGTTGTAGTCTGGGTGCATAGTGTGAGAAGATGCACCAAATCACGTTTTCAGCAGATGCAAACAATGATGGTTTGAAGTCCCCTTAAAGCCTAGAGGTGAAGTTCTGTGTTCTTCGCCCTGGCAGCTGAGGTTTAATTGTTGTATTGGCATAAAATATGTTCTGTCTTTTTTTAGGATGAGTTTTGTTAAACCAGACAAAACAAGTTACTTAGTAGCATTTATTCCATATTTCCATAAAACTACTACAGAAAGTTTAGTTCGCCCTGACCTTCCATTTACCAGTAGAACTGTCCTTCATTTGTGTGATAAGAAATTCAACAAATGTGACGAAAAGGCAAATTAGTAACCATTTCAAAGCCAGTAGTTATTTTTGAAGACACCAAATACATGGGTGATGTGGTCAGAGCAGTCCACTACTGCGGGAGTTATGCCTTTCGATAAAATGGTGGAGGAAAATGTTCTTTTGGCTGTCTGAAGTCACATTAGTATAAGCTTTATGTTGTACAATCTAGACCGAAAGCAGAGAAAATGTAAGGTACTTACACACAAAACATTTCGAATGGCATTGATTGAGCAGCTCGTTGGGCAAGTTCAAAATGCCAGTTCAGGAACATGGGGAAAGCCATCAACAGAATACACTGATGACAGGATAAATGGTAAACCCCACTTCATGATGAAAAATGAAAAGAACAGCACCAAAGATTGTGCAGTATGCAGCAAAAGAAAAATCAAAGGTCAAAGACGAGAAACGGACTATTTCTGTGAAACTTGCCCAAGAAAACCTGGCTTACATCCAGGTGTATTTTTTAAAAAGTTTCATACAATGAAAAAATATAAAGACTAACAAAATTTAAAAAGTTTAGAATAGTATTTTTTTTTTTATTGGTTTGTAGTTATAACAAATGTTATTTTTATTTAAATAAAATTTAAAGTATTTGTTTTTTAGTTTGTTTTTTTTTTAAATAGGACCTGCTGAAAAACTTAGTGAAAATGTATTGGATCGCAAAAGGTTAAGATGTCACTATATATAGTGTCCCTTTAAGTTAAAATCTCAGTTTTCAAGTAATTGATTTTTGGACTGTTATGATAATGTCCAGCTCAAATGCCCTTCTGGACATCAAATAAGTAATTTCAGGAATCTAGGAGCAGATTGTGCATGCCTGAGATACTCTTACAGGGTTATTCACAAAGGCGAGAATTCATAGTGAATTAAAATAGAATTTTAAATTTACGTTCATAAAAGCCAAACCGAAACAATTCTGTAAGTCAGTTATGCTTTCAGTTCAGCTACATTGGCCTTAAATTGGAAATTCACTTTGAATTATCACTTCAGTGAAAAACCCTGCCAGACTTGTCAGTTTTTTTTGCTATATTTGCCTCCATTTTGACATTCAGTTCTTATTTATGAGTTTCGTGTCTCACCCTCTGTCTTCCCACATAGAGTGGGTGTGTGGCGGTGAGGTGCAAAGAGTGGTTGTGTGGCTTGGTGTCATGAATCTTTGGTGTGTGCTGGCTGTATATAATTTATGTGTGTGTGTGTGGTGTGTACTGTCAGTAATGTACGTGTAAAATGTTTTGGCTGTATGTAATGTGTGCGCCTGCAGTGTGTGCTGGCTGTATGTAATATGTGTGTATTTCTCCTCCTATCAGTGCCATCTCAGTAAAAGCTCCCTCACAGTCCTGGCATTCAGCAAGTCAGAGTGCATCCTGAGAAGCCGTGCTCCGATTCACTTGAGGGTGCCGGACAGCAATGGAGCAATTAACAAGGTCTGCATCTGCCAGGGATATAGACTTCATGCTACCAGCACCATCTTCCCCTACCCTCCCTATAGCAGCCCCACCGCTTGCCTGTGGAAATGATAGAGTATAAAATATATATTTTTTTCTTTTAAATATTAATAGCTGTTAAGATGTTTTGTTTTTCCCCACATATATATTGAATATGAAGGGGAAGTTGGTAGAATGACTAGTGCACTGTAATAGCATGACTTGGTGAGAAGAGGGCAGATGAAGGTGAAAAATTATTGAAATAAAAATAGCAGGTTGGGGGTTTGAGGGATTAGGTTGAAGGGTAGAGTGTGCTTACCTCACTATTCCCCAAAATGCTACATCAAGTAAAATGTCACAATTCTCAGTTGCACAAATATTCCACAACATTAGCATTCCATAACCAATCTCACAAACACATCAACACACACAGTGACATGCAAAACCAAACACCACCTACACTACATATGAATATTTGATTGCAGAGTACATTCACATACTAACACTTACCACATACACTACACACAAATATAATATACCGCCCTGCACTCAGACACATGGATGCTTCACAAAAATTACCTCCGCAAGCAGTTACTAACATGCTATGGGACAGAATGATGTCAGCAGTTTAACTCACACTGATTTCTCATTGGCTGGGCTATACTATTTACCATCCAATCAAGACTATGTTTTGCAAAAGGGGAGGTGTATCATGCTACATAAAGGTTCAAAACATTGTCTTTTTTAACCCCTTAAGGACAGAGCTTCAGAAGCTTGTCTTTCACTTAATGACAACAGCATTTTTTGCCGTTTATGTTCAACTGCAATTTGCATTTTACTAATTTATTGCACCGACACATATATACTGTTTTTTAAAGGACAGAAAGGGCTTTAATTTGATGTAACATATATATATATAGATAAATGTTTATTATAAAAAAAAAAAATACAGAAAAATGAAAAAAAATGTAACTTTTTTTTTTTACAGTTTTTGCACTAATAATGTGTGCACAATTAGTACAGGTTAAGGAAAGTAATTAAAAATAAATTCATATAGTTGTTCTGATTTACAGAATATATAATGTGTCTGGGATTTCAAGTTTTTTTGGTAGTTACAGGTCACAAAGCACAAGGAGTAAAAACCTTTCATGTGGAGCAATTTTAGAATCTGGTATGTTTGTCTTGTAAGCTTAATAGCCATAAAAGAAAACAAAATTGCCACACAAAAGTATATATATCTATATAAAGAAGACATCATGGGCTATTTACCTAAGGTTGTTTTGACACTTTCTACATAGCCATTTCACCGCCAACCTCTGCTAAATATTGGAGTAAAATTGTGTTTTTTTTTGTTTTTTGGCACACAAACTTATAACAAAGAAATTCTCATGTGTATTTTGTAAAGTTGGTGTGTGCTATTCCTGTACAAAGTTTTATTTTGTGTTCAGTTACAACTGCTGAGTAACATGACACCCCCATTGTATGTCTTTGGCACTATTTCGTGAAGTTACAGTGCCATACAGGATACATGTTCTTTTCAGTATTCACAGTAGAATTTTGAGAGATGGATTTAATGAGCCTATGCTTCCATTTGGGGTATTATAACAGTTTGACTGTTCAAAAAAAACCCACAAAGGCCTACCATTTGTAAAAGTAGACACTCCAGGGTATCTCATAAGGTGCATATTGTGCCTTAACATGCCCCCATTTTTTCACCAATATATGCCAAAGTATGTGGTAAAATATAATTTTGTGCATTTTTTTTTTTACATACGGATTGCATTTTTGCTGGGCATTTTGTATATTTCATATGTGCCACTAAGTTCAAACCCCCCAATTAATGCTCAGCTAAGTCTTCTGAGTAAAAAGACACCCCCAATGAATGTCTTTGGCACTATTTCGTGAAGCTACAGTGCCAGGAGACCAAGCCATATCAGTTTTTACCGAACTTTGGATTTTGACGCTGGGCCTATGTGCAATTTCCAAGCATCTTCGCAGATTTTAAATTCAAACTACCCCACAAAGGCCTACCATTTCTTAAAGTAGACACCCCAGGGTATTTCAAAAGGTATATTTTGAACCTTAGCGTGGGATCATTTTTCCGCTAGCTTGTACCAGGTGTAGGTTTTCTGCCTTTTTGACACACAATGTGAGTTTTCACAGTATATTTTGCAAACCTTATGTGTGCTACCACTGTATAATACTTCATATGTTGCTCAGCTATGTCGGCTGAGTACAGCAATACCCCCGTATGTACCTTTACCAGGTATATGTGGGTGTTGAAGGGGCACATTTGAGACGCAGCCATTCATTTTTTTTCTAACTTTGAAGTTTTACGCTGTGTCCATGTTCCAATTTGGAGTAGTTTAGGTGGTTGGTTATTGAAACTTCCCCACAAACACATACTATTTAGTAAAGAATACACCATGGGGTAATTCAAAAGGCATATTTTGAACCTTGGCGTGGGATAATTTTTTTCTCTAGTTTGTTCCAGGTGTAGTGGTAATGAGCGTTTGTAAAATGTATTTTTTGACTTTTTAAAACTTTTTTAACTTTTTAAAACTAGTTTTTAAACTTTTGTTTTGCTTATAAAAATTTTTTAAGCTTTCCTAAACTTTCTTCAAACTTTTTTTTTTACAGATTTAACATTTTTCTAAGCTTTTTTTTTTTACCGTTAACCCCTAACTAGCAGTAAGCAGCACTAACAGTAAATTCCCCATTTTCCCATAACTCCTACCCACCCCAGCTAGCAAAATCTATAATTATAAAATATTTAAAATTAGTTAATTAAATAAATTGAACCCCTGAGGGTTAAAAAATAAATAAAAGTTAATCGTTAGGGGTTAAAAAAAATTAGATCACAGTATAATACTGTGATCTGTATTTTGATCACTGTAGGCAGTGACAGACTGGCAGGGAAGGGGTTAATTTTTATGTGGACTGGCGAAAGGGTTTTTTTTTTTCACTTAAACTTTATTAAAACTTTTTTTAACTTAATTTTGAACTTTTTAAAGCTTATTTTAAAACTTTTTTTTAACGTTAACCCCTAGTTAGCCTAACACCAAACCCCCCAATTCTCCACTAACTTCCACCCACCCCAGCTAGCTAAATTTATAATTTTAAAATACTTAAAATTAATAAAATAAATTTAACCCCTGAGGGTTAAAAAACAAAAAAAAAATCCTCAGGGGTTAAAAAAAAATTAAAATCAGATCACAGTAAAATGTAATCCCTGCCAACTGATCACTGTAGTCAGTGATCAATTGGCTGGGGAGGGGGTTAATTTTTTTTTTTATTAAAATGGGTAAAGGGGGGTGGGATTTTAAATTAAATTTTGTTTTCTAACAGTGACAAGATCAGTGATGATCCTTCTCCCTGCACAGTGAACCCGGAAGTGCAGGGAGGCGGAAGGTGAGTATACTGAGAACATGTGCTCGCTCTGACAGGCTGTCAGAGCGAGCACCGGTGCTGGGGCAGCGAGATCGGATGCTCCCGGTCTGCCTCTAATACAGAGCCAGACCGGAGCACCATTATCGCGGCGATCTGGGGTTAATTTTACCGCGTTACGGACAAGGTCCATCACTCGTCGTTAAGGGTTTCCCCTGAGTGACGGACCTCGTCCGTCACTCGTCATTAAGGGGTTAAAAGGGACACAGTAGGCACGGTTACTGCTTCATCTCACTGAATTGATTATACTATCTGGAGTTCTGTGACGCAGTTCTTCATTCATTTCGAATGTTTTAATGCTAACAAGAATCTCCACCAGACCATCACCTCTGTGCTGCCTAAGTTAAAGGAAGCATTAGCTTATGCAGAATATGATGGCTGTGATTGGCTGAGAATATCAGCTGACCACTTTCAGCCCATCACAGCACCCATTGCTGGGATGAATTGGTATAGCTAGAAGGAAGTATGTAATCTCTACCTTAGCCATATCTCCAGTGGGGAGGGCTGTGGATGTTATTTAGTGTTAAAGTGCTCGAAAATGGTTTAATCTTGAATGGAGAAAGAATGCCAGGGGACTCCAGGCACTATAACCAAATTGTATAAAAATTAAACAGTTATAGTGCCTACAGTGTCCCTTTAAGCAAAACTAAAGAGATTTGCAAGGGAGTAAAACACTGCATTAATATGAGGTCAAAACTCAACAAATGTATCAAGATATGTCAGTTCTCAGAGTGTTCCTTTAAATATTACATCAGTGGGATGTTGCCCTCTTGTGGCTTCATTACAGACAAAAAAAAAATATCTATTTAAAACATGGCTAGGTAAAAGTTACTGAAAATTAACTTGTTTTTGATGGTAAAATGTTGCCAGTGCACTAAACGTTTAAAAGAACATTCCATATAGATAAAGCACTTCAGCTTCCTGGGCTAGCTTGTGCCAGACTTCTCTGATTCTCAAAGAGGAAATAGGGGAGGGCCTGCTAAGGAGGAAAAATATCAGCTCAGTTCGTCACTCTAGACCACACAGATGCAAAAAGAGGCGTTGATCTAGGTTTAAATATCAAGCTGGTGGGGGGTACATGTGTGTGAACACACATACCTGCACACTCACTCACTCAACTAATACAGAGTGTGCCCATGTAAATGTGTCCTACTTTTCCACTCCCCAATGCTTACATATGGATCCGGTATAATGATATGGAAAAACCAAAGAGTAAATAATACTACTTGTTCACTTGGAAGACAGATTACTGAGCAGTTGTCCGATCTTTTGCTAGAATACTAATATTTTTAGGTTGGGTCTCAAAAACAGATCTTCTTTGTTAATTAAACTGAAAAAAGAACATATTTAATCTTTTGGTTTGATGAGTCAATCTTGCCTTCTTTACCAGGATAAAAAAAATCTGTTCAGTTAACACTCTAAGATGAACTTGGGAAAACAGGTCACGTTACCTATCAACCAATAAATACAGCCCTGGTTCTAGATCATCACATCACATCCAGCATGCTAGAGATGGGACTGTGGGGTTGCTAAGCAACAACTTACATGTAAAGCAACAGAAACCTTGCAGGGCTAAATGTGCTAAATCTCACTTAGCAGTTTAGCAGCATTACACCATCAACAGGCACTCGCCAAAATTACTAACATGATTTATCAAAGCATCTGCAGCAGTGGGAAGCAATGAAGTACAACACTCACATGTTTCCTCCCTCAAGTGTTGTTACTCCTGTGTCTGTCTCCCTCCAAGTCAACGGTGCTACCATCAGCTCCACCATGCAGGCTCGCTGCCTAGGTGTTCTCTTTGACTCCGACCTCTCCTTCAAGCCTCATATTTAATCTATCACCAAATCCTGTCATTTCCATCTAAAAAACATTGCGCACATCCGCCCCTACTTAACGCCAGATGCGACTAAGGTGTTGGTCCATTCCACTGTCCTTTCTCGCCTTGACTACTGTAATTCGCTTCTCAGTGGTCTTACGTGCTCCCAACTTGCGCCGTTACAGTCCATAATGAATGCGGTGGCGAGGCTCATCTTCCTGTCCGCCTGCACCTCCCATGCCTCACCCTTCTGTCAGTCCCTACACTGGCTTCCTATAAAATATAGTGCTCAATTTAAAATTCTGGTTCTTGCTTTCAAATCGCTACATAATGCTGCTCCCACCTATCTATCCTCCCTTATACACAAGTATGTCCCATCTAGGCCCTTACGATCTGCTGAAGACTTACGTCTATCTTCTGTCCGTACTCCCACCTCTGATGCTCGCCTTCAAGATTTCTCGAGGGCTGCACTGTTCCTGTGGAACTTGCTTCCCTCCTCCGTTAGATGCTCACCCAGTCTCTATTCCTTCAAAAAAATCGTTAAAAACCCACTTCTTCATAAAAGCGTATCAGTTAAACTGTTAATAGCTCCTGACTGATTCCTCTTCTGCAACTGTCATTAGTCTAATACTATCCTTACCTTTTTGTGTCATTTTACCCCACTCCCTCTAGATTGTAAACTCATTGAGCAGTGCCCTCAACCCACCTGTTCCTGTGTGTCCAACTTGTCTGGTTACAACTACATGTCTGTTCGTCCACCCATTGTAAAGCGCTGCGGAATTTGACGGGGCTTTATAAATATCATAATAATAATAATAATAATAATGTTATGAAAGCACACATTCAGTCACAATCCGACTCAATGGCGGTATGCAGGCAGTTTTGTGAATGAATGTACAATGGGGTCTGTAGGGCCAGTTGTATAAGAGCGCTCCATGGCCGGTGTGGAGAAGAAAGAGGCAAGCCACCCTACAGTCGTACAAGGATTTCCTTCGGCTGCATCACAGCATTGCTGCACTGATACATTCCCTGATGTTGGCTGGAAGGAGTGGTCGGCACTCTTAAAAAAGGAAACAAACAACCACGCTCTGCAGGTTCACTTTTACTTATAATATTTCGTAAAGCCATGACAACTGCATAAGCATCTATGGTTGTGCTCAAAAGTTTGCATACCCTTGGAGAATTGGTAATATATGTACCATTTTCAAAGAAAACATGAGTGAGCAGGCAAAACACATTCCTTATTCAACTGTAGGTCATAACAGAATGGCACAATCATAAAACAAAACATAGCAACAAAAAATAAAAAATAAAAAAATGAAATGACCCGTTCAAAAGTCTGCATACCGTTAGTTCTTAATACTGTGTATTTAGCATCAATGACAGCGTGCAGTCTTTTGTAATGGTCTATGAGGCCCCTAATTCTTGCAGGTGGTATAGCTGCCCATTCGTCTTGGCAAAATGCCTCCAGGTCATGCTATGTTTTTGGTTGTCTTGCATGAACTGCACGTGTGAGAGGGACACGATAGTCACCAGACCAACTACAGCTTAATGTAGTTGTTCTAGTGAGCAAAATAGCTCCCTTCAGGCATTTTCATGTAAACACTGCCTTTTCACAGAAAAGGCAGTGTTTTACATTGCCCCTAGGGACACCTTCAAGTGGCCACTCCTTAGATGGTCACTGGAGGGGCTTCCAGGCTCAGGGCTGCACAGTAAGCAGCCCTGCTGTTCAGCGTCCCCAAGCTCTGCATGGAGATGCTGAATTTTCCTGACAGAGATGCAGTGCGTCGATGCATCTCTATGAGGAGGTCCTGATTTGCCAAAACGGCACTTGGCCCGCCCTTGTGCCGATTTTAGCCAATCCAATGCTTTCCCTATGGGAAAGAGATCTCTGATTTTTCCACTTCTTAATAAGTGATTGAACAGTACTGACAAGCATTTTCAGGGCTTTGGATATCTTTTTATATCCTTTTCCATCTTTAAAAAGTTCCATTACCTTGTTACACAGTCTTTTGACAGTTATTTTCTGCCCCCCATGGCTCTAGCCTGCTCAGTGTATCCACATGAGAGCTAACAAACTCATTGACTATTTATACACAGACACTAAGTACAATATAAAAAGCCACGGGTGTGGTAAATTAACCTCTAATTGCTTTTTAAACCTGAGTTTGTCACCTTGTGAGTCTGTAACAAGGTCAAACATTCAAGGGTATGTAAAATTTTGATCAGGGCATTTGGGTGATTTCTGTTATCATCATGCTTTAGAAAGAAGCCAAACAACTATGTGATAATAAATGGTTTCACATGATCACTATGCTTCAATAAAAGGCATGATCAGTCATATTTTCAAAATCAATGCCAAAATTTAACAAATTCATCCAGGGTATGCATACGTTTGAGCACAACTGTACGTCAGAGGAGACATGCTTTATAGAGGAATAATCACAGCAATTTCATGTGCTATAGTTGTGTGACAGACAGCAACAGAACTGCCTGTAGGAGGGTTGTTGCCAGGGGTGGGACTGCTCTGAGAAATCTTTGGTGACTTACTAATAATTTTTGCAATTAAAATGTAATTTAGGACAAGGACAATGTATCTTATTTACACAGACTGAGTTCTAAACACATATTACTATGAGTATTATTGCTGAGGAGCTCTGTTATACACTCAGACACATGAACAATATGGAGCTCCTAGAAAAGAGGGGCATTAGGATATAAAAAGAGGGATAGAGAGATTTTAGCCCAAATTTTGACTGTCACTCTTAAATAGGGACAGATTAAGGTTGTGCTTTCATTTGTGTTTTTCTTATACAAAGATAAGGTTTTTTTTTTTTTTAAATAAATTATTATTTTAATATTAGTCGTGTACAAATAAAGATTTTTTTTTTTTATGACAGATGAAATTTCAACACAGAATTAAGAAATATGTAAAACAATGTATGGATAATGTTGCCACATACAGGATTGATTTTTGGCACAATGTGACAATGTAGAGCTTTCTATCCACATTCTTACTTGTTAGAACGAACAGGAAAATGCATATCTTGTGTGATGCTCAATAAATGTCTGTGTTATCTGACTACATAGTATTATTTATGGAATATCACAAAGTCTCCATAGATCTATTTTGTACTTAGGTCCACTACAGTGGTGATGATTGCTCCTAGCAGATAGATACACTGAGATATTCCCTTTTCAACAAGTCACTTTGGAGAGAATCTTGGGGAAAAAAGTGCAACAATCTCAGAACTGACCATTTCAATTTTTAAAAGTGCCCCCCCCAAAAAATGACAGAGTACCACTACATTACCAAGGAAAAAAGAAAACGTTACATTATAAATGCCCTAAAATTATTCTGTTTTTGACAAGCCAGTTCTTACTAAAAATTTTGTAATTTAAAGGGTTTTTTTTTTTTTTTACTCAGAGATAAAATTCTACAATCATTAAAATTTCAATAAAACAATCCTTAGCTTGGTATTTCATAATGTCGTGATGCTACGCTATCCAAAAGGAAGCTGGGTTCATTGGCAGTAGATTAGTGATGCACATGAGTAGTTTGATGATGTGAAAAACTGTACAAGTATAACACAATAAAATAGTCAATAACTTCTATTCCAAAATCTGTTCTTTTCAACTTTAAGGAATTGTGCTTGGTTCCAAAATAAATATTACGTGCATAAAAATCACATTATACAAGGGCAGTAAAATCTTTAATTCTAAACGTTATAACAGTTACTGGGTCTCACCATTGGGTTGGAGTCTGCAATCAAATCTCGCAGTGAGTCAAGGAAACCCTGATCTTCCACCATCTGCGCATTGATGTCATGGAGTTTGGCTACGCATACAGCAGCGGTCTTGCGCACATATGGGTCCTCGTCTTTTAAGCACTTTCGAAGTGGTTCACAGAGGTATTCCGTAATTTTATCTACACGGATACAGCCCATGGTGCGCACAGCTAGGGCACGAATTAGAGGGTTGGGGTCCTCACAATCCTGAATAATAAGATGTTGGGTTATTACTAACAAAAAAAATTAAATAAAATATATAGAAAACAATCAATTGTAATTTAACAACCCCAAAATGTCTACAATAGAGAAATGAAAACATTTAATAAGATCTCAATAGACAAAACACCCAAAGTACCAGTGTGGAAAAAAACAAAAACACCAAAGTGATACTTAAGGACCTGGACAAAAAGAACTCAACCCTCATACAAGAAGAGCAGAAACCCTACAAGAAGTAAATGTAAAACTACCTTCACAAAGCTATTCACAGCCATAATAGCCATGTCTGGTTGGCTCTTGGCATAGTTCATCAGGTACAGGTATACAAGCTTCTTCAGTTCCAAGTTGTCTGTTTGCATGCAGTTCACCACATCTGGAAACAGGGAGCTGCAAGACATAATAAACCACATAGGTGAAAAGGAAGCCAGGCTTTAGTTGATGGAAATTCTTATCCACGTCGTGGAAGTACCAATAGCTAAATTTTAATCTCACTATCAACAGTGAATTTGACAAATTAAAGTAGTTACTACACCTTTTAACATTGTCTTCTCCAACATAAACAATTGGAAATAACACTGCATTAAGCACTATACATGGAGGCAGCCTTCAGGTTTCAAAATGATATATGAAGGCTCCTTAAGTCACTGGCAGCCAGTCATATTCGTAATCAATAGTGAGGATCCCAACTAGGACCCCTAAATCAATATCATGTAAAAATGAGTGCCCATGTTGCTGACAGCTGCCTTTAAGAATGCCACCGTAGATTGGCTGAGTAGTAGTGTAAAATGACAGATAGCTGTTAATACAGTAAGTCATTTCAGACCGTATCTCAATAAAGAAATACAATTTCTTTCAGTGATGGAATATATATGTATTATATTCACAAGCACACATAAACAAAAACCCCACCCTTGATATGAAAAAGCACAGCAACGTCCTTGCTAAGCTTTGTGACCTGACACAAATAAAAATTGTAAATGGAAGATCAGGGGTCACATGGCACAAACTACATGTGAAAAGTCTATATGCTTTTGCTTCCCACCAACTTTTACATACTGGGCAGTTACTTCATAAAGCAGCAGAGCTTCCTCCCAGGTAATCACTGCCTTCCCAGTAATATGAACTCGGCAAGGCACACATTAATTTTGCTGCTGTCAGTCATCCAATGAGCTCAATGGGGCATCTGTCTGGCACCCATACTTACTCATTATCAGCCACAAGACTTGTAGCACAAATGCGCACCTGGGGAAATCTTCATAATGTTTAATTGTGTGTGTGCATAAACGTTTGTATATTTAAATCACATTCCAACTATATATAAAATGCAACATTGTTGATAATGCTGTTAAAGGAACACTGTAGGCACCCAGACCACTTCACCTCATCGAAGTGCTCTGGGTGCAATTTCCCATGTTACCTAACCCTAAGGTGGTAAAGAACTGCATTTTCTGAGAAACTGCAATAATTACCTCTGAGTTCCGGAACTGAAACGGATAATTGGTCCGTTATCTGACGCTGGACGTTCTCACACACTGCATGAGGACCTCCAGCGTCAGATTTTTCTTCATAGGAAAGCATTAAGTAATGCTTTCCTATGGGAAAATTATAATGCGAGCATGGACGGAGCCTGACCCAGCACCAAGGAACATCGGAGCTAAATTAAAGTAAGTGGCTGAAGTGCTACGGGAGAGTGGGCGCGAGGGAGGGGGGCACTCCAGAAGCCTACAGTGCCAGGAAAACTGCTTTGTTTTACTGGCACTATAGAATCCCTTTAATAACTTGAGTAATGATTTCAAAAAAAATGATCACAGGAAAAATAAAATGATTGCTAGAATATTACTGTATAAGTAGTTACAATAAGATTTTTAAAGACCCTGAAGAAGCATAGCTTAGAGAAACTAGCTACCACTTCAGGCAGAATAGCCATGTCTGGTTGGCTCTTGGCATAGGAAGAGGCACCAGGAAGAGGCACCGCTAATCAGAAGCCTTGCATGTTGGTCTACAGGTTCTCATATTATCCCATAAAACCATATCTGGACACTGCACACACATGTTGGACAAAACAAACAGACACTTTGTAGTGTCTGTGTTTTGAGGGGTTATGTTATAGCTATAGATTTTTACAAATAATTGCAGTTACAAGCCGCTCTCATAGCGGAATATGTGTGCAGGGAATAATGAAATGTTGTGCTTAGACTGACCTTTTGGAAGGATGAATAAACACTAGCTTAAGCATTTCTGAGGATCATTATATTACAGATTAGATTATAAAGAATAGTCATGAAACACAGATACCTGACATCTTTGCCCACGGTCATGGCTGCGATAACCTTTTTCACAGCCTCCTTGCGTTTTTCCTTCTTTTCATTGTTCAACTCTGCCTTCAACTCAAAGATCTCTCCTGGAAACAGAAACAATAATATTACTCTACAGACACGCACACTTACTTGATTACATTGCTTTATATTTTCTAAATAATTCTGGTGTGCTCTGTAAACTAGTTATATAAATTACACACAGTTAAAAGAATGATATACCAACAAAAAAAGTACTTAATGTAAAATAAAAAAATTATTAGTTAAAATACATACTTTATTGAGTATATGTGCACTTTACTTACTCTCACTCTCTATATATATATATATATATATATATATATATATATATATATATATATATTGTAAAGTGCACATATACTCAAAGTACGTATTTTAACTAATAATTTTTTTATTTTACATTAAGTACTTTTTTGTGTAATCTTTGGTGTTTATTAGTTAAAAAAAAAAATGGTCTACAATTTATGCCAGTTTCGGCTACTATTTAACTGCAATTAACAACTTAAATTAGGTAGAAAATCTTCTGTGTTTGGTCGATTAGTCAGACAGAAGTCTGTCCCGAGGATTCTCAAAAGGTTGATTAGTTATAGTTAAAGTCTAGGTTTGTCATCAAAACCCTGCTTGCTTGTTCTTCCTCTAGGTGTGACTGGTACAGTAGAATCTGACCTTTGTGTCTATACATCATATCCCAATAGAAATCTGTTCTTTGAGAATGTCATTCCAGAAGAAAATTACCCATTCTTTCAACTAGGAAATGTAAATATTTTTAATGAAATCTAAAGACCCTCAATCCACTTGTCAATTATCTGCACAGATACTGGCATAGCTTCATGCTGAAGATATACACAGGGTTACTCATTAAAATAAGAATACTCAGGAACTCAAAATGTACATAAAGTAAATTTCTAAATTTGACCTTAAATTTCAAATTCACTTTGAATTTTTTAAAAAAATAAAAATAAATAAAGAGAACCCTTCAACAGGGTAAACCGTTCATAACAGGTTTTCGGAAACAACCACAGAGAGGTCTGACTTGGTTAACCATCAGACACTAACAAGCACATTATGTCTTGCTTGGATGTACTGTACTGACTTATGTGACCCTACACTGCTAAAATCACTGATTTGCCCTGCTTTCAAACACTTACCCAAACAGGGCAAACCTCTTCCATAACACCGACATTCTGGCTTCATTGCCAGCATGCTGGCATCTGAACGGAGTAGCGTCAGTCACTCCATTGGTATACTCCTAGCAGTGCTGGCCAGAGAGTTACCATAGCAACTACAGTGCATGCGCTGTGGTTGCAATGGGTAGCAAGCAAAAAGACTACCTGTGGGTAGTATCTTCTGCTCTCCTTTATCAATTAAGTCTTTGGAATCGACTCTATGAAGAAGAATTGATCGACAGGTAGAAGCAAAACCAGTTTTTAAATAGTTTTTTTTTTTTCCTTTCTCCCAATCTATATTTTTGCTAACAAGCTACTAGCACAATGTATAGATAGAATTATATGCTTTTTACAAAGCGCATAAGTAGTTTTGGGCATCACAGTTGTCTTTTAAAGTGGTCAAATATAAATAATTTAAGCTAATTATGAGTGTTGACTCTGCTTTAACCCCTTAAGGACCAAACTTCTGGAATAAAAGGGAATCATGACATGTCATGTATCCTTAAGGGGTTAAAGAAAAACTATACTGTTAGGAATACAAAGTTGTTTTCCTAACACTTATAGATCTCTCTGGTCCCCCTCCCCCCGGCACATAAAGAGTTAAAAAACTCTTTAATCACTTACCTGATTCCAGAGCTTATGTCCCTCGGTCACACTCCACCTCTTCAGATGTCATCCGATGAGGGGGACCTAATGCAAAGGTGTGGCAAGCGCAGCGTGCACATTAGGCATTCCTCATAGGGAAGCATTATCTCATTGCTTTCCTATGGGGTTTTTTCGGACGCTGGACGTCTTCATGAAGATTGTGACGACATCCAGCATCGTGTCAAACTCTGTAAAACTATAGGAAGCTCCTCTAGTGGCTGTCTGGTATAGAGAAACTAGAGGCAGTCTTAGTACTGCAATGTAACATTGCAGTTTCTCAACAAAGGGGGACAGGGACACTCGACCCAGACCTTTAACTAAAAATTTACCTTTCTTGTTGGTGGTGAAATACTTTGAGTCGGTCATGGCTCACTCTGTCTCTTCTTCAAATCACCTTAACAGGAGAAAAAAAACAAAAAACTACATTAATATTTATGACTAGACTATAAAAGCATTAAATGCAGCTTAAATATATTTAAAGAAATCTGTATGGTGTAAATTTTATAGGATGATTGTTTCATTTATTAGACTGACAAAATGGATCACCATAAGCATCCTTTGCAAAAACAATCATGCTTCACAAAAGTCATAGGATTCCCATTATTTACAGTGTATCCCAGGCTAGTATAAGATGCATATCCAAATGTACACTCCTAAATGGCAGGGAATTGAGCAGAGCAACTTCAGAGGAATGGTCTATACACAAAAACGAATTCATTAAAAGGAACACTATATCGTCAGAATCTTAAACATGTATTCCTGACCCTATAGTGTTAATAACACAATTTAGGTGGCATGTCCCCCGTCCCCGACCCCCACTCTTTAAAAATAAAATAAAAAATCTTACCTTATTTCCATGTGGCAGCGCCGGCCCTGCCCACACAACCACCTCCTTGCCTGACATCATCAGAATTCTTATTTATTTTTTTAATAATCCTTTATTTTCTAATATTTGGGGGGCGTAAACCTAAATAGGTAGGCAAACACTGTGGCGCAGAGGTGCCCAAAAGGTAGATCCCCAGATGCTTTAGAACTACAGCTTACATGATGCTTTGGCATTCTAAAAGCATGCAAAGCATCATTGAAGTTGTAGTTCTACAACATCTGGGATCTACCTTTTGAGCATTCCTGCTCTAGCATTAGGAAAATGTTTGTATTCCTAACACTATAGTGTTACCTTTAATATAACCAACATGAGAAAAAAAAAAATAGAACAAGCTTACTTTTGGATAGCTCTTTAAAGCTCCAAGTTTTGATCATTTGCCTATTCTTTGTAGGCCAGCAAAAATAAAAATTACAGACCTACTGTAACAGTTTTATTGCACAAGTGTGGAGCACCAAAGTTATGACTTTAATAAAAGGGTTTTTCAAAAACCCAAATTTCGGTTAAAACATTGCACCTCACTGGTGAAATGTTGGTGTCTGGGAACTGAATGCACCTTGAGACATCAAACCCAAAGAAATATTAGCTGACCATGTTTTTGTGAGAAAATCGCTGTCAGAGTTATTAACACTATTACACAGTAACAATAAAGTGTACACTTCACAAGAGGCTGTTTTCTTTAAAGGACCACTCCAAACTATTTTGTTATTTTAAAATAAAACTCACTATTAAGCAAATATGCCCTCAATGAATACATTTTTTTTTCATGCATGCATTTATTAGGGGTATATCTTAAAAGAGCTTGCAAAAGCTGCAGCCTTTGCAAGCCATTTCCATTTTGCACTAGAAGAGACTAACAGTCTCTTCTTTAGGAAAGACCCAATCAGAGGCTTCTCATTGAGAAGCATCTGAATCTGGGTGCGCATGCCAGATAGTGCATGCGCATGTCTGTTGTCTGTGAAGGAGCTGGTCTGAGATCTAAGTAGAGCTGAAATACTTTATGGGTGTGGAGTTGTCCTTTAACCCCTTAAGGACACATGGCATGTGTGACCTGTCATGATTCCCTTTTATTCCAGATGTTTGGCCCTTAAGGGTTTAAAAGGAAACATTCATTTTGCGCTGTTTAAAAACATTATTCAAGACAAACAACAGGCTTTGGCAGAAAAGACTCACATTAGCTCCATGAAATTTCTTCCAGGGAGAAAATCAACGTGTTTCGTGTGATCTTTTGATAATGAACTAGTACGTTCACATGAAGCACTTTATTTTCTTCCTAATGGACCTTTCATAGAGCTAATGTGAGTCTCTTTTGCAAAAGTCTGTTTTTTTGTTTTAAGAATGCTTTTAAACAAATTGAAATAAATTATTGTTTTTAAACAAAACAGCACCTTGTGAAACATTGGACTTTTTTTGTTACGGTGTATTACTATTTATAGTGGTGAAGAGTGTTAAAGGGACACTATAGTCACCCAGACACTTCAGCTCAATGAAGTGGTCTGGGTGCCAGGTCCCTCAGGTTTTAACCCTTCACATGTAAACATAACAGTTTCAGAGAAACTGCTATGTTTACATTTGGGGTTAATCCAGCCTCTAGTGGCTGTCTTCCGGACAGCCACTAGAGGCGCATCTGCGATGAGGGAGTCGAATTTAGCCTCCATCGTGCAGAGCATCCATAGGAAAGCATCTCTTAACACTTTGAATGCGCACGCGGCACTTGCCGTAGATGTGCATTCGGCTCCGGTGACGTCGGACGGGGGAGCACCACGGGAGGGGGACCCTGAGGGTGGGGTCACCCTCAGGGCACTATAGTGTCAGGAAAACCACTTTGTTTTCCTGACACTATAGTGACCCTTTAAGTCCAGTAGTAGAGATGCTACATTGTTCATGGTTTCCACTAAACTGAGTGAATATTACAGCCTAGTAAGTTTTTCCATGGATAAAAACAGCTTGCACAATGTTGCTTTTTATTGCCAAATAGCCAAACTGGAAAAAAAAAAAAATATATACTGTGACTGCTCTAAATAAAGTAATTAAAGATCATGGCTAAATCAGATGGCCACTACTCCATAAAAATTATTCTAGAGCTCTCTGTCACCTTTTATACGGTTTATCATACTTTACTTCTTCAAACTCTGCACAACCTAGGCCTTCTCAACACTATCCTTTCATAATTTTCTCCAAAAGGACCCTCAGTGTCACCTTTTCTGGTAACACAGGAGGTGTTATTTCAGTTGGAGTCCCCCAGAGCTCTGACCCCTTCTGTTTTACATTTACACTGACTCTCTTGGCAAACTTATTCACTCTTTTCGCATCAGTACGTACCTTTATTTATAAATAGGGAGCTACTGATTGGCTTAGAGTGTCAGCTGACCACTGTAGCCAATCAGCTGCAGCCTTACTGGCGGCTTCCTGTAGTTCCGTTCCTGAAGCTGGATGTTGCCTGGGAGGCTTGGAGACCACCACTTGAGACAGCCTTTGGGGTTGAACCGGCAATGAATTTGGATTAAGTTGTTATGGTGACCGGAATGTTCCTTTAAATACATTGCCCGCAACTGCCCGTTCTTACCCAAAAAGGGTTTATGAGATTGTACATGCTCTTGTAATTTCTTGCATTTATTAATCCCCTCCTATTTGATCTCTTGAGAAACAATACAGCGTCTACAGGCCATAATAAATGCTGCTGCCAGGTTTATTTTTCTCACTCATCATTAGCGGTAATAATGTGCCTCGTTTATTGTTAAACGCCCCTTTATATTACAGCATTGCACTATATAAATCTATATAAAAATGGTAGGTTTCTAATGCTTGAGGTGTGTCAGTGACATGATGAAGGAAGCTAAAGCAACCCAAACCGGAGTCTTTCTTCTTCAGTCAAAAATAGGATGTACAAATGTAAAGAAGGGAGAAGCGTCCTGGGGTTATAGCACTGTATATTTTATTTATGTTCTAATTATCACTATATATTCTATTTCTGTTCTTATCCAGCTATCACCCAATGAGGAACTCAGCCATCAATATATCCAAGAGTGGGGATTAAACCATTTCACGGTATTCACTGGAAACCATTAGAAGTGACTGTAAATTTAGCTACTCACCCAACGTGCATTACTAGACATACTACACTATATAGCTGTCTATTCTGTTTGTTCTTTCATACCTCCCAGACCAACTCCAAAGGCTGCAAGTAGCAATGCCACAATGGACAAGGCAGTACTTCTCATTTTGAGAAATGATGGGCTTCCATATTTGCAATTCTTGTTGAATTGCTTGCTATTGGGGAGGCATGAGAAACCAATTATACAAACCATCCCAAGACATAGGTGTGGCTGTCCATATTACAGTGTGATATTCAGCCAGTGAATGAAGAAAAGCAGTAAAAATCCAGAAATCACAGCTGGCCACATCTGTCAGCAAGGCCAGCACAGGGCGCTCTCATTGCCCACATGCTGTTCCCCCACGCCCAGCACTCTGCCCGACTAATGGATGCCAAGGTTCGAGTCCCTGTGGTTCATACTCACCGGTCCAGTGAGCTCAGTAGCGGATTCTGGATGGACTATGAGACCGGAAATGGACGAGCCCCGGGAGGAGAGAGGCAGCTGCACAGAGAGCGACTACGGAAAGCCAGCGGCGGTGTCTGACAGCACAACCACCTGCGTTCCAAACACCGGAAATACGCATTATCTTGCGTTCCACGTGTAAGGAAGCGATCAGTCTATCAGCTGTCATTTTGCGTTCCAAGCGGAGGAAGTGAGAGTTCTCTGCTGCGCTATAGCGTTCGGAATGCGCACACGGGCTTTGCAGTGAGGTGCTGGGGATTTGGATCTCGGAGTCAGCTGGAGGTGTGATGCACGGGATGGTAAATTCATGAGTGGGAGCTTTTATCTTCTGACACGGCGTCTGTTATAATGTAAAGGTCTGTCTGTGTGTTACATATGGCTGGAAACACGTGTATAATGACCTTTATACTGTAACAGGAGACTGAAAGGGCTGTCAGCATGTCTGATAAAGTGTCAGAGTATATATACTGCTAACAAAGGCTCGCTTATATTATATATTGCATAGTGCTGGAACATGTCCAGGATTATTACTACACTGCACATTATGTGGAATTCTCTGGGAAACTGCATATAGAAAGGACAACTGTTAACTCAAAGCTGTTTTGTTTTAAATAATCCTTTCATAAGGTTTTGTAAGTGTGTGTGTGTGTGTTTTAATGTCAGGGAGAAAACTGAAACGTCTAATGTACTGTCTGTATTATGAATTAATAAAATAATAACTTCACACAGCAAGAAAGTCCAGTGAGTGCTCTCCCTCTCTCCCTCCCTTTTTAGTATATGACCGGATCCTTCAGCCTTACTTACATGTTTGGTCGGACAGTGTTTGACAAAATAAAGTTAGTCTCTGTGGTGTTCCCTGTTTCACTCCCTGCACACAAAAAAAAAGCTATTTCTTTTCAAAACCTGATTACATGATTATTATGTTAAAAAAATGTTTGGAGTTCACAATTGTCCTTTAAGACTAAAATTACTGAGCTGAAATATATGTTCAGTTCAGCTTTGTGAGCTTAAAATTAAAAATTCCCTGAAAAGTTCACAGCAATTCACAATTTAGTGCATATCACTTGTGAAGGCCCTGTCACAATCCGTTTGTACGAAAGGGGGGCACAGGTTAAATACAAAATTTAATGCTGGTATTAAATTGACATATACATGTACTGGGATTTATTAAAAAGATCTGAAGTATTGCACTAAACTGCATTCTATGTTTTATCCTGCAGGATAATTTGTGAAGTTAAACTCTCTGTATACTGCCTCTGCTTTGGAAAAAAATAGTTATAGAATACATCCTGAAAATGGCAGAACGCGGCGCACACATCACAACAGCTTCTCCAGGAGATGATCGTCCATCTATTTTTGAGGTGGTAGCCCAGGAGAGTTTAATGGCAGCTGTAAGGCCAGCCTTGCATCATGTTGTCAAGGTTAGTGACATATTGCTATGGGTGAGTTGGTGAAAACACATATGTGCACACAGTTCTCCCTCTTGGATTATACAGTGACTTTTCATTTCAGAAGATGTGATTTTGCTTAAATTATGGAGTGTATATTCTATTGTTCAGAAATCTGGTTTGCTTAAATGGTAATTTTTATTAAAGGGACACTATAGTCACCAGAACAATTATAGCTTAGTTGTTCTGGTGAGTATAATCATTGCCTTCAGGCATTTTAATGCAAACACTGCCTTTTCTGAGAAAACGCAGTGTTTACATTGCCCTAGGGACACCCTCAAGTGGCCACTCCTCAGATGGCCACTGGATGTGTTTCCTGGCTTAGTGCTGCACAGTAGGCAGCACTGCCGTTCAGCTGAATTTTCATAGAGATGCATTGATTCAATCCATCTCTATGAGGAGGTGCTGATTGGCCGAAAAAAATGGGAAAGCATTGGATTGGCTAAAAATCGTCGGTTTGTGATAATGTCACCAAGGGTGCAAGCCAGTGCCGGCAGACCCGCGGCGTTGGAAATGAGGTGAGTTTTTAAATTGCTTTTAAGGGGGCAAGGGTTTAGCACTATAGGGTCAGGAATACATGGTTGTGTTCTTGACCCTAAAATGTTCCTTTAAGCATGACATTGGTATGAAATGTATCTGGAGCACAGTCTGTTGTGTATCTGGGATCTCTCTCTGTCTCTCGCGCTCTCTCTCTTTATCTATATATATATATATATATATATATATATATATATATATATAAACACTTAGCTTGCTTTACTCATTATGATTTGAGATGTCATGTTTCTTTATCTACTGGATCGTCATCTGTGTAGTTCAGATACTGAGTACCACAATTTCTCTAATCCATTTAAGACCAATTTCCCACTCCTTTATGAGAAAGCATACAAATAGGCTTTTTGGAACAATTGTAAAAAAATCAGTTTATTTACATATTAATACTCTGTAGATTACATTTGAGTGTATTCCCTAAACAGTGAACTGTGAGTTTAAAGGCAAGTCCTAGCTCTAAGTATGTGACTTCAAAGGAAAAACCTAGCTATGCTATCATTATTAAATTTATCTTTCTACTATAAAATGACATTTAAGACCACTAAAGTTTCTGATGTGCGTGTACTCTCTTTCTCATATTTCAAAGCGCAGATTTCAATAGAAATTGACATTTTTATAAAGAAACTTTTTTTACATTCTCCAGACTGTCAACCAGACAAAAAAAAATCACTGTTTAGCAGATATAACGCCAATAAAAAAAAAATTGCATGCATTTAATTATGCATTTTTAATTGGTGGCATATCTAAAAATGCTTGAAAAAGCACACCATTCACACACAAAGCTTTTCAGCAAGCTAAAGTGCTTTAGGGGTCTAGAGTGTCCCCTCAAATTAAGAGGCAGTAATTGCTCAGAGCACATGCTTTGCAAAGACTTATAATTGAACTACAATGGGAAAGAAAAGTTTGGGCTTCAGAAAGTTTGGGCTTGGTTGGAAGGGATGACATCTGCATCTTTTGCAAGCTGTTTTTAGATATACTTCCAATGTAAAATGGATGCATTTCTCATTGGGGTATATCTGCTGAACTGTGATTTTTATGTGTGTTGCATTTGTGCAGTGGAGTTTCCCTTTGTTTTCACTACCACATTCTTTTGAAAATAAATAGTGCAGGCATACCATTCAGTTTAATAAAAACAGTATGCGTTGCAAGCACTTGAAATTAAATCTTTCTCTTTATTTCTTCATTCTTTATAGAAATTGTGGGCGCAGTTAACACATTATTATCCCTTGTATCACAATCCTTTTGACAGCTTCAAACTAATTGGTACAGATAGGCAGATGCAATATGTAAAAATAATTGTTTGTGTTGTATGTGTTCGTTTTTTTCCACATTAGGAAGGCATATCAACAAAGGTTTATGTTTAGCTGGAAATAATGTCCAAAGCCTTCTGCCATGCATGCTTTCTGAGGTATGGCTATAATCTCTATTTGGCAGGTTCTTGCAGAATCCAATCCTGCACGTTATGGCACTTTGTGGAGATGGTTTGATGAGCTTTATACCTTGCTGGACCTGCTTCTACAACAGCACTACTTGTCCTGGGCCAGAGCTTCATTCTCTGAAAACTTTTATGGATTGAAGCGGATGACAGAAGGAAGTAAGAGTGGCCTTCGTCCTCTTAGAAGGAAGGAGTACTGGAAGTCCCTGCTTCTTCTGGTACTTGTACCTTACCTGCGGATGAAGCTGGAGAAGTTTGTGAACAAGCTGAAGGAAGAAGAGGATTACTCCATACACAACACAACATCTTTCCGCAAAAGATGGTATAAAGCTATCCTCGCAACATACCCTTTTGTGAAATTTGCTTGGGAAGGTTGGTTTTTATTCTACCAGCTACGATATATCCTCTGGAATGCCAGGCACCATTCTCCACTACTTAAGATAGCTGGAGTACAGCTGACAAGGTTAACGTTAGAAGATCTACATGCCATGGAGAAGACCACAGCAAAGACCTCATCAGGGCAAGCTAATGATAGGTAAGTTGAAGAAAATCCTGATCAAACCGTAGCATTAACTAATGGGATAGTTTCCTTCAATCACAGCAGAAAACTCTGATATTTGTATAAATATTCTGCCAACTCCGTAACAGACAGTGTTTTCCTTGCACTTGACAACCGTAAAATGTATCCTGGTTTAGACGGCCAGGTTATTTTATGCTCACCAGATATTATTTATCTGAAAAAGCCCACCTAGGAAAAAGGAAAGCTTAACATCTATTTCTTTGCAGACCCAGTATATACAGCCCTTGTAAAGCTCTCTCCATTGGTGCACTCCTTTTAATATCTGGGGTTCTCCCCTTATTCCAGGGCTCCACAAATCCCAGGCACCAGGTCGACATGGCGACTAGAAATTTCTCCCTGGCGCCTGGGATTTGCCAGCTCTGCGGGAAATATTGGAGCCGTGAGCAGCATGGAGGTGGCCGGCTGAGGCAGCATAGAGCCGGCCGCCCACGGGTGCATTGTTGGCGGCGCGCCGGGGAGCAGTACTTTGCTTGCAGCTCCAATCTGCTCCCTTGCGTTGTTTAATGATGCTGGGAGCTGGAATATGACGTCACACCGGCCAGACATCATTACAGAGAGCCCGAGGGAGCAGATTGGAGCTGCAGGCAAAGTACTGCTCCCACGCTTGCCGCCTACAATGCCCAGACGGGCGGCTCTATGCTCCTCATGCGCAGGAAGATAATAGCCCCACTAGACCCCAGGGAAAGGGATGGAGGCTGAGTGGGTTTCAATGAAAACAAAAATGAGTGTGTGTGAGCCTGTCAGGGTAAGTATCTGAGTGTGTGTCTGTCTATCAGAGTGAGTGTCTGTGTGTGCCTGCCAGAGTGAGTGTGAACGTCTATGAGCCTGTCAGTGTACATGCAAGCCTGTTAGAGTGTGTGCGTTTAGGCACCTGCCCCCTCCGATCACACGAGGAACGTGTTTTACTCAGGACATTGGGAGGATTTTGTGCATGCGCAGCAAATGTGCCAATCCCCATCTCCTCATAGAGATGCATTGAATTAATGAATCTCTACGAGGAACATTCAGTGCCTCCATGCAGAGCTTGGAGACCCTGAACGTGGCACAGGAGTGACCCTCTAGTGGCCGTCTCAGTGACTGTCACTAGAGGTGTTACTAAGCAGCAATGTAAACACTGTCTTTTCGCTGAAAGGCAGTGTTAAGCCTGCAGGGACAGGCTATAGACACCAGGACAACTACATCAAACTGTAGTGCTTCTGGCGACTATAGTGGCCCTTTAAGAATTGCATTTTTCTCATTGAAAATGACTGGTTACTAACTTTTTTTTAGCTGGATCCTAGATTCTAAACAAATTTGTCAAGCCTTGCCTTATTTCATCATTAAGGAGATGACAGTGGTTATATGGGCTTTATAAGGAGATTTAAACAGTTTAGTCTGACAGATTATCAAATCCCAAATTGCTGCTGGGACATAGGATGCAGTTCAGCTGCTTGGTTTGGTTTTTAGGTAAGTGTATTTGTATTATGTGTCTTCTTCTAGTTCTTTTAAACTACCAGGGAGGCATTTCTGCACCCATATATAAAAATCGGCAATCTTTTAAATGGTCACAAAGCAAGCTGAAGTGCTTTATTTGCAACAAAAACAGACTGTGAGAAATCTTAAAACAGACGAAAGCTTAGAGAAACCTCAGTAGCTTGTCCTTTGGTTAGTCCACACTCAGATCTCAAAAATGTTTCTGCTCACTTGTGCCAGTACAGAAAGAACCTATACCATTTGCATATCAGACTGATCTCACCCATAAAGGCAGTCCAGAACCAAAATGCCAGCTAGTTGACTATGTAAAAAAAATAATGCAGCAACCCTGGCTATCATATTGGCCTTCTTTGGTTCTCGTCAGCAAAGTGTAACTGATACCCCTCTAGGTTCAGTGAGCACAGGGATTTTATCTTGGATTTTGTTCAGTTTTTTTTTAATCCCTTGTGTGCATATCAGATTTTTTTTACAGATCATGTAAGTTTACATGAGCTTATAACCAGCTTTTAACATATTGCTATACCATATGTGTAATATTTGCCTTTTTTGTAGTACGGTGCTTTTACCATATGCAAGATTTTAAAAATATTAGCATACTGCGGTATTTCAGAGTACTATTTATTTTTATTCATTTACACTTTGTAAAAGGTAGCAACACCCCCAAATAGTTGCTGTTAGTCCATTAAAAATGGATTCTGAGATACTGCATTATTTACATGTTATTTTTGTTCTGGTTCATTGGACAAATTCAGCTTTCTTTAACTGTAGTGCCTTGGGCAAGCAATGACAGTATAAAATCTTGCAGAAATACAAAGATTTGTTTTGGTTTTTTTTTTATTTGACATCAAATTATCAGGGAAAATAACATTTTCTGCAATACACTTTTTTTTTTTTTTTTTTATAAGCAACGTTGTGCAGAAAATGACAGGAATCCTTGTTGCACCACAGACTATATAAGGAGCATAAAATATTGTGAGGCTGAGAGGGTATCTTTAATAGCATTTAAAAATTGGGGAAAAATAAACTTGTTCAGAGAATATTGCTTTATTCTCATTCTACTGCTGCTAATGGCATATGGAGGGGGGAATTACCTACTGCACTATACGGTCTTTAATCATAGGATAACAGGATAAACGGACTTACGGTCTTTAATCATAGGATAACACTGTAAGTAACTTTAATTTAATGGAGTGGTATTGGTGTATACCTCAGTCTGATTGCTCCATTATTTGCCATTTAGGAGTCACTTTGTTTATAAAGTCCTAGCCACCATGTTACCTGCAAGTGACTTGCATAGTTTCCATACACATTTCCCTGTAAAGAGAGAACTGTTTAAATTTCCTTTATTGCAAATTGTGTTTAATTTAGAATGTCTTATCTCTTTCTCTGTAAATAGCCCTAAAGAGCTTGCAGGAGATAAAAACCATGTAAATCAAACACACTGTGATGTCACATCTGTTTGAAATTAAACCATTTTTTTCACGGACGCTGTAGGAGTCACAGCCAGGGGATGCGTTGCTAAGGCTGCATAAACACAAATAAAAGTATTTTAAAGGAACACTATGGGATCAGGAACACAAACACGTATTTCTGACCCTATAGTGTTAAAAAACACCCCCCCAATATAGTAAAGTCTTACCTTTATTCCTCTGCCCCTGATCTGACTCCTTGGCTGACCTCATCAGAAGTGATTCTCTCAGCCAATTACAATGCTTTCCCATAGGATTGGCTGAGATTGTCCAGGCAGATCAAGCCCTGGCCAATCAGCATTGTGCACCACTGCCCCAGGAAGCACCTCTAGCAGCCATATGAGGAGTGGCCAGTGGAGGTATATCTAGGCTGTAATGTAAATGCTGCATTTTTTCTGGAAAGTGTTTACTGCAAACAGCCTGAAGGGAATGACTATACTCACTAGAACAAATGCAATAAGCTGTAGTTGTTCTGGTGACTAAAGTATCCCTTTAACTCCTAAACGGCAGACAATTGAGCAGTGAGACGGAGTTAAAATGATCTATACCCTAAACCTGCCTCATTGTTTTGATGCTTAGAGGATATCCTTATGGCTAAAAGAAGCAAAACTGAAAAAATTATCCCAGTCAGCTCTGCTTCATGTTTAGCTACTTTGATCTTTTAATTTGAAATTCCATTTGTCTATTCTCACTTTAGTAAATAACCCCGTGCAATTTCAAGCAATACATTTTGTGTATGTGTGTTTTAGTCTATCTAAATGTTGCAGCTGAATCCTGTGCGCTTTTTTTTTTTGTAGCATGGGTCAACGCATGAAAGACACAATGAAGAAAGTGCTTGGTGGTGTAGCCTTGTCTGTATCCTCCAGCTTATCACTTGGCGTCTTCTTCCTGCAGTTTCTTGAGTGGTGGTACTCTGCAGAAAACCAAGACACACTCAAGTCCTTGAGTACTTTGCCCGCTCCCCCTCCCCCCATACATTTTGACTTAGAAACATATTCCCCTCTTTTGCCCAAGTTAAAAACTGTGTGCCCACTTTGCCGCAAGATACGAGTCAATGATACAGCCCTGGGCACCTCAGGATATGTATTCTGCTACCGATGTGCATATTACTATGTTAAAACTCACCAGCGGTGTCCAGTGAGTGGCTATCCAACTGAGCTGCAACATCTCATCCGACTCTATACACCTGATGGTTGAACCACAGCATGAACTAAATAGACCACTTGATCTTGATAGACTACTGCTGGCTAATCCTGATTTAAAGGTTTAACAGCGCAAGGTTTTAGAGTAAATGTAATAGGCATATTAATACAAAATACAAGATGAAAACTAGACAGACATGCGGTGTTCCAGATTAAGTGGGTAACTTTGACCCATAGTTTTATTATTAACATTAATGTGATTCTTCAGCTTTGAGGTGTCACTTTGAGGCAGGAATGAGACTATCCTATTGCTGTAATTATCTTTGGTAAGCTGTGAGAACCAGGGAGGTAGGCAGCACATGAGAACTGTATTGATCATCCATCTGCCTCTACTGGTTAAAAAGAAATGCGCTTGAAGTGACAAATCAAAAAGAAACAAGCAAACAAAAATGCTCAATACGAAGTTTGTTTCACTGGAATAGAGATGCAGAGAACTAAAACTCTCATTGCGACAGTTTAATGACAAACCTGAATATGTAAGAGACACACTCTTACAGACTGGACTATCCTGAAATTCTAGGGGGTGTTTGTAACCCAAGAAAAATACTAGGATAATGGATGACATTTAACTTGTATCTTTAAATCTATTTTCAAGTACCAATACATTTATCCAATTTACAAAAAAAGTTAAGAATTCCTGACATAATTTGTGAAGAAGACGTTTAAAGAGATTCTAGAGTGTTAGGAATACAAATCTGTATTCCTAACACAATAGTGCCCTCTGGTCCTGTCCCCCCACACCTCCCATTCCCTAAGTTTAGAAAGGATTAAAAACCATTTAATCACTTCCCTGATTCCAGCGCTGATGTCCCTTGGTGCTGGGTCAGCACTCCTTCTCTGACAGAGCTGGAGAGGTGAGGGGAGAAATGGATCTAATGCTCATGAGCATTAGGCCTTCCCCACAGTAAAGCATTTGATCAATGCTTTCCTATGGGGTGTGTTAATGATGCTGGATGTCCTCATGCAGTGCGTGATGATGTCTGGCGTCACTTAGAGGACCCAAAGTCAGGTAAACTCCCAGAAGCGTCTCTAGAAGCAGTGTTGGTGCTGCAATGTAAACATTGCAGAACTAAGAGGGCCAGGGACATTGCACCAAAACCACTTCAATGAGATGAAGTGGTCTGGGTGCCTATAGGGTCCCTTTAAGCCTGTTGATAAACGGCATAATAGTAGTTTCCAATTAATAATAAAAAACAAAAAAAAAACATTTGTGCTGGGTAGATCCACATGTCTAAAAATAATTTTTTTTATTCGTATTGAATTAAGCGGCTTTAACAATCATATTGAGTTAGAGTGCTTAAACTCACTATCACTTCCCAGATTTTAAGGCAACCAAAAGTTAGCTATTGGATATGATATTAGTATTTATTTATTTTTTTCCTTAATCATCTTAATGAATTTATTTTTATTTTAATTTACATGCTTTGCATGACACACAGGGCAACGCATGTGGATTAATTAACCACTACACTATTGCTGAAAAAAAAAAAACGAAAACACTTAGCAAGCCTGAGGTATAAAGGAATAGCGAAGTTACATAATTACCTCTGTAGGTTCCCTAAATGTGGGGGTTTTATTGTTGGCATTATTATAGCACCAAGAGCGCAACCCACCTATTCAAGGACCACCTGGTGAGCAATCATGTGGGTAAAGTGTGTTGGGGGCGCTGCCTTAGTTAGCATGTATTTTGTACTTTAGAATGAGAGAAAATACATTTATATGTGCACACCTTTGCTCTGCCAGTGCTGAAGGGGACCTACTGCGTAGAGTTCATGTTGCCACTAAATAAAGGGTACTTTTGCACACCCAACCACCCATGTGACTTATTAAACTTACATGCAGAATTAAACCATACAGTTATCACTTTGGCCTAAAATTGTTATAGTTCTTAATTTAATTCATTGGCTAAAGAGCTTTGGCTAATCCCAAGTTGTTAAAGGGGCAGTCTAAGCATCATAATCACAATGTGATGTTGTATTGGTTACAGTGCAGTAGTTGTTACCCTCAGGTATCCATGGACTGCTTGTCTATTGCTAATGTGGATTTTCCACTTTTCACATGTTTATGTGCTCAATTTATAACAGTTATATAATGTAATATAATATTGTTAAATATGAAAGTAAAAATTCCACTTTAACAAAATAACAGGAGGCCTTAATTTTTGTCAAATCATTGGAAAATGGTTCGAATTAGAACTGAGAAACGGCAGCTGCAGTGTAACACCACACAGTGGTTATGGTGCTTAGGTCTTTTAATAATTCCTTATATGGAGACATGTTGGAATGTCTTATACAGCAGCAACAATGTTAGGAACAATTGTGCATTTTATTATCATTGTACTACTGTTTCGCTGTCATTAAAATTGTTAACTTCTATTATGTTATTTCTTGTGTATGCACTTACTACAACCACAGCTGAGTTGGGACTGATATTTGCCACATCCCTGTTTATAATATATGGTTATTGCTACACATTGGTAGCTTATAATCTGCCTCAAAAAACAGGTTTCTCTGCCAGCAATTACTATTTATCAAGGTTAAGAGTCATGTATTTAGATCAGTGGTTTCATTTGTATATTTACATTTATTTTACATATTTAAGTTATCCACTTCATAGACATTACCAGTTGTGAAAAACTGAAGACTTAAAAGGATATATGGCATGCTTCAGCTCTGGTATGTAAGAATTTAGCTGCTACCCTCCATCATAGGGCTTATACATGGAACGTCCACCCTATATCAATTAAACCTGCAGCCATGGAGGTGATAATCACAAGCTAAAAGCAAGGAGAATTTGGTGGAGTACAGGCATATCTTGATTGTCCAATCCCTAGCTTTCTGAACAGAATGGATTAGAAATCACACAGTCTACCTCTACATACAGTGAAAGCTGCAATCTCACTTGAGCATCCTACCTGACAGAGTGGCCGAGTGGAGCTCCATTGTATGCTGAATTATTTTTCAACTGGTGACCTTGACTCCAAAATGCTGTCCAAAGTATTCTATGACTAAATGTAGGGCCTCTAATTGGGTATTTTGGGACTAAAGTTAAACAATACAGTGATCTGATTTCTCAACATTCTCTTCTAGGGTATAGTGCTGGGGCCATGTAAAAAAATAACACTACATATGCTAAGGTTGACTTTTTTTTTTTTAAGGAAAACATGGTTTTGTAGTCCCTTGATAACTAATATCATTCCCTTTATTCATTTTATACACAACCTCTATACTTTTTCTAGTTCTGTAATATTCTTTAAAACCCATTTCAAAAATTGCACTGCATATTCAAGGTGGGGTCTTAACATTGATTTATGGAGAGGCAAAATTACAATTTGATTGTGACAACCTTTTTGTGCAGGATAGTGTTGTACTAAACTTTACAGTGGCAACATTACATTGCAGACTGTTGCCTAGTTTGCAGGCTATAATTGTCCCAAAAGGTGTTTTTTCCTACCATTTGAAGGGACTCAACAGGGTTAGAACCACTACAGCTTGTGTACAGGTTCTAGGGCAAAGATCTTGCCCCTGCAGGCTTAACAATTAAATACTGCCCTTTATGACATTCCAGCCCAATGCCACCTCTAGTGGGACTTCCTGGATATGGTCCTACAAAGATTGCAGGGCCAACGTTCAGCCTCTCCACAATCTGCATAGAGATTGTGGAACACTACCCATAAAGACTTTTATTCAATGCATCTGTATGATGTCTGCAGTAAAGTGATTGTCACTTATGTGCACTAGCCTCACAATCCTTCCCTATGAGGAAGGATTGGTTTGGCTGAGATCACTAGTATTGCAGTCAAAATGATCAAATGAGGTAAACTAACACTCAAACGTTAGGAATACATGTATTTAACGCTATAATGTTCCTTTAATGTTATCTTTAACTGAACATCTTTAATGTAATACATGTCTTGTTGGTTCCTTATTCTAAAATGTCTGACTTTGCACCTGTAGGTTCCATTAAAAAAAAACCAAAAAAACCAACTGCTTTCAGTTGGTACCTTTTTGTGGATTTGTATCAACACCTTATTAACATAGCTGAAAATTATTGTACCAACGTAAATAGTTTATTTTTAAATCTACTTTATTTCTTCCACCATGTACTCCTAATCCCTTACAACTTGGCCATGTTCCTGTTCTCACAAAAAAAAAAATGGATCTGCTTTGACAATGTTTATGGAAATGGTATTGTATGAGTCAATATTTATTGTCTAGTCATGGCTACCTATTCCCTCATTAAGGCCAACTGGCACAACCTCTCCATCACATGTAGTCTCAGCTGCATTAATGTAATGCCCATCAGGCAGACAGCCGTCAAAGCGGTGCAGAGTTACAAAAAGAGCATACACCACTTAAACATGGATACTTACACCTTTGTAACAGACAGTTTGGATACACTTTCCACCCCAACAGGGAGATCGAAGTGTTGCCTTTTTATACAAAGGCAGCGTATATTAGTTGCACACTGTTACTTACATCTTATTTAAAAGAGTAAAAAGTATTTTTGCTTAAGATTAGAGCCTGTGCAAAAATAGGGCCATTACCATCTACTGCATCAAAATGAGCAGCACTGTATGGGGGGGGGGGGGAGAAACCTTAAATGACCACTATAGTGCCAGGAAAACTAACTTTTTTCCTGGCACTGTAGGGTCATTAGGTTCCCCCCACCAGGCTGAATGTGTTAAAACCCCTTCAGCCACTTCCCTTTCTCCAGCGCTGGGGCGCTCTCCACCCCCTGCCGACAGCAGATCTGCATGTGTGGCAAAAGCTGCACGCATGCATTCAAACAGCCCACATGAAAGCATTTCTCAATGTTTCCTATGGACGTCCAGCGTCTCACTGTGAGAAGCTCCTCTAGCGACTGTATGAGAGAGCCACTAGAGGCTGGACTAATACTATTGTAAACAGTTTTTTCCTGAAACTGCTATGTTTTCAGCTGCAGGATTAACACTAGAGGGACCTGGCACCCAGACCACTTCATTGAGCTGAAGTGGTCTGGGTACCTATAGTGGTCCTTTAAAAATAGAGCCCCTCCTCATTCTCCACCTCTGCCATAAAAAGAACCCATATGCCTCAGAAAGAACAAGTCAAACCGATGCAAAAATATAATTAAACATGGGAGTGAAATAGAAGTGCACTGCCTCTAATCTTAAAGAAAAATAAAGTTACCGAAAAAACAAAACAACTTCCTTATTCCCTCAGATTAGAGACAGTGCAACACTAGGTATTACCAAGCAATCATTTTATGCCAGGAAAATCTCACAACTAAGAAAATGCAAGTTACAGGTTCAGGTAAATAAATCTTACCTTTACATGCCCTCCCCAACACCACCATTGGTGTCTTTACCAATTCTGCAAAGTCCCCAGACTGACACTTAGAGTCCAATGCAGGGGTTACAGATGACTGAGCCACTTGATAAGTTGCTTCCCTTAGCTCAAAGTTTGTTGGAGACTGGAACCAAAACAAAAAACCTCAGATCTTAGATTTTTCTACTGCCTCTTTTGAATATAAGATGTCTTTTGAACCATCAGACACAGGCTGACTGCAGAATGCACATATAAGGTGTTTGAACTTGGACAGACAAGTTTATTTTACTACAGGGTTCAGGATAAATACCCAAAGCAAAACGACTTCCACTGTAAGGCCTCAGGATATGCTGAAGGGCTGGTGAGAACACAGCTACGACAGAGCTGAACACCTGACTGCCAGGTAGTTGTGACTGGGTATATAAATATAAAGTCTCCAAAACCTTCCTGTTTCAATTTGGCACTAAACGTTAAGATTATTTTTTTTCCCCCATGCAGGCTTACCTATTTTGCAGAGAAAGGAATGGATATCCCTAAAGCTGCATTGCCACTAATCTGGGTGTCAAATGCTTTAATAAATTTTTTTTGTAGTATTCGATTCCACCTACTCTCCAAACACTGTAAAGCATGACAATTAATGTTAGTCAGAGGTCAAAAAGGTCATGTCCTATGCCAAGAGCAATATACAAAAGCTGCTCTACTGTAAACAACCTCCAGCATTGTGACTGCTTGATGTGGACAGGGTATCAGCAAGCTCAGGTTTAAGAAGGCACAGGACATCTTAACTCTACTTGCAGGCAGGAACTGCCTTTAGTGGTGCTGGCTATGGGCTGGTATATGATCAGTATGTTTCTACACCTCTGAACTACCAGGTTAAAGTAAAGTGGGTCAAATTCTGAGCTCTGCAGTAATTATGCAGCTTTAAAGGGACACTATAGCCACCTGAACAACTTTAGCTTAATGAAGCAGTTTTGGTGTAAAGAACATGCCCCTGCAGCTCAATCCTCTGCCATTTAGGAGTTAAATCCCTTTGTTTATGAACCCTAGTCACACCTCCCTGCATGTGACTCGCACAGCCTTCCATAAACACTTCCTGTAAAGAGAGAGTCCTATTTAGGCTTTTATTGCAAGTTCTGCTTAAGATTTTCTTATCCCCTGTTATGTAAATAGCTTGGTAGACTCTGCAAGAGCCTCATGTATGTTATTAAAGTTCAATTTAGAGATGGAGATACAATTAAAGTAAATGACGTCTGTTTGAAAGTGAAACCAGTTTTTTTTTCATACAGGCTCTGTCAATCATAGCCAGGGGAGGTGTGGCTAGGGCTGCATAAACAGAAACAAAGTGATTTAACTCCTAAATGATAGTGAATTAAGCAGTGAAATTGCAGGGGAATGATCTATACACTAAAACTGCTTTATTTAGCTAAAGTAATTTAGGTGACTATAGTGTTCCTTTAAGCATCTCACTGCCTAGGGTTATCCTAAAAGCTACACCTAAAATAGCAAGTCAGAATAAAGACAAAAGAACAAAAAACACATAAGATTCAATTGATTTATTGAAGAGTTTCTATATTAAATACAAACATAAAATGCAAATATTTAAACAAAACGGTGTTAAAAAAATTCCAGTAGTATAACACACTAACACCTGTGTGGTATCCACTAAACCCACACTAAATAATAAAACAAACTATTGTATGTAATTTTTATAAAATGCATATAAACATGGTGTCAACATCTTCCTTACAATAGATTAGATCATACAGAGCAAGAAAAATACTTTAAAAGTAGTTTGATTTGTGGAAGCCATCGTTCTAATGGTGTCCATCTTCAACTCCTGGTACTTCCATCTGCCATAAGCCTAAGTCACAGAGGAACATACAAGACCACATTCCTCATAACACAATTGTGTCAAATTTGAACTTTACCATAAGACATTTGTCTTCGATCTCTTCTGAAACCCGAATGCAATCAATACCACCATTTCATAAAAGGTGTATATTTCTAGAACAAATCTGAAGTGACTGTCTTTAGGGATGCTACAAAGAGGAAGCAAGCAAAACTGGGTAGTATGTTAGTAAAAGGGACTCTCTAGGCAACAAGTTATGCATTTGACTGGGGAGGGGATGCTTTGCAACAATGCTCCCTTCCTGCCCACAAGGCAAGTTTTAGATTGTTGCCAACAGTGGCAGTACAAATATACTCACATTAAAGGACCACTATAGTGCCAGGAAAACACTTGTTTTCCTGGCACTATAGTGCCCTGAGGGTGCCCCCACCCGGCTCTGGAAGGGGGAAAGGGGTAAAAAAAAAAAAAAACTTACCTTTTTCCAGCACTGGGCGGGGGAGCTCTCCTCCTCCATTGCAGCTGAATGCACACACGCGGCAAGAGCTGCGCGCGTATTCAGCCGTCACATAGGAAAGCATTATTAATGCTTTCCTATGGACGCTTGCGCACTGATTTTCACAGTGAGAAGCATGCAAGCGCCTCTAGTGGTCAATGAGACAGCCGCTAGAGGAATTGGGGGAAGGCTTAACCCATTTGCATTATAAAAGAATGGATTAAGCCTAGCTGGACCTGGCACCCAGACCACTTCATTAAGCTGAAGTGGTCTGGGTGCGTAGAGTGGTCCTTTAACAAGCCACTCTGAATGTATGGCCTATCAGTTTCAGAGCAAGAAGTTGCCTGCTTTTGCAAACTCCCATCATGCTGTATGAGATCCCATCCAAGGCTGGTGGTACTTTAAATATTTCACAAAAGCTTTTTAAAAATAAGTGCTTGCCTCACTATTGTGTTATGTCAGATATATAATCCTTATAAACCTCAACCAGCTTGGACACCAACACTTATTTACCAGCAACCAAGCCAATTCTTCAGGATCAGTGAAGTATTCAGGAGAAGCACACACAATGTGTCCAGGGGCACAACTTGTGTTCAAATGGGTTCACTTAACTTTTTACCAGCAAAGGGAGGACAGAGATTACAACGGAATATAAATTAAAGTCACTGAACTATAGGTTCCCTTTAAGGGATGTCTTGAATGATGGGCAAGGAACAAAAATTGTAAAGTAAGAACACTGCTTATCTCATTAGCTAGAGGATTGTTAAATTATAATAGCAACACTCACCTTATTGGATGTAGAGTAATAATGCCTCTAAGAAAACTTAATCTCCTGTTTAGCACATGTACTACAATACACTGGAAACACGCACATGCAGATGTCCTGGAACACAGACCCGACAAAACCTGGATGTTTTAGGACACAGGAAAAGGGCACATTAGAAAAATCTCCATAGCAGTGGCAAAAAAAGTTAACAAAACAAAAACAAGCAGTTATTTTTCTTAAAATTCAGTTCTGTTTACATGAGCAAATACATCAGAGACTTTAGTAGGTGTATAATCAAAACTCTTGTCTTATAGACAAGACTGTCAATATTGTTAACAATATTCAGCTCAGAGAGAAGATTAAGTGATCATATCCTGGTCAGTGCACGTAATCTAGCAATACCAGGTCAGATTTTATCTGACTCATCACTGCTGAAGGGATTGAAAGTAAATGTTAGTTTTGATAGTTACATACTTGGAAAGAATTTGGCACACATCCCACTGACAATACACACACACACACGCAACCCCATTTATACAAAAACACAAAGTGTGACCAATCATCCACACAGAATGCCACAAGCAGCCTCCATTTATAGCTATACTACACTACAAACTACTCATGAACGTGTACAACCCACATACACAAGTGGGTTGTTCTATTATTGTACAGTACACGTCTATGAGTAGTTTGTAGCATGGTATACTATAAACTATTGATAACTAACACAAGCACATTGCGACATACACAGCCCACTCTAAAAATAAAATCCAGGACCGGTTACCGGAACGCCAATGGACAGAGAGAGCTTGTATTGGCAGTGTGTTACTAAAAGGCTGCCTACCCCCGTGCTATGCAGATACAGCCAGTCAGGGAGACCCAGGACAACACGGTTTAACTTACAGACTATGACTCCCATGGTCCCCAACCCCCGGCTAACAGTCAGTGGGATTTAACCCTCGATACCCGTCACAGCCCCGCATGCCGCCTCCATTACCCCCCCGGGGTAGCCCCGCTCTGACACAGACTGTCCACCGGAGCCGTTCGCCATTCACAGCAATGCATCTCGGTAAAATTACCAGCCGCTCACCTTAGCCCAGCTCCACACACACTGTATCGCTCCCAGCCATCACACCACGTGCGACCAACACGGCTTATAACCAGCATGGCCTCTCCCTCCCCGCTACACATAGAACCCGCCCCCTCACGGAGACACGTCATTGGCCAGCCCGGGCGGAAGTCGAACTCTAGCCCCGCCTCTAAACCGGAAGTAGCTGTGCGCGATCCAACGCGCTAAAAATCAAATCTGACAACTGGGAGCGAGAGCTGAGTGCGCCTGCCCGGCTTCCGGCTAATACACAGCGCTCACACACACGGTGTCCCCAGCCTGAGCTACAAGGGGCTGTAACCGCTCTAATAGAAGTTATATAACACAAAAAATACACATATTTGTATTCAGCAAAGTCTCACGTGTAAAACAGTACCCCCCTATGTAGAAATATAACACGTTACATTGGAAATTCGCCAGATTGGTTACGTTGCCTTTGACACTGTATAGTAGCCCAGGAATGAAATTTACACCCACAATGGCATACCATTTGCAATAGTAGACAACCCAAGGTATTGCAAATCGGGTATGTCCAGTCTTTTTTAGTAGCCATTTGGCCACAAACACTGGTCAAAGCTAGCGTTAGTATTTGTGTGAAAAATGCAAAAAACACCAATTTTGGCCAGTGTTTGTGACTAAGTGGCTACTAAAAAAGACTGGACATACCCTGTTTGCAATACCTTGGGTTGTCTACTATTGCAAATGGTATGCCATCATAGGGGTAATTTTCATTCTTGGGCTACCATAGGGTCTCAAAGGCAACGTAACCAATCTGGCGAATTTGAATGTGAAAAAAATGAAACACAAGCATTATATTTGACGCTGTAACTTTTGAAAACACCATAAAACCTGTACATGAGGGGTACTGTTGTACTCGGGACACTTTGCTGAACACAAATATTTGTGTTTCAAAACAGCAAAAAGTATCGCAGCAATAATATCGTCCGTGTAAGTGCTGTTTGTGCGTGAAAAATGCAAAAAAACTGCACTTTTACTGGCGATATCATCGTTGTAATAGATTTTACTGTTTTGAAACACTAATATTTGTGTTCAGCAAAGTCTCCCGAGTAGAACAGTACCCCCTATGTACAGGTTTTATGGTGTCTTGGAAAGTTATAGGGTTAAATATAGTGCTAGCAAATTAAATTCCCTTTACTTTCGGCATGGGTTGTCAGGCAGGTCCCGCTAATTGTAATTAATTAAGATACCTAATTATGTAAAAATATTACATAAATATATGTAGAATTAATATATGTATATATACGTATGTGAATGTGTGTGTGTGTATGTGTGTACATATATATATATATATATATCCAAATAGCAAAGGTGACCAGCACTCACGGATTCATTAATTGATTAAAACATCCAAAGTTTAATGAAAAAAAATAAAAAAGATAGTTGACAGCTCAACGTTTCAGTCCTCCTCTGGGACTTTCATCAGGAACAACCAGTTGTTTTTTTTTCATTAAACTTTGGATGTTTTAATCAATTAATAAATCCGTGAGTGCTGGTCACCTTTTCTATTTGGATATTGGATCTTTCCCCAGGACTACAAGCACCCGGTATGTTGTAACTTTTGAGCCTGAGTGCAAGGATTTTGTGTTTTTTTAATATATATATATTTTTTTATTATTTATATATAGTGATATATACGTATATATTTTGTTCTATGTGTATTTTGATATATATATATTAATATCACAATACAATTAGAACGAAATAACACACCTATATATTAATTATTTTTTTAATTTTATTTTTTAACGTATTTACATTTTTTTATATTATATATAAATATATATATAACAATAATTATATATATTTAATCAGTATCAGTCTACGTGTAATTTGATATTAATATATATATTTAAATATATATATATATATAAATTAAATTAATAGTAAAATACACCTAGACAGTGTGTGTATGTATATGTGTGTGTGTGTATATGTGTGTATATATATATATATATATATATATATATAATCTAAGTATATACATTTTTTTTTTTTTTTTTTAAACTTTACCTTTTAATTTATTTTATTTCCAGCCAGCAGGGGGACCAGCTATCCCCGGCCATGTGATTGTGGGGTCCTCGCAAGGACTTCACTCTCACATGGCCGGGGGGGCTTTCAGGGGGTCGGCCGTGCCGCGGGGGGCTCCCTGGGAGTCCCCCCACCGCGATCGCCGGCGTGGGACCGCCGGCGACCGAGTAAGTAAGAAAAGACCGGAGGGCGTACAATTACGCCCGGCGGCATTTAGAGCCGCCTAAAATAGGGCGTAATTGTACGCCCTCCGGTCTTAAGGGGTTAAACGGTATATAATGTAATGAGGGTTGAGGAACTTGGAAGGGATGTTTTTGATGGCAATTGACTTTGACAAAAAAAAAAATACTTATTTTATGAAAGGGATACTTTCAGTTTTTTTTACTAAACCAATCACTAAAGAGAGAATGATCTGAAATTTAAAAGAATACTCTAAGTACCAAAACAACTTTAGCTTAATGAAGCAGTTTTTGTGTGTATATATTATGCCTCTGCAGCCTCACTGCTTAATTCTCTGCCATTTAGGAGTTAAATCCCTTTAGTTTCGGTTTCTGCATCCCTAGGCACACCTCCCCTGACTGTGACTCACACAACCTACATGAAACAAAATGGTTTCATTTATTATTCAGGCATAAGATTTGCAACTTTTGCAAACTGTTTTAGATATACCCCAAATAAAAAATAAATAGCTAATTATATGCATACTTTTTTTTTTTTTTTTTTATTGGGAAGTGTTTGCTAAACAATTATTATTTTTTAATAATAAACAAAACAAACTTTTTTTGGATTTGGGTGGTCTAATTTGAAATTCACTTTGAATTCCAAGAAAATTCTCACTTTAGTGAATAACCCTGCAAATTTGTTCCTAATTGACTGGATTTGCAATTCCCATATTTACAAAACCAAATCTGATTCAAATTCCAAACAAATGTTAACTGTTGGGTGGTTAACATTCAATGTCTGGTTTAAAATCAATCCTTTTTACATGCGTATTCTATGTAAAATGTATGGGTTACATGCAAATTCTATTTGCATATACAACACTGAAGTTAAACTGGATCTTGCCCGTAGGCATGCAAATCTCCTAAATAAATCAAATTATTTAGCCAGGTAAATTATTGAAATCTGGGGTATATGCCAGTCGTGCTTGCAAATAGTTAAAATAAAAACCTTAGCAGCATGAAGGTTATATACATCTTCTATATAACGTCATACTAAGGGTATTTTTTTAAATTAATATATACACATATTAATATAAAAATACTTAGAGTAAAATTACGTGTGTGTATGTATGTATATATGTATATGTGTGTGTGTATGTATATATATATATATATATATATATATATATATTAGTAAAAGAATTGTGTAATTTTATTCTAACTGTATTTTGATATTTATATCTCAAAATACTTGAAATTAACGTTTTTTGCATTTTTCACACAAACTGCACTTTCACTGATGATATCACTAATATTTGTGTTCAGCGAAGTCTCCCGAGTATAACCGTACCCCCCCATGTACAGGGTTTATGGTGTTTTGGAAAGTTACAGGGTCAGATATAAGACTTGATTTTCCATTTTGTTTTTCACATTAAAATTTGCAAGATTGGTAATGTTGCCTTTGAGATCTTATGGTAGCCCAGTAATGAGAATTACCCCCATGATGACGTACCATTTGCAAAAGACATCCCAAGCTATTGCAACCGGGGTATGTTCAGTTGTTTTTTTTTTTGTTTTTTTTTAGTAGCCACTTGGTCACAAACACTGGCCAAAGTTAGCGTTCATAATTGTTTTTGCATTTTTAACACACACACAAATATAAACTGGCTAACTTTGGCCAGTGTTTGTGACTAAATGGCTACTACAAAAGACTGGACATACCCCATATTGAATACCCTCGGTTGTCTACTTTAAAAAAAAATCTGTACATGTGAGGTGTGATTCAGAGATTACAGATAAACACAAACACCACAGAAATTTAAAAATGCTGTGCCAGCATTATAGCTGTAAGAACGTTATGGGATATGTAGTGCACAACATTTGACGTGCCAAAGGTTACCTTCTCCATTGAAATGGAAAAATCAATCAAAGTATTGATTATTTGTTTGTGTATCTGCCCCTGGCCAAATCAATGAAACAATGCGTGCACGCTCCCTGAAGTAATTCACACCAGACACAGGTTCCAGGTTGTTGAATAACTTGAGGAAAGTTTATTCAGAGGGGACGGCAGGTCCCTTTTAAAGCAAAATTACATCATAAGCATTGTCAGAGATAACATGGAATAATACATCAATAATTGGTTAAGTGTTAAGTGTTTTATTCAAAGCACATCCTACAGGGTGTGCCTTCTTATGTCATTACTGTCGTCATGGAGTTCTCCCCCAGGATTCCAGCGCCATCTTGAAAATTAGAGTGTTTGGTCGATGGGTGGGGTACTCCTGAGTGACATCTAGTGGTCAGTTTAGTAATTTATTGAATAATATTGAGTATAACTAAATGGAGTAAATAGACATTTTACTAGCTAAAAATATGTCAATATTTCATGTCACCAGGTCCATGAGGGTCTCCCACGGTTTCCCGGCGCCATCTTGCTGCACGAGGTAGTTAGTCGGTGTTAAAGGGGCAGGGGGAGGAGGGGGTTAGAAGCTTCTAGCAGCCATCTTGATTAGAGCACGTGTGTATAGCTTTATATATGATATATCGTGGAATGAGTAAATAGACATTTTCACTAACTAGGAAATATGTGCAGACCTTATTTCCACAACAGTCCCCCCCTAAAATGGCTATTTACCATAACAACTGCTACTGTCCCTAATATGTCCCTAGCTGCCTGCAACCTATCTGTCTTAACAAGCATCGAACACTTCACTCCGCGGGTAACCCGCAGTGGCTAGTCCACCACATCTCCACACGTGAGACTCGCCTGCTAAGACAGACGCTTTCCCTACACTATCCCTACAGGAAAGCAGTCGTCTGTTTGAACTGATGTGCTTGAAGGGGTGTATGTGGAGTGTCATCTTCGAGGTCTGTGACGTCTTAGTGTAGTAAAGTAGGGGTTACGTTGTCTATAGTCTTCCCTACTGTCTTCTGTAAATACTTTTGTATGCAAGGGAGCACGCAACAGGTTAAAAATAAGAGGATGGTAATCATTATAAGAACAGCTGTCCCTACCTGGAAGAGGGTCCTTTGCCAACCATTCATCCATCCAAACCATCTGTCCCAAGTGTCAGTGACTCCTGAATTCTTCTTTAGCTCGTCAGAAAGACTATCTAGCTTCTCTATGGCCATAGTCACCTTACCATTGGGCCCAGTGTTGTCTGGAATGTATGTGCAGCATGTCATAGTCTCAGGGAGGATTTTACATACACCCCCTTTCTCAGCTAAAATCATATCTAGGGCCATTCTGTTCTGAAATGTCATTTGGGTAGTGGCTTGTAATTGCTCTGCCAGGCCCTGTAGGGCATCCCTTGTGTAGTTAACGAAGCGCTGCTGATTATAATAGATGTAATTGATCCAATTGACATTCTTATTAGCAGTTATCATTGGAATTAAGGATTCAAATCCTGCTGCCACTTCATCCCTTGCTTTGAACTCGCTAGGCACCCCCCTTGGCACACTTATGGCATCAATATACACATGGGGGTCGAAGCTCCCTCGGATGGGGGCCTCACGTCTGGTTCTAGAATGTATATGTGTAAGGTTTAATGTGTTATACTACCATCTGGAATAATGTGGATGGGTATTATAACTTTGGTTAGGGCACACTCCCCCCACCATTGCCCAGCTAATTGGGACCTCAATTGTTTGTCACCACATAACCAATAGATATCACCGATTGTCTTTGTGTGATTCATTAGCAGTGATACAGGTGGATTATGGTAAATTGAGCAGTATCCTGATGGGAATTTGCCCAGATACAAACCAGTGTTCTTAGGTATTAAATAGCATGTGTAATTACCTGGGTAGACGGTGACTCCATCAGGTGGTTTCACATGTCCATGGGTGATTGGGTAAACTTTCTTCCATGATTCACATGTTGAGGAGTTAGTGGTGGATTGTGCATACAGACTCAGAACACATAATTCTACTTCAGGAGGTAAGCTCAGAGGTACTGTGCCCAGATGGGGCCTAGCTCTTCCACATACATAGCAATTAGTCTTATTGTGTGAGTTGGCATTATACCTCATCCATTCTAGCCACAAATTAGTGTCTGAAAACCCAGTCTCTACTGCCATAGTGTCTTCAAAGGTGGGATTGGCTATAGCTACCATGTCATGTAGAGTCTTAATATGTGGTTTTAACGTGTTAATAGTCATGTGAGTGGTTCCTACCCAGTCTGGTGAGGTGAGCCTTTTTGCTAGGTATGTCTTTGTATATGGCTGCATATTGTGTTTGTGGAAAAGGTGCAAACAACTATGTCACAGTAATCAAAGGTGTATGTAGCTACATCTGTGTTAGAAGAATTGTACCAGAAAGTGTAAACATGATTATCTTTGGTTATGGCCACTTGTTGGGCCCAGGCAAAGTGTAGCAGCATAAGAAAACACAAGACACATAATAAATTCATATTTCAGCAAGATTAGCCTCTTCTGGAGCAGGCACTTTTTTTGCAATGTGAGGCGTGTATCCAAGAACTCTTCCCGGCTAGTTTAACTGACGTTGCTGTAATCAGGAGCACTTGATATGGGCCATCAAATTTTGGTTCTAGGGTGTGTTTCCTAAGAAACTTCTTGACCATAACCCAATCACCAGGAAGCAGCTTGTGTGTACCTGTATTCGACTCAGGATCTGGAATAGAAGAAAACACTTGGGCATGTATTTTGGTCAAGGCATGTGAGAGGGCAGTCACATAGTCTACCATAGCATCTGACTGAATCTGAAGCTGTTGGGGAAAGTAACAACCTAACAAAAGCTGTACCAAACAAAATCTCATAAGGTGATAGGCTATATTTTCCCCTAGGAGTGTACCTTACACTAAACAACGCTAATGGGAGACTCTCGGGCCAGGGCATGTTAGTTTCTTGTGACATTTTAAGCATTCTGGCTTTCAAAGTGCCATTCATGTGCTCTACCTTACCACTACTCTGTGGGTGATATGGTGTGTGGAATGCAAGGGTCACCCCCAGTGCTGACCAGACTTCCCGTGTTAGCGAGGCAGTGAAGGAGGTCCCTTGGTCACTTTCAATCACTTCTGGAACTCCATATCGACAAACAATTTCCGTCAAAAGGTACTTGGCTGTAGTCCTCGTGGTGAGATTAGTCACTGGGAAGGCCTCTGGCCATCCTGAAAACATGTCCACTATGACCAATGCATGTTCATAACGTCCACTCTTTGGCATCTGAATGTGATCAATCTGGATCCTCTGAAAGGGGTATTGTGGCTTGGCTAGGTGATTAGGTGCGGTCTTTATAATCTTTCCAGGATTGCATTTAGCACATATAGTACAAGATTTACAGTAATTCTGTGTTAAGGTAGTGATGCCTGGTGCTTCAAAATACTTGTCAATCAATGAGTTCATCAGATGTTTTGACAGGTGGGCTGGCCCATGGGCCCATTGGACCACCGCTGGATACATATTTCTGGGTAGGCAAAACTTGAGATTGATAGTGTAAACATCATCACGGAGTACAGCTCCTTTGTTCTTCCAACTTTGTTTCTCCTGGGGAGTAGCAGCAGCTTGTTGTTCCTTCAGAAGCCTAAGATCCGTAGGCAGTGTTTGCATAGTGTAGATGGGTACTGCATCTGTGGCCACTCTTCTGTCCACTTCCCATCCTTGTCGTGCTGCTTCCTTAGCGGCCTGATCAGCTAAGTGGGGAAATATCAGGGTCACAGTCTATGATGAGTGGGTCCTCACAGACGTCTGTGTGGTACCTAGGGTACCCTGCTGTACAGTAGTTAATAGTCTTTTTGCTGGTCCCCATAGAAGTCAGTTGTTCTTGGTTCATTTGACTCCAGGTCTTGGCCATCGGGCCTAGGTCTTTCCATGAGGTGTCAGGGGATCTGGTGAGAGATATGTGTGGGATAGCTGTTTCCCAATGATGGTAGAGATGTGTCATGTTCTCTGGAAGATGGACTAAGATGAGCATGGGACTAAGATGAGCATGGTACCTGTGGGGTCCCATAACAAGTCAGTCAGGGTAATTTGAATTTCCTTGAGCTGGAATAATTCTTCCTCATAGTTCATATCAGGGCCTGGTCTGTCTTTAAACCATAAGGTGCAGTGAAGTAGGGCCTCTGATTGTTCATCATGTGGGGGTGCAAGTGCAGGCAGCTGCAAATCTGCTCGAACCTCTGGGTTGATGTCCAGGCTATACCAGTAATGCACAATTCCCCCCTTGGGAAGTGGCAGAAGAGTGGCCGGGTTCAGGGAGAGACATCGCTGAAGTTTCACATTGTCAGGTAACAGTAAGGATGTTTGTAGACGAAGGTAACGTTGAGAAGAAAGGTGCTTAGGTTGAACTTGTTGCAGGATTGCAGTAATGTCATGAGGGGCCAACACCGTGAGGTGGTGACCAAGAACAAAATCATTAGTCTTGTCCAAGAGGACACCGGCAGCAAACACCGCTCTGAGGCATGAGGGACTACCCCTAGCAATGGGGTCGAGCATGCAGGACAAAATAGCCAATAGGTAGCTGCATTGAGCCATTTTTTTGGGTTAGGACTCCGGAAGCATGTCCAGACATTTCTGAGACAAACAGATTGAAAGGTAACTGGTAGTTTGGAAGGCCCAACGCAGGTGCAGAAGCAATAGCTCTTTTCAGATTTTGGAAACAGGTAATAGCTTCTTCGGTGAGATGAAAGGGCTCACACCTGAAGGAGTCAGAGTGGCTGCATGAGCTTTGAGGCTTCCGGTATCCAGGACCTGCAGTATGTAATGAGACCCAAGAAGGCATGAAGAGTCTGATGTGTTGCAGGTAATGGGAGTTGCAAAATAGCTTGTACACGCTGAGAAGTTAGATGTCTGGTGCCATGGGAAAGACAATGTCCCAAGAAGACCACAGAGGGCCGGCACCATTGCAGCTTGGATTTGGAAGCTTTGCAACCGGCTTCAGCGAGAAAACATAGGAGATCTTCTGAGTCACGTTCAGCAATAAGTGAATCAGGAGCACAGAGAAGGAGGTCATCAACATATTGAAGTAGGACAACATCAGAGTGAGTTTTCTGCCAGGGTTCTAGTATCAAAGACAAGGCACGGGCAAGCTGAGTGGGGGAATTCTGGGCCCCCTGAGGTATGACAGTCCATGTGTATTGTTGTCCTTCATGGGCAAAAGCGAAGAGGAAGCGACAGGAGGGGTCTAGTGGCACACTGAAAAAAGCATTAGCCAGATCTACTACAGTGAATACCGTGGCTGTAGGTGGGACCTGAGATAGGAGAATATGTGGATTTGGAACAATTGTAGTATCATTGACAGTCACTTCATTGACAGCACGAAGGTCCTGGACCATCCTGTACTGGTCAGGTTGTCCTTTAGCAGTTCTCTTCTTGACAGGGAAAAAGGGTAAGAGGGAGTGTTACATGGAGACACATACTTAATGAGGGCACCTTTGGCGAGTAGGCTTTCGACTTGTTTGGTGATAGCATCAGTTTGTGCAGGTTTCAGAGGATACTGTGGCCTACGGGGGGGGTAATGCTCCTGGCAGGAGCTTGACCACAACGGGGGGGCACTTGTAGACGTCCAATGTCATCTGGGCTGGTGGACCAAAGCTTTTGTGGGATACGGTCCAGAGCACTGGGGGTTTGTTGGACCCGTGAATTCCCTGTGGAGGTGGTGAGGTTTAACAATATGGGCAGTGAGCAGAGTACAGTGGTGTCTGTCTGTGATAAGGGTGTAGTTAACTGGACCCTGGAGCCAAGAAAGAACATCAGCACCCAAGAGGTTAATGGGACAAGTAGAAGAAACAACAAAACGGGAGAGTATGTGTGAACCAACATGCAGGAGTGTAGGGAGGGGGCTACTGCGGGGTGTACCATCCACCCCAACACAGGAGACATCGGTGTCTGACAAAAAGGAGGGGTCAGGCAGGTCTTGTTGCCTAAGAACACTACGGGCTGCACCTGTGTCAACTAGAAAGGTAGTTGGATGACCCTCTACGGGGAGAACTACAGTAGCTAAGGGCCCTCCCCCGCAGACACTGCCATGGCAGGGGTTGCTGACACAGGCTTGCCGATTACCTATTGCAGTAAATCTAAATGGGCCTGGTCGGGTTCTTGGTACCGGCGGGTAGAAGTGGGAGGGTGGCTGGACTGCATAGGAGCACGGGCAAGGCGGCTTTGTCGAGGTAGGGGCTGAATATCGTGGAAACCACCCGTGTCAAACCCATCAGCAGGAGCTGGAGGGTATGCACGGGCCTCTGAAGCAGGGGGCCGGCTGGGATGGGCGTGATAGGTGAGTATTAAGGACGTGAGCAAGGGCAGAGATTGGATCGGAAGGCTCGGGGACGTTAGCCGGGGGCGGAGAAGGGGTTGGAGGATCAGAGGGAGGAGGAGGAGGAGGTAAATCAGTGGGAGGCGGGGCAGGAATCGCGGAATTAACCAGGGAGGTAACAGCAGAGAAGAGGGCGGATATCGAGCTAGACAGGTCATTGGCCATGGTTGGGTCAGGGGTCACCGGGGGAGAGGTCGGAGGGATGGGAACAGGGGGCTGGGTCGTAACAGCGTGGGTAAACCAGTCGGGGGAGGAGGAGACAACGAGGTAGAGGGGGCCGGGACTTCGGGAGGAGGAGGTAACACTGGAGAAGGGGTTGGAGGGGTGGTAACGGGGGGTTGGGTCAGGGCGGTGAGGGCAGAAATCAGGGACGGCAAATCGGCCGAGGGAGGAGGAGGCAACGAGGTAGAGGGGGCCGGGACTTCGGGAGGAGGAGGTAACACTGGAGAAGGGGTTGGAGGAGTGGTAACGGGGGGTTGGGTCAGGGCGGTGAGGGCAGAGATTAGGGACGGCAAATCGGCCGAGGGAGGAGGAGGCAACGAGGTAGAGGGGGCCGGGACTTCGGGAGGAGGAGGTAACACTGGAGAAGGGGTTGGAGGGGTGGGAACGGGGGGCTGGGTCAGGGCGGTAAGGGCAGAGATTAGGGACGGCAAATCAGCCGAGAGGGGAGGAAGCAACGAGGTAGAGGGGACCGGGATATCGGGAGGGGGTACCACTGGAGAAGGGGTTGGAGGGGTGGGAATGAGGGGCTGGGTCAGGGCAGTGAGGGCAGAGATTAGGGACGGCAAATCAGTCGGGAGGGGAGGGGACAACGAGGTAGAAGAGAGGTCCGGAGGCATAAGGGAAGCGGGATCAGCGGGAGGACAAGGGTCTGGAGGATCTGGGGCGGTGGGGTGAGTAAGGTCGAGAGGGCAGAGAGCGGGGCAACGGATGGAGACGGGTGAGTGGGTAACACTGGGGAGGGGTCAGTTGAGGTGGAGAGGGGACGAGAGGCAAGCATAGGTAAAGGTGGCGGGGGACAGGGAGGCGGAGGAATGTCATTTAACGTAAAGGATGTTACTGTAAACATACGATTTGTAACTAGCAAGATTCTATTAAGTAAAGATACAATGTTTAAAATAACTTGCATTATTTTGCAATTTCCCTTGTTGCAAGACACAGGCATTAATGAATATTCATCAGGATAATCAGCTGTTATGCTCTTATATTCGTGCCCTACAGAACTCATTTGTAGGTCTCACCACCGGTGCAAATGACTCTTTAGCAACTTTTTTTTTTTTTTTTAATATCACGGACACATCTCTGATACAGGGAAACAAATGGCATGATTGTTTTAGTAATTATAACGTTTCAGTTCATAATATGTAGAGCGTAAGGAAAACAACATGTCTCTAAATAGGACGAGCATAATAGGGGTAGGCCTCATGATGGAGGCAGCCATGACAGGGGCGGGGAAGGAAATGACAGCAAGGGAGGAAGTGAAGTCCATGATATGTGAGGGAAAGGAAGACAGGAGGTGTGGGCATGGTAAGTGCGGAAGTGACGTTACTTTAGAAGCAACCGTGACTGTAGATAGGTCACAGGACTGGCAGGGTCAAACTCCTTCTGTACTATGCGCCATCTTTAGGGTGGTGGCTGACGTACTTTCAACAATACACCATATTATAACTAATAAAATAAGTCAGAGAAGCAACATTCCGTTCTGCAAAATGAAATATTAAACTATGAACAGACCTGGCAGGATAAATAAGACAGTTGAGAACATTATGCATTTAACAGCCCATAAAGCTGTCCATTGAAAAATGTACTTTAACATGATGCAAAATAAACTCACGGAATTCAACCAATTTCCCTTATCATCCTCTAACCATTAATCACTTTCCTCCTCTTATACTGACATAACAACATCGCATATTCCCTCTATCAGTGTTAACAGGCTACACCTTCCTAAATCCCGTATTCAACACTGAATGCAATCTTGTGAGCTCGTCACTCCCACAATCCTCAGTACCTTATCACAAAACATAATTTATAAATATATATAGCACTACGGAATCTGTTGGCGCCATGCAAATGGCAACAATAATAATATTATTACACAATTATAGCTCCATAACCTGCCTGACAACGTCTATGTATGGAACAATGTACACAATACTACACAATTAGAATATTCTCCAGCAAAAATCCCGTCTCTAACTCTTATCGGTAGCTCCAAAGCGCAGGCATGTCACTCCTCCCCCTTAAGCAAGTGTGGGGGGAGTGAGGCAGAGTGCAAAAAAAATAGAGAAATGAGAGAGAAACTGCAGGCTTGAAGATTAACCATGTGAGCTCCGTAAAGTAACAAGACAGAAGGACAGAGATTTATACGTTTGGAAACCAGAAATTTTTGCTAACTTTTTCATTTTCAGCATAGCTTCTTCCCCTGCCCTCTCTTTAACAATATCACAAGCCAAATACCCCTTAGCTGGTCTAGCATGTACTTGCCCCTTTTTGACCAAGCGAGGTCTGCCAAGTAAAGGAGACCAAGTGAGAGGGAAGAAGAAGTAGGAAAGTCCACAGTGCTCGACTGCCACAGTGGACCCGTGCGTCTTCCCAAAACATAGACTAGTCACGATGGTCTGTGCACCCGGGGGTGGTGGCCACAGACCGGAGGGGGCGAGCGTGAGTGACTAACACAGCTCTGGGCAGCAAACACAGGAGAGATAAAGGACAAATGAAAAGATGAAAGTGGTTACACTAACAAGAAGACATTTGCAAAAATCACAAACATAGAGATGAGTGTAAACCCCAGAATCCAGAACTAGCCACACTATATACATACACACACACACACACCAAGGGTACCCACACTGTAACAACAATTAAACAAAAAACCACAGAATGACAGAGAGTAAAATGGCCATGTACATGTTAACATCACTAGTACCAAATATTTGAAGTATAGCAATCCTCAGCCTTCACCCACCAGGCTGGTCCCAGTATAACACAGGTACTAATGGGAGCACAGTAATAAACAAACAAAATCCCAGCCCCACCGGCTGTAAAATCCCAGCCCCACCGGCTGTAATGCGTCCCCTGCCCGCTAGGCAGTCAAGCTAACTTAAAATCCCAGCCCCACCGGCTGTAAAATCCCAGCCCCACCGGCTGTAAAATCCCAGCCCCACCGGCTGTAAAATCCCAGCCCCACCGGCTGTAATGCGTCCCCTGCCCGCTAGGCAGTCAAGCTAACATATAAAACCCAGCCCCACCGGCTGTAATGCGTTCCCTGCCCGCTAGGCAGTCAAGCTATTGTCTTTTAAAAAGGGGGAAAACACACACTCCGGCCGTCACACACATTCAAACAAATACAGGAGGCAGATAGACAATCGACATGTTCACTTTAAAAAGGCACCCCGGATGAGCTAAATACCTGTCTCTAGTAGCCTTCTGGAAGCCGGAAGTGGACTCGGAGACAGACCGACACAAAACAGGAGAATAACACAGGCAACGGCTGTATTATGGAGGTGATCAGGCTCCGCTTGTCCCATTTTCTGGGGGTCCGCTCTGGTCCTTGGTATCCGGCCCTCCGAACCGGCAAATCCGGGGGCCCCACGTTATGGCGCCAATTGAAATGGAAAAATCAATTAAAGTATTGATTATTTCTTTGTGTATCTGCCCCTGGCCAAATCAATGAAACAATGCGTGCACGCTCCCTGAAGTAATTCACACCAGACACAGGTTCTAGGTTGTTGAATAACTTGAGGAAAGTTTATTCAGAGGGGACGGCAGGTCCCTTTTAAAGCAAAATTACATCATAAGCATTGTCAGAGATAACATGGAATAATACATCAATAATTGGTCAAGTGTTAAGTGTTTTATTCAAAGCACGCCCTACAGGGTGTGCCTTCTTATGTCATTACTGTCGTCATGGAGTTCTCCCCCCGGATTCCAGCGCCATCTTGAAAATTAGAGTGTTTGGTCGATGGGTGGGGTACTCCTGAGTGACATCTAGTGGTCAGTTTAGTAATTTATTGAATAATATTGAGTATAACTAAATGGAGTAAATAGACATTTTACTAGCTATCAATATATGTCAATATTTCATGTCACCAGGTCCATGAGGGTCTCCCACGGTTTCCCGGCGCCATTTTGCTGCACGAGGTAGTCGGTGTTAAAGGGGCAGGGGGAGGAGGGGGTTAGAAGCTTCTAGCAGCCATCTTGATTAGAGCACGTGTGTATAGTTTTATATATGATATATCGTGGAATGAGTAAATAGACATTTTCACTAACTAGGAAATATGTGCAGACCTTATTTCCACAACACAAATGCTGTGCAAATTTGAGATTTTTTTACATTTTTTCTAGTTTTGAATCAACAATCAGAGAAGGGCAAAATAAAACTACTGCAAAATGTTGAGGTAAGTCAGGGGATGAGATTAATATCAAATCTAACATTGATTGCATAGTCCAATCTTACATATATAATTGACATTATACCAAATGTATATTTAATGAGGAACTCTCACTTTAGTTGGATGATGACCATTCAATTTCTGTCATCTCTGTATGTGCTATTACAGTAATTGCATTGTATTGTGTTTAGTGGAGGGGAGTATAAAATTAATAAAAGGAGCTACTCTGCATTATTATTATTATTAGTAGCATTTATATAGTGCCAACTAATTCCGCAACGCTTTACAATATTATGAAACATTTACATGAGACCTTACAATACATGAGACATTTACACAGTGACACAGGAACAATAGGTAGATGTGGACCCTGCTCAAATGAGCTTACAGTCTAGATGTGGTGGGGTACAAATACACAACAGGGCAGCAAGGGTGACAGCTACCAAACAAGGGGGAAAAGTAGCAGAGCTGGAGGTGAGAGTGCAGTAAGGCTCTTTAGGAGAGCAAGAGACAGTTACTCTGGGAGTCCATAGGCATTTCTGAACATATGTGTTTTGAGGGACTTCTTAAACCTTTAAACACTAGGGGAGAGTCTGATGGGGTTAGGCAGGCTGTTCCAAAAGAAGGGAGCCGCCCACGAAAAGTCCTGCAAGCGCGAGTTAGCAGTAAGGGTGTGAGCAGCGGACAGGAGAAGGGGTAAATCTATGAACCAGGAGGGGCTGAGTAGTGTCCACAATATTGTCTCAAGATATTCTGTGTTCTAGAACTGCTTCTTCATATAATTCACACACATGCTTATGCAGAGGTCGACAAATCCCAGGTCACCATGGTGACAAGAAATTTTGCCCTGGCACCTGGGATTTGTCAGCCTTTTACCTAAAGTGGCTGGCTGGGCAAACAATGGAGCTGGGCGCACTGGGTTGTATGGAGGTGGCCGGCTCAGGGACCGTTGTAGCTGGCTGGCTGCCCTTGGGTGCGTCGAGGTGGTCAGCTGATTTAGCACGCGAGGGAGTGATTTTCCTGCAGCTCCTCTGCTCCCTCACGCTGTTTAATAATGCCGGGAGCCGGAATATGACCGGTATGCTGTCTTGCTACCTGCTCTCACTTTGAGGCTGGCTGTGTCCACACTATTTTACTGCCAATCCACTATTTTTCCTGTTTTCTTACTTGTGTTTGATACACAATGGTGTGTGCCTACCTTCATATTGAGACACATCAAAAACAAGGCTTCAATTATTGACTGGTTTAGCTACTTACAATAGGGGAAGAGAGGTCTCGGTCCACCATAATTACTACATGGAATGACTGCTAATATCGGCTCCACTGGGTATTGCTCCTTTTCTCTGCTGCTGGAAGTGAACGCCTGCTGCAAACTGCAATTAGCTCACAGAGGCTGAGCTCTGCAATACATAGCCAGTGTACTGGCTAAAATTATTTCCATTTCCTAGTGATGAAGAATGGCGGGAGCTAATAAGCTCAACTGGAAAAAACCAAAACGGTAATTAGCAAATACTATCAAAAGAAATACTCTTTTCAAAATGACAAAACACACCATTGCATAAAGACATTAAAAGTGGGTTTAAATGTGGAGAATGTAAATCATATTCTTTACATGAGAATACCCACTACAAAAGAAGTACAATTCTCGTACTGAGACAGGGATTCCTCCTGGCTGTCAGCTTGATAGCCAGTGGGTGTTCCCATCCCATTTTATTTAAAAAA